AAGATGTATAATCAGTACTGGCGTAAACTTATAAAAAGACTTGGTCCGATTTAAAGAGCTTAATTCAGATTCCAAAAGAAGTTTTGAAAGTGGTAATGTGGACTTGCTTTTGAACTTTGCTTAACTGATCGATTAAAAACATTACATTTAGCTTCAGATTCAAACTGTGGCTTTAAAAGGGGTAATGTGGATTTGATATCAGTGTGATAAACTCTTCAATTCTGCAATTATCAAAGAACATTTTGCCTCATTCTAACTTACATAGCATATCTTTTTAGCCAAATCTTATATTGAATGTTTGCAATGTACATGTATTTGCCCTATATATTTTGAGTTCATTGAGAGCAATTAACAAGTTGACACTTCACCAGAACATGATCAGTTTTTGCAGGAACAATGGCAGTCGGCCACAAAGTGATGATCAGATTTTCCTAAATGTATTTTGAGGGAACAGTTCAACTTTACATAAGATCTAGCATCCTTGCATCTTGAATTACTTTTAAATAATGTGCCAGTACTGATTACACTTAGAATGCTGGGTACCAGACTGGTATAAAATTGTGTTTTGAAATTATACGTACTTCAACTGTTCATGGATTTGTGTCCAGAGGAAATTTTGGAAAAACTGTGCCTTTCACCGAGTCCAGTGTTGAGACCAGAAATATCGCACTGTTTAAAACACTGAACATAATCTGATTGTGCATACTGGATGCAGACTATGCAAATTAAACCATTAAATTTGACTGTGATTTGGATACAGGTATGACCAAATTTAACTGATTTTTCTCGTCTGTAAGTATACTGAAAGCACTTTTTGCTCATGAACTACATACATACATGTACATATCCATTCCAGTACCCAGCACCCAACAGGCATTGCTCAACCATCTTTAGCATGCTGGCATTAACATCACCAGTCCTCACAGAAATACTCTTGGATTTTCACTTTGCCGTTGCATGGGCATTTATATGTATCTGTTTCACTCATCACACAACCGTGTTTCAGAACAGCATGCAGAACTGAAGAATGTCTTCAAATACCACTTCATGGGCTTAGTTGTTGCATATCAAAGAAGATAAGTCTTTGATAATTTTTTTGTGTCCTTAGAAAAAGTGTTGAAATTTTCATCAATGCCAGACACCAAGAAAATTAACAAGCTTGTAAGTTTGAGTGACAGTGTGTTGTGAGGCCTGGTTCTGTCTTGCCATTATTCCAAACGTTTTATCAAACAGTTCCGAGTTCATTTGAAGGTCCATCACACTGTATTGTTCGTTGTTTCGGGGCTGTCATCAACATGACTCTGAGCAACCTCTTGTAGCCCAAGACCACTAGGATGTCTCATCTCAAGGAAAGCCACAGGATGTCCAATGAATAGTGTTACAGGAGTTCATGGTGGATCCACAAGTGGGGGGAGGGCACAGTACATGTACAGTTGCAAGTGTACACGTAGTTCATTCATGACTTTACAGGGCAAGCGGCAACTTCAATGAGGCCCAAAAATCAGTGAAGGAAGGTGGATGGATGGATACCAATGAGTCAGGTGTGGATAGGCTGACACATGACTTCATGGTGGATCCACACGGGAGTGACACTGCATCCCTCAATAGTTGCAGGTGTAGCGTATGCATGGCTTTGCAAGGCAAACAGCATCTCCCACGAGGCTCAATATAATCAGTGATGGAGGGTGGACGGATGGACACCACCAAGTCAGGTGTGGATGGGCTGACAGCACATGCACGCGGAAGTCTCACGTCATGCTTGGTGAATGACTAATGGCTTTCAAAGGAATTGATCAGGTCAGATGCTGCACCCGTATTTCACATGTTCAGCATACACATGTATGTACCTGCAAGTTTCAGCAACTGTTCAAGTCACATGTGACACAGGAAGTCTGAATAGTGGATTGCCTAAAACTTTCAATGACTTAATCAACTGATGCACAATGAGTACAAAATATCAAAAGAGTCTCTAAGGGTCAATCTGTTGATACTCAGTAGTTGTGGTGGATTTTTGGATAGCAACAATTTCGATTTTATAATGGCAAGATGATCAGTTGATAGGCACAACTGACAGGGCAATCTTGCAGCAATGTTCTTTGACTCATGACTTTCAAAATGGTCTTCCTGCAATTGGGGTTTTGCTCAGGTTGATAAGACAGCTGGTGTGGATTCCACTGATGTCAAGGAGGTACATGCACACATCTGTTTGTCGTTACTTCTCAGAGATAAGCAGATGTTGCTCAGGTCAAACCTCAATCAAGGAGTTAATCAGATGATGCATAACTGATGCGGACTGCAGTTGCATCCAGTAACTTTTGCTAACTAAAGAGACTGGTGTTGTGCAGGATGGATGGCTTGAGGGGGCAAATGCTTGATGCACAGTGGAGTTTTGTGATGTCCTACAAAGAGACACATGTACACGTATGCATAAAAGTCATCCCATCCACCACGACAGAAATCGCACATCTCATGCACACATGTGACAGCTTTTATCCTGTAACACTGTGTGACAACACACAAGCTCAGTTCATGCAAGCCGGAAATTGTGTTCCACCTCAGGGTCCTTTGTAGCTGAAGTCTTGGCAAGCCCCTGTTTGTGCAATGCATGTCATGTGGACTGTGATGTACATGTACAGTAGTTGACGTTGAGTGTTGACCAACAAGCAGTGAAAGTACCCTCCAACAGATGTGAAACGATATTACTGCGGCTGTACATGTGGAAGACGCATGGTCCTTGTTTAGCGATCTCGCCACAATTAGGAACTCTCTCCTCTCTGAAGTGGTACCAAGTTGACTGCAGCTGTGCAGCGCAGCTAAAATCCTGAAATCTGTAAGTTCAAGAAATACAAAACAGAAACAACGCTTTGAGTCAATCAGCTCATAAAAGATGTACATGTACATTTGGTAACAAATGCTGTGTTGGAATTTTGCTGGTTTGGGATTATTACGGTTAAAGCAATGACAACAGGAAATAAAGTTCCTTGTTTTAACTCTCTTTTTGCTTTAAAGATCACAGACAATCAAACATTCGTTCAATTTGATTTTCCACAATACACAGACCCAGGCCTAGGGGTCATTAGACTGATTTTGACTGATAGGATAACTTGGTCAAGAATGCACCTTGGCATAGGAGGGTTAATATCTGATAAAAAAGCATGTCTGGTCAGAGCCAATTTGGCTCATCAGGCCAGTGTTATCTCCAGTTTTCTTGGTATGAAACGACTGAGAATATCTCTATTCCCCCTGGATGGGATGCTAATCCATCACAGGTTGCTTCCCCAGCTAATGCTGGTACCCATTTATACTCCTGGGTGGAGAGAAGCAAGCAGGGGTGAATTGGCTTGCCAAGGGCCACAACATACTGCCAGCAACTGGATTCGAAAGTCATATCCCATCCACCAGGAAAGAAATCGCACATCTCATGCATACATGACAGCTTTTATCCTGCAATACCGTGTGACAATACATAAGTTCAGTTCATGCGAGCCGGAAATTGTGTGGTACCTACATGTAAAGAGTCCTTTATAGGAAGTCTTGGCAAGCCCGTGTTGGTGCAATGCATGTCATGTGGACTGTGATGTACATGTACAGTAGTTGACGTTGAGGGTTGACCAACAAGTAGTGAAAGTACATGTACCCTCCAACAGATGTCAAACGATGTTACTGCGGCTGTACATGTGGAAGATGCATGGTCCTTGTTTAGCGATCTCGCCACAATTAGGAACTCTCTCCTCTCTGAAGTGGTACCAAGTTGACTGCAGCTGTGCAGCGCAGCTAAAATCCTGAAATCTGTAAGTTCAAGAAATACAAAACAGAAACAACGCTTTGAGTCAATCAGCTCATAAAAGATGTACACTTGGCATTACAAATCAGTAGTGGTCATCGACAGTGATGACAGAACTTGCCTTAATTAATATAAAAAGCTCAGGTCACTGCTTATTACATATGAAGGATAATGTTCAACATCAGACAGGATGGCTGCTGGCCAACAATGTCGGCATATTGGACAGTATGCAGAATGGATACTATCCATTATTTAAATGCAGCATGCATGAAAATAGACCCAAACTGTTCACGTTATTACCCGAACCCCCTAGGGATCATTGAAATCATGCATATGCTTTTTGGATTCAGAATGGTTAGGGTTAAGCGACAGACTTCAAAGGCATGTATGTACATGTACCAGGTAGCTTTGTGATTTGTTAGACTACCAAGAAGCATGCCCAGAAAACTTGTGCATACTTAATCTTAGGTGTGATTGGATTTTTGCCTGTTCACAGACTGCCAAAGTGTTGTGAAACTTAGGCTGAATAAGAATCCAACCCTACGATTGGAAGCCACAGACCCTAAACACTTGGCCACATGACCCCCTCTTTAATATCTGGTGCCAAAACCAAAAAAGTAATGTCCAGATATTAGGCACTGAATGAGGGTTCTTTGAACAAATGTCACCAACTGAATTGATTTAAAGCAGAGGTGTTTAGAGACTACATGTACATGCAGAAGAATTGAGATTTTGTACACAAACATGAGTTGATTTTGAAGGAAAGTTGTTTTTGCTTTTGTGCCTTATTTCAATGAACAAATTACTGACTGCATGGAGATTTCACAATTCAGAACATGGAATTGATGTTGAACAGCTACAACCAGGGGTCGAAATTAACGATGGTCCGCTGGCCTGAGGCCAATAGAAAAGTCGGCAGACCAGCTGATCTAATAAAACTGGTGGTCCGGTGGGCCAGTTGAAATCTGATGTCTTTTCTGTCTTCACAAACATCTTTCAATAACCTTTTCTCACATTAAAATGCTTGTTTTTTTATGTCTCTCTACTTACATTTGTAATTAAAAAAAAAATGTTATTTTTACAAGTTTCCATTCACATTTCGCTATCGCAGTGGTGAAAACACATGCAAAAAGCTCAATGCAATAAATGAAGCTGCTGTGGTTCCTGCCGTACTGTGCCCATGCAAAAGAATGCATGATGGAAATGTGGGAAGCAGAACCAGTCTGCACTGTACATGTACTAAATGTACTGTAAATGTCCTCTCTACATCGGCCATACACGTTACAGATGCAACCCTGAGGCTGCAGATGAAAAGACATCAATGTTGCAAGAGGTTGTCTGCAAGTTAGTTCACAGAACTTGGTCTCTTATTTATGTACGTATTTTCTGCATTCATGAGTTTAATTTGAGGTTGTTCTGCTCATAGCTACAGTTTATAGCCTGCTGGTCTGGATGCATCAGGCATGCTTACCACGCGATACACGGATATTGTTGGCCAATTTGCCGTCCCGATCGCCTGAGTAGCACTGTGTGAATTGTCTATAATTTGCTTGTGAACTGCCAAATGTAGAAATTTTTACATAGATTAAGACTGGTGCTCACTGTTTGAGATAATTTTGGAGGCTGTTGTCCCCTTTGATGCCATTCAATCAGCACAAAAATCTGTCCTCCAAACAAAAAAATTTCCGACCTACCAATCCTATTTTTGGGGGCATAGCACAACTGTTTTGGGGCCTAATAAAAGACTGTGTGTATCGCAGTAGGCCTAAGTTAAATAACCATAATAATCATGGATTGCGAGAAAGCTTGGGCAAGTGTTGATCCTATTTGGGCAAACAAATTTATGGCATGGCCTGCCCGATCAGGCAAACTGATGCGAAACAATTTGTCGCGGCCTGCGTCCTAACAAGGATCGCTCTAGCAGCTGCGTGTGCAGTTCTAGAATGGGACCACCAAACTTTCAGCAGGACCAGTGAAAATTCTGAAGTACTGGTCCTGCTGGCTACCATGAAAAAAAAAGCTAATTTCGACCCCTGACACCATACACAAAATGAGACAAATTTCAATCACAATTTCTACTTCCGAAAATGATCAACCTAATGAACAGTGCCCTCTAACATTTGTTCATTTCCCCAGGCTACACCTGTATTGACAGTCCTAAATCATTGGATGAACATGCCCTGTGCATGACTTACAATTGAGGTAGCAATTAGACAAACCAAAAACAAAACATTATGTCCCAAATAAAATAACATATATCACATGTTGGTGCTGCAGGGCACTTCTATTGGTAAGTGCACCACGATGTGAACTGCACCACAACTCATACACACAAGCATAGCTGGAAGCCTGTTATGATGTTTGAACAAAAATGGGTGTTACTAAGTTCGCATGAATGTCTGAATCTGTGTAGAATGGCATTTGATTTCTTTGCCAGAGGTCATAAGTAATAACGCAATAAGACAAAAATTCCTCACAAACTTTATAGTGGTGGAGTCAAGGTCAGGTGCAGAGTGTCAGCGGTTTGTATTTGGGGGCCTTGTTCTATATAACAGAACAGAAAATTACTTCTGAACTTTTGGAATCACTGGAGGAGATAACAATGACTTGATGCCGAATAACTGTTGGATTAATTTCATGGAAATGGGGCAAGGTTTTGATTTTTGAGGGAACTTATGGGGCAAAAGGAAGCAACAATGTCTCCCGTATGTCGAGCAATGCGCCTGGCTGCTTTCTTTTTTGGAGCCAAGCTTGAAATACCATGTACAAAGTGTTGTGTAGGGAACAGGAACCAGTCTAACTGGAAATAAAGTAAACCACTGGGTCAAGGGTGAGAAGAGATTCTGCACTATTGCATACTTTTGGTATGGCATAGGACTAGGACATGACCTGAGGTTTCACTCTTTTGGGGATCAACCACTTTTGTAACATTAATAATAAAAAAAAAAATAGAGGGTTCTCGAAGTACACAAACTCCAAGTCCTGGGGCAAGCTGGCGGGAAGCGTGAGTAGAGCTGCATGCCACCAAACAATCAGCCTTTTCACCATGTAATTCAAAGTGTGTAGAGCATGCAGGGCCACAAACTGAAAATTTGCGGTTTGGCAGGTGGCCTTCGTGGCCAAGCGAAGATGGAATTCTTGGAGTCGGCTTTCGGAAAGAAATTCCCACCGTCTTCCAATCAAGCCCAGTTAGATGCAGAAACTCATATTCGGTTCTTAGCGATGAAAGCTCTGATATATCACGGGATCAAGAAACAGTAACATAAAAAGGCCAATGAGGAAACGCAAGGGGATCTACAACAGAGCAAAAAGAACCAATAAATCAGGAGATTGGAAATTGTTTCGTACATTGCGAAACAACATTGGATGGAACTTAACAAGGCACAAGACAAATACATCAGAGGTATACTTAATATAGAAAATCTTCGAGCAGCGCCAAAACGTTTTTGGTCTTTTGTTGCGGCAAAGAAAAAAGACAATACAGGAATCCCACCTCTCATTACTCCATCTGGTCTCGCCTGTGATAGCAGAAGAAAGCAGAGACTTTGAATGCACAAGATAGTACATGTAGTTTGTTCACCTGAGAGGATAGTCAGGATACATCATCAATCCCAGCAATGCAGTCACCATGGCTTCCCGGAATGGAAGATATTGAACTCGATAATACGGGGTATTGAAGCTTCTATGTAACCTCAATCCCTACAAGTCAAGTGGGCCAGATCAAATCCCAGTCCGGATCATGAAAGAGTGTGCTTATGAGCTTGCACCAATTTTGACAATGATCTTCAACCAATAACTGCAGACTGGTAATTTGCTACATGACTGGTTCTCGGCCAATGTTTGTCCAGTGTTCAAGAAGGGGAATCGATCACTGCCAAGTAACTACAGACCAATTTCTCTCACATCAGTAGCCTGCAAAACTACTAGAACATATCATCTTCTACCACACCATGATGCATGCTGAAGAATATAATATCATGAAACACTATCAGCATGGGTTCCTTAAACATCATTCAAGCGAAACACAGCTTATCAACACTATTGAAGAAATTCTCCGGCACTTAGATGAAAATAAAACTTGAAGCTCAGATATACGTGTAGGTGTTCGACTTTAGCAACGTATTTGACACAGTGGCTCATGAGACATTACTTCATAAAATAAAACATTATGGGATTAGGGCTAACACTTTGTCTTGGATCAGAACGTGGTTAATTAACAGAACTCAACAAGTTGTTGTAGATGGAGAAGCATCAGACCCTACTCCAGTTTACATCAGGAGTACCTCAGGGTACTGATTTAGGTCCGCTGATGTTTCTGCTCTACACTAATGACATCGGTAAAAACATTAGTAAGGACACTAAAATCAAGTTATTCACTGACAACTGCCTATTGTTCATCCCAGTGACCAGCAAACACTACAGAAAGATCTGGATAGTCTTGTGACTTGGTCTCACCAATGGCAGATGTCTTTTAACCCACAAAAGTGTCACACTCTGCACATGACAAGAGGCAAGAAATACTTTGATAATGTTTACCGAATGATGAATGTTAACCTGTCTGTTGTATCCAATCATGGGTACCTTGGAGTTGAAATTTCAAGTTTGTCTTGGTCTCTCCACATCAATTAATTGGTAAACAAGGCTAACAGAACACTTGATTTTGTAAGATGGAACCTTTCTAGATTTGAGCCAGCTGTAAAAGAAGTGACCTATAAACCTTAATTCGGCCTCAGATGGAAAATGCAGCTGCAGTCTGTGATCCCCATCAGTCAAATCACATTAATAAATGGGAGAAAGTACAGAGACAAGCGGCAAGATTTGTAACAGGTGACTACAAATGAATGTCAAGTGTTACATATATGCAGCAAAATCTCCAATGGCCAACCCTTCAAGTTCAACATTGCAGGAAAACAGTAGACTCACCACCTTTTATTGTTCCACTCATAAAGAAATTGCTCTCAACATCCCATATTATATGATCACTCCAGTGGAAAGACCACAGAGAGGCAGACATGACCAATGCTATGCATCTTTGTAGTGCCATACACAGGCATATCAACACAGCGATTTTAGACTGGAATGAGCCTCCCCAATGATCTTGTTCACCAACCAACATTATCTTGATTCAAGATAGCCCTAGGAAAACACATTATAGCACAACCCTAATTTCACGCTTGCACGGCACTGGCACACTGGCAAAGTCAAACTGGATAATAATGCCTTGTGGCGATGTCAAGTCAAGAATCTGAGAATAGCAAGGGGGCAAGTGGTAAGGGGCGAGTTGACTTTACAATCGGTGGAATTACTAGTAGGCATTTTTATGGGCGAAAAACCACGAATAAAGTCCATTATAAGTTACACAATATTTACCTCTTTGATCTACAGTCGGCCATGTACCAGTTCTTCATCTCATTAGCGAGAAGACTGTATTAATTGCGCAGTAAAACACGCAAAATACGACACGCATGGCAGACGAACCCCTCGAAAATTCGCCGCCCAACAACTTTCAGTAACTGGTACCCCGCCGACCATGGCTAGGCTATGAGAAAACTTAGTTTTTAGATTGGTAACCAGTCCCCCCCCCCCGGTCACAGACTATTTCGTAGGCACACATCAAATGCTACTCCAAGCATATTTACAAACGAGTCTGACGCTAGACTATGCGAGTAATAGCCGTTTTCCAATACTCAACATCGGCTCCATCTGAGGCTTCAACTGTTTTTTTTTTACTACCTAACTTTGAAGCTGTAAGCGCACTAATTAGTCTAATAGTGCCACAAAACATCAAATGAGATGCAAGATAGCAAAAGTTTACAGTAATCCAATTTGATTTAAACGCTTCAGGCCCACAACCGTGGATTGGTTTCGGAGACGAACCTGAGACGGAGACGAAGTTGAGTATTGGAAAACGGCCCTGGGTACGTATTTATTGCGCTGTGAAAAAAGGCGGGGCCTTTATTATTATTTTACAATAATTACAATGTTTGCAATAACAGAGCTGATGGAATGCCAATGCTCAACATTTTCGGTAGCAAGCGTGTTTTGGGTGGGCTTGGGGAAGGGCGATTCATAAGCCGTGAAAGGGTTTCATCAGTTTTTCTGAACTAAATAACCCCATAGTGCCATGAAGTACAAGGCTTCTTGATAATTCACTTTTGGAGAAGCACAAACATGTCGAGAAGCATAGGGTGTGAGCAGAAAAATAATCGGAAAATAACCAAAGAGATTCAGAAAGTTTGTAATTGAAATTTAACATTAAAATACCTATGTTTAGCTTTACATGTTGAAGTATTTCCCATGATCCCCACAGCCAACTCATCAAAACAGTAACACAGAGTCACCAGAAACGTTGCTGTCTTTCACTTGATTTTATTTCAATATTAACTTCGAACAAAACATGCAGAACAAAAAAGATGTACCCATATTCAATTATTGTACACATCTATTTTGCATGATTCATTTTTGCGACTATACGCTTCCACACTGAAGACATTTTTTTCATTAAAAGAATTTAAATTTTAAAGTAGATTACAAAATAGTCCGATGAAATATCATTTTGGGTGAAAAGAAGCTAAATCAGGCATTTAAATTTCAAAGGCCTCAATGCCAGAATTCCAAACAAAATTAGGCAAAATAATTTCTCCAACAATTCAAGAATACCCCATTATTGAGGAAAAATGGTGCATGATGTGTCTGTATCGACTGTAACTAAGCTGACTGATTAAGCTCAACTGAACAATATTGTTTACCACTGATCATATCATGTTGTGAGTCATTAATGTGCAAGTCTACTGGATATGAATGTACTGTTTTCACCATATGTTCCTGTTTTTGCTCCAATCATAATAATAACCATTCATCCATGGGTACATATCCCCCATTCAGACCCGCTTTCAACTACTTTCTCCATACTCGCCCAAACAAATTTACTCCTTTGGTCATATTAATCGTCAATATTCATAAAAACCCTAGTTTTCAAAATGTTCCACAGCAACAAACAATCACAAGTCATTTTTAGCCAGTTGTATCCTTACGTAAATACTCGCGACATATAGCCATTACAAAATTACTGACCTGTATGTTACTTTAATACGTTATGGTACATTTTTTTGGAACAAATACACTTTCGTCTGTGAAAAAAAGCCAAGACTTTCTCCCAAGCTAAAGGATGCTTGTTTTATCAAAACAAAAAAGAAAAGCACATCCCTCAAAGACAAAAATTCGGACAGCAGAAACAGATCAAATAACCAAGAGCAGGGAAGACCATAACTACCCAATTCCACAAAGCTTGAAATGGGCCACATGACCCAAAGCAAACCATAATCCAATAATATCGAATTGCGTACAATGACATTCTTGAAATGAATATGGATGAAAAGATCCATTGCATAAAATCTCTGACAAAAACTGCTGCATGGGCCTATTTTCCTAACTCGGCAATTTTAAAAACAATCTTCAAAATAAAAATAGAAATTCAGTTCTGTAAAAATGAAAAGGACACTGTAAGAATAACAAAACCCTTTTATTACAGCAAACCCCAAAATCACATCACAAATTATATCTGCTTAAAAAAATGGAACAAACTTAAACCACAAGGGCAAACAGTCTGGTACTGTTCTGATTCTGAGAATAAAGTGAAAAGGAAACTCACAGTTTTCCTCATTGTTCAACTCACAGAAAGTATAAATTACACTCTGTACATCTTTGTACATAATAAATTATACACAATGTCATGATATGAAAAAGCACGATAAATAGAGTTCAGCAGAAATAAATTTACAACTACTAAAACTAAAACACCAACATGCTTTCGCTTATCTAGTTGATTTTATTCTCGCTATCATTAAAATGCTAGAACAAATCCGTCCCTTTCATACTTAATCAAATTCTTGAATTCATAATGGGGAACCAAATTATAAATCCATCAATATTTTGGAGAGACTTGTGGTGGACTAATAAGACACCCAAAGCAGTGATTTTTTAAAGGATTTGGCAAACTAGAGATGATCACTTAATAGTGAACTTGGAATCTATATAGTTGAAGCTTTTTGCATAGCTGGAAACACTGACTGTGAGCTTCTCACAAGGAAAATGAGATTGACAGGTTGTAACCTCTTGCTGATGGCTGGACTGAAAAATTCACCTGTTTGAAACTGACATTTTTCAGCAAAAAAAGATTACAGAAAGATGTTCTTTTTGTACACTTTCTACAGTTTCCAAATGATTGTCACCATTACGATGAAACTAAACACCTACGAGAACAATCCGGTTCCTTTTAGTGGTCAGGAAGAAAGTTGACCAAATCAGATATTAAGAAAACATTATCTGCATTATGGAAAGGTTTTGATCAAGGCAATTCTGGATTCGGTGATTAATATTTAAGGGTGAATATAGCTGCTCCTTACTGACTGCATGAGTGCCAGAGAATTTATTTTAATTCTGAGTGATTATGTTGATTTTTCCTTTAAAGAGCTTTCGCAGTAACAGTGTGCATAAGTTAACAATCTGTGTTGTCTCAACAGACCTCCTGAATCAGTTTGGAAAAGGTCACTTGTACTGAATCTCATCTGTGCTGTAGCTAACCCAATCCCAAGGCAATTTCAAATTTGAACACTCGCTCAAATAATATGCAGACTCTACTTTTACATTTCAACGTTTTGCGACTAAGCACTTTTTATCCTGCCTGGTGCCGCAAGTTAAGGATTGATGCAGGTCCAACAATCACAGTCATAGTATGCATAAATTCCTTATTACCATTTCAATCAATATGTCTGCCAAAGGAATTACTGTTGTACAAAATGCACCCGACTTAAAGTACATGTCACCACAGCACTTAACCATCAAATGTAATCAGGTGTGATATACACATCTAAATGTCCAACTTTGCAACAGTTAATATCAAAGTAGTGTTGCGCATGTAGGACCAAAGTACATGTACATACATGTATTTCAAAGGACTCAGACTCGTTTTCTCCTTTTTTTTCTCGACTCATACTCGAGCAAAAAGACTCAAGGACCTGGCCTTGAGTCCACCAAAAAATAACTGTTTTGCATCCTCAGCACCCTTTCAACATAAAATATGCAAATAAAGGGAAAACTGCAACAGTAGCTCTGTATCATTTCCAACCTGACAATGTCTTTCCTGTTGAACGACAAACATGACATACATACCTGCTCCGTTGTACAATGTACTCGTTTCTTTAGATAACATTGTTACTCTTCGTACTTTTCATGTAGTCTTGATGTCCTGAAAAGTGTTTGGTAAATTGTTTGGGGTACGATACTACATTAAGAAAAATTATTACTGCACTGTAAACAAGTGAGAATATCAGTTCTCTTTTTGTTCATGTCTCCAATTACTGATCATAAATGAAACCCAATACCTGACTTATGAGTACCTGATGCATGCCCATTCATTATTCATGCTATTTTTGAGGCATGGAAACATATTGTGAGGACTCTGACACTCTGACTCGGATAAGTGGTAGACTCAACTACAATCCTGTATCAAAGGTTCTGTAACAAATCTCTAGTGAATCATTTCTCACAGATAACGTGTAGCTCGGAGCCATGAAAAGTTGGTAGCAACATCTCTTACAAACCCCATAAGTGCAAAAAAAGAAGTTCACTTGCCCTTGAAGTACAATTTAAATTACACAGTTTTGTGGAAAATCTGTTAAAATGTTCCCAGCAGTTGAAACTGCCTGTCTCCAAAATACAGACTTCAACTTTGACGCTTTATATCCAGTGGCCCATCATGCTGAACTCGCTCAACAGATAATGCATACAGAAATTCTGCAGGTGTTCACTTAGTATTAACAAGTTCCTACTTCTAGTCTGAGTGTCACTGTAAGCTAACATGTACACTTCAAGTATTACATTCTACGGCTCACTTCAAGAGAACAGCATATTCCGTGGTCTTTACATATTTGCAGTCTCACACACTTAGCCATACGGCATTTATACACTCTTTTAATTTATACAGTATTTAACAAGACCTTCTCACCTTAGTGGTGACCGTTAACAGAGCCTTGAAGAATGAATTCTGCTGTAAGTTTTATGCCGTTAGGAACGTGCGAACTTGTCAGCCTCGTCTTTTGAATATTTGACTGTCAGTGGAATAACAAAATACTACATGGATTGTGAATGGACTTTATGTTTACTGATATTAAAAGACAGAGAGATCATTTGAGCAGCACGGTATTTACCTCCACTATTCTGTACTTAGAAATGAGAGAGATAACCAACTTCTATGACCAAAATACACCCTTTCTTCACTTTGCATCAAAATGTTAGTGTTTAGTGGTTTTTAAGCATTAGCAATTATGACGTTAAAGTTTATCTTGGTCATTCTTGCAGGATTAAGACTGATAAGACGTATCCAATGGCAATAAGCAAAGCCTGATACTGTAGCTTGTTTGAACAAGTTACTGCAAACAGAACTAGCTTTTTCAATATCAATTAAAAAAACACCAAATAAGTTGCTTTTTTTATACCCAAAGAATGAACTGCAAGTTGAAATGTTTTTTGGTACTGATTAAGATATTTAAAAATGAGCAGCAATACACAAAAGGAAAGGAACTTCTGAGAACAAATATTATTTCCTACTTGCTTCAAAGCTTAAATACGATTACCGAAAGGTTGGCAAGGAAATTTATGTTGGCACTATATTATTTTTGTCTATTTTTTAAATTGACCCGACCCTTTCACTACAATTTGAAATTTTTTTGTGGAACTCCCATGCTGCAAGAAAATGCTTGGAAAAAAATTGTTAATTTGAACTTTTTATTGCATTAAAGCAACTATGGCTAGCTCAAAATGAAGGAATTCTCAAATAAAAAAAAAATAAAATAGGGAGTCAACTCAAAAAGTCAGTAGTTAAGACACCTTATGGTCAGTATATTTATAGCAAGCTGCAGTAGGCTTAACTATGCTATGTGAAGTAGGTAAGAAGATTTCTGCAACATTATGTTAGAGACCAGGGCCCAAATTCCTGGAGCTGCCTGGCAGAAACTTCTGCAAGGCAAAATCAGCTGAAGATCAAGTTAAAAGTGAGTAGAATGACGATACATTCAGGTTGAGAACCTGTTCTGTGAAGCAAATATTTTTGGTAGTCATTTAGTTTGTCTGCTTAGCAGCTCCTTAGCAGCTCCTCCTTAAAAACTCTATTCTAGACGACAGGTTGATTAACTTTCCCCCGACAGTTTTATTAAACTTCCCCCCCCCATTCAGGAAATTTTGGTAGGGTTATGTTTACAGCGGGAGGCTGGTGTTTCAATTGACTACCACTGTAAACATAATCCCTCCAAAACCACAAATGATGGAACCTGCTCAAACCCTCTGACATGATCAGCATGTTCAGGTTTATGTCTGCTATTCAGCACAGAAGCTGACACTGAGATCTTTCACTAATCTCCACAGTGAAAGAAATGAGCTGAGAAAAAAAAAGATTTTTACATGGCTCCAACAATACAAACACCTGATTTTTTTTAACTGGCGTTTTTCGTTACAATGTACCATTTTTTGTCACCCTATCAGGGGAAAATCACAGATTACATCACAAATAAGCTGATCCAACTTTATTTTTGCTCTTGCTGGGTTAGATCAAGAATCACTTTGTTGTCGACACCAAAGGAAGAAAGAACTGCAAGAAATCATCTAGACGTCTTCAATAGCAGCCATCTTTCCAGGCGTCATCCTTTGACTTAGTCGATCTCCTTGGCATTGTTAATGAGCTACAGAGACAGATAGGCAAGGACAGCAGCGAAGGAAAGAAAAAAGTTTTGGTGTTAGTTTGAGGTATTAGATAAATGTGTAAACGTAAAGTTTGGGAGAAGTATGATGGTTATTGTACGACAATCAATATATAAGTGACAAAATAATGGCATAAGCGTTAGTAGATACAATGAAGTTACATATACTCTGTACGCATTGGAGCTAGCTGCAGAGGTTACACTCATGAACCGACACACGTGTTTACTGTTTTTGCCTGCCAATTTGTTGTTTGACTTCCTTATATTTGGTACCATTACAAATGTATATTTACAACAGGAAAGCCTCTGATGAAGGGTTTATTCTCCAGCTTACGTGTGCACTGCCTTGATACGCAGACAAGTGACACATTTTTGTACCATATCAGAAATTGATTGCTTTTCAGTGTCATCACACATGGCTGCAAATTGACACAGAAATGTTTGATAATTGAATATTTATTGTGCGTTTCACACAGACGAATGGCAAGCAGAATGTGTCATCGTATATTCATGTACTTGTGTAGCTTCTGCCGGTGGCAAGTTTTGCACGTCATAAGACCACACAAAAGTGATGACGGTTCTACTATGAGAACTGTACTCCATTCATACGCATAACCTCTCTACTGGCCAACGTTGTCATGTCATGTAGACTTCCTCAAATGAGTCTGCGTATTTCCTCACAATTGAAAACTGGGAAACTTTAAACAAAAGTTGTATTTATTGGTAGCAAACACAACCGAACACAGGTATGGCCGTGGTGTGCTTTTTACCCAATGCTGGATGAAAATCAATTGAAATTAAAGAAAGATTTCTAACTGGCATTTTGTGGAGTGCATTCATAAGTAAGTTACCTGTAGATTTCAAACATAAATTACTTCAGTGAAAGACAGTCGCTTTAATTTCAAAATTTTGATTGACCCTGCTTTCGTTTTAATTTTACGTGCGTAGTTTTCGCTATTGCAAACAAATATTATATCACTATTAATTTGCGTACATGAAGCTAGTTACAGCTATAAAACAAACTTCTTTATTATAAAAAGAATATCACTATATGTAATACTGTCTATATTTCTGCGATGTCTCTGCAAATGTTTCAGATGAAAACGTCTACTTCCTGAAGCAACTACATTGTAATCACAACAGTATCCTGAAGATGTTAAAACTAGCCACTTTGTCAGGTATGTTTCTACACACTGTAAATGGTGAAATACAGGGAGGAGTAAAAGCAAGATTTGATAAATACAATGTCTATCTTTGAAAGGATTGCTCCCTGACACTTCGACGTAGTCATCTAAATTGTCTTTTTTCCTGTGTTTTTCCAGATTTAAGAACCAAACAAGTTTGCATCCTCCGATTGTGTTACAAGTTAGTTTACTGCAGGCTGCAAGCACTTGTTTCTGTTAGTATCAAGGAGCTTGTTAGTTGCTGAGTATCTGCTCATCCAGGGTATCACTTCCAGTTAACTATGGTCCCTGACACAGCGCGCTTCTGACACCAAATCTCAGCGGGTGTCAGTGAGTGTATATTAACATCACAGACTCAGTGGTCAGCTCTGTTGCTTTCTGTCTGTGTGAGGCTGTGAGTCTGAGGACTGTGGGAAAGACATGTGCACTACTTGACTGTGACTCAAGAATTCTGTGCTGTCCCAGTCAGGAAGGTTCGTTCTTGTTGATCTCTCTTTGGTTTATAAAAGTGCTAAAGTAAGCTAAGATCTTTTTGATTCTCTGTGTAAATGTGATCCTTGGTGCTCAATATTCAGTGCCAAAACACATCCGCATCACAAGCTCGTCTTGACATGTATTTTAACCGCTGTGTGTTATCACGGACTGCGATATCTGCTGGTATATGAGATTCAAAGCAGCCAGCTAACCCGACAAGAAAGCAAAGGTATGTGGCTTGAGCCCCATCAAAGCAAGTTTTAGCATTTTGGGGGGTCGAAAGCTGTCTCACAACACACAAAGTAGTATGCTCACTGACGCTGTTTGGGAAGAACCTTAGCATACATGTACATGTATATGCCTTTTACTGAAAACCTTAATGCGTTTTCTTCCAACTGGGATAGTCCAAGGCTTACATAAAAGTAAAAAAATACACAGACACGGCACAAAGACATCAAGATCTGACATGTAAGAATCACCTGGCTACCCACACTGGCGATCTATCAGCCAACGGGTTACCATTCTGACTGCTGAGATTCTCTAGGATCCCTCACTGCTGGACTGTCTCCTCTGGAAAGAGAATGGCTATCTCACATTGCACTCAGGTTTTGTTAGCGACAGTTGCAGAAAGATATTTTCACAAACGACCAACAGATGCAAGGCATGCTCATGCAACTGTACATGCCAGTTATCTCTGCTTGTTTTTTTCCTCCATTTCTAAAATACTGGTAGAAGATCAGTAAATGGAGTTGATTTCCTTTTTCTAACTGTCTTACTTCACACATCTGTATTTTGGGGCTCAGTTTTCACCTCTTGCTTTCCGAATTTCATGAACTCAGGGGCTAGTGCTTCATCTGAACTTTACAGCAATAAATCATACCATTGTACATGTACTTTGTGCAAACGTGACCAGGCCCAAGGGACATTTCCACAGACATGTACATTGTACACGCATTCTCACATAAAAGTGAATGTTGCCAGGCAGCCTCACCAAGCACAAATTTGACGGGTTCATATCAATTTGATCTGCCAACAATTCTTGCAAGATAGTTTTACATCTCTGCTTTCCTTTTTTTTTTATTTCAGTGTTTCTACAAAAAAGAATCTATTAATGGCAAATGGATTTTTACACATGATCTTTAACTGTAAAAGTCATTTTTGAAAAAAAAGGATTATAGTTTGAAAAATAACAAGAAAGCTACTCTAAACAATGTTTAAAGCTCTTAAGTAGTAACACATAATTTTCTGGTACATATATGTATATCTTTGTTATCGGTTTAAATTTTGACGGAGTATAAATGTACAAATCTTTTGAGTACATGTACATGACACACACAAAAGCCAAAGAAAAAAATTCCTGTCATAGTTCAACAGCAACACTGTACATGTATAAAGCATGCTTCGCACCAATTCAGCAGATTCAGCTTCGCATGCAGGACGTGCTCTACTCTACTGTACATTTACAACAACACCGTGGATCTTCCGCAGCACAATTTTCAAAAATAAGACCTTCAGATTTTCTGCAATACAACGTAAGAATTTGTTTGCACAGAGACTGTTTCTTTGAGGTGAGTTATACAGATTATAAAGTAAGTTTGGAACCGTGTTGTCTACACTTTGAAGCCACTCTGACGGAATGTGTACAAACAATATGTGCAATGGCGGAAAAATATCCTGAGTAAAAAAAGCCTCTGCAGAGCGACAGAATGCACATCAATATGTATTTGTAGTCACTGGTCATCTAAGATGAACTGAGCAATGGTTCACCACTTGTCGTCTAGTCGTTAAAAAGACTGTTTAAGCATTTCACATGGGCAATCTGCATCACATCAAGTCCCCACCGGCAAAGCCGTGTTGGGCACTACCCAGCTCTCGGTACACAAAGGCACACGTACACTTTGAACATGTTTGTGGGCAACTCATTCAAAAAAAGATACTGTCACAAGCAGGCTACTGGGACATATACACAGCACACAGAATGCTCTGAAAAAATCCTAATTACGCCGTGTACCGTCTAACTTGCCACAGCAACTCCACAACAGTGACCACAGCAACATGCAAACAACTTTCACATGACATTATCTCAACTGTATGGAAGCATGCCAGCGATATCACGCTTTTTTTCTGTTTGCTGATTTCATCACCAAAAATATTTTTTCCAAAGAATCAATCATACAGTGTTACTGTAATCGGTGAAAAGGCCTGTCACAGTAAAAATACTGTTACTGTACACTGTTGCTTTTCAAAGTACACACCACCCCCTTAAAAAAAAGTAAGATAAAAAATCAAAACTAATTCATTTTCTTCTTGTTTGGAAACCCTGTTTAGAAAGCCAACCTTTCACTTACCATAATGGTAATGTTTGAAGTAACATGTTTTCGGGAAAACTTGGTCACAGTCTGGTTTGAAAATGGTTTAATAAACCCCTTAACTGTAAACCTCTTCCCCTGATCATTAAAGCAAATTTGATTTTTGGAATAACTTGTAAACAAGAAACTAAATCAATTCAAAATGCTGTTGAACGATCGCAGACCCGTTTGGATTTCTTACCTCCGATTTCCAGGTACAAGCATCTGCGACCGTGGTGAGAGAACGGCCGAGCGAGGCCTGGGGATGCCGCTCCGCTCAGCTGAGGCACTGGACCGGACCGGTATACCGCTGCGCTGGGGAGAGGCATTGCGCATCTTGCTGGGCGAGGGCTGCTTCAGGCCGCTGGCCTTGCCCGGGCTTGGCAGGGAGCGGGTGGGCGAGGGGCTAGTGGGGTGCTTCAGTCTTGTCTCAGTGGGGTCCGAGTGGTTGGTGGCCGGGGTGGTGCTGGTAGGGGTGGTCGTGGTGCTGGGCATCGGTTGGGGAGCAGCACTTGGGGGGCTGCTGGTCTCCTTGGTGTAGGTCCGATTGAGATTTGGTAGGCTACCTTTGTGAACTGCTTGCCTCTCTGTGTGATAGAAATGTCAGCGAATGTTAGGGACCATCATGATTCATGACGAACTTTATAAACTGCTTCTATCCTATAAACATCGACATAACCACACAAAGAATACAGCCAAGCTTAACAAAGGAGAAACAGTAGTCACAATTATTCAGCACACAAAATCGGAAGTCAATAGAAATTGCAACAATCACAGACCCACAACAACTCAATTATCACAAGACTTTGATTCAAGTCACCCGAATAAAAACAAAACTTTTCATGAATACAGAGCTCTGTGCACTTACATAAGATCTGGCAAGTCCGGCATGAAATTACTCAAAACAGCACATTCATCTTGACTCAATGAAGGTCAAATGTTTGGAATTGAGTTGAATATGGTGCATATTTAATAGACGGTGCTTGCTGATGAGGTAAACAGGGGTGAGATTGGAGCTTTGTGGGCCCCACAGCAGTGTAGGGTCTATGGTCGATATTTCTGTCTGCCTGAAGTCAACTTTTACACAAACACCTTACTGGTAAAAACAGGATTTTCCAGATTTTAAGAGAGACTGTTTGAAAAATCCTGAAATCAGAAAAGTATGGTGACAAAATCCTAAGATCGAGAACAATCCTGACAAATCCCACCCCTGGTTAAAGGAAATATGATGACTGAATGACATTTCTTTTACTCAAGGACGTACTGCTCATGTACTATTCAGCAAAAAATTGCCATGCTGTTTGTTAAAGCTGTTACTGTCACGCTGGAGTTCCTGTGCTGAACCATCTGTACATCGTCACGTCAGCCCAACATCCCAAGGGATGCTTGACTTTCACTCCAGAAGTGCAGAGGTCACATCCATGCATGCAGGTCACAAGACACAACACCCCTCGGACGCCCACACTTACCCAGGGCGAGTTTCTGCAACTCCGCAATAGTGATACTGTCCCCATTGTCTGAAGTATGATTGGGCGTCATCTTTGCTCCGTAACTATATCTACGAGTATCCCCTGTATGGCAGACAGGGTTGAGGGCAAGGGGTGTTGAGAAAGGGTAGCAAGAGAGGAAGGGGCAGGCAGGTCCAGGATGGGTAACAGATAAGTCTGGCATTTAGTTGTGTGGGAAAATGGTTTACATGGTTCCAATCGAATGCCAAAAAAAAAAAGTACAAGTAACTGATGTAAACATGACTGGCGAGGTTGAAGTTGGTGTCAAATATGCAGGGGGGAACTGGACTGCTTTTCCATTCGTGGACATGAAAAATGGAGTCATTACACTAAGGTTCTAAACTAGATTTTGACAAATGAGCTCTTCAAGGGGGACACTTTAAGCCACATCTAACCTGGCAGCTGCATTTCGGCAGCAGATCAATGGTTTAGTGGGGGGAGGGGACATGAGTTTAACTGGGATGGTAACTCCTCAGAACGGGAGGGGCAAAAGCTACGGTGCAGCAAACCATGCTGGTTGTATTCAGTTTTTTTCAAAGACTGATGCATGAAAAGCTAGCAGAGGGGAAGTGTATTTGATCCGTCTGCAAGTTAAGGTGACCCTCCATGACTGACCGTGATGATGACAATTAACGAAATGGCATTTGAATCGTTTTACATGTCGGAACCAATGAAATGAATGCACGTGTTTGAAATCCCAAAGGACAGGGTGAATGTATGATAAACAATTCTCAAGGCCATACAACACACAAAAATATGACTGACTGGCACCACATGGAGAGGACAGTTTCCTTGATGGGGAAAATTTAGACTTTGTGGTGGAACTTTCTTGTGACCCAACGAACTTAGAAGTCCCCAAAGCATCGTACAACGTGTGTATGGTCCTGACACTCATGGAACGAGAATACAAGAGGAAACAGTTGAAACACGCCGTGTCCTGGAACTCAGTTATGACAAAAGTGAACAATATCAGTTTCGAGGTGTGTCAAACATGGTCATGTCCAGATTACTTGGTTGTGGCTTGAAATTACACATCGCTCTATGGAAATTATCTGAAGCCAATGCCACAGATTTGTGTGTAATATCAAGTCACAGCCAAGTAACTCAGACCGGCCCATCACTCACTGCTGCATGCCCTATCGTCCTACCTTCGCCTTTCTTCATCCTCTCCAGCGAGGGCCTCCTCCGCACCACAGTGGATGTTTTGGTACTGGCCTCCACATGGGCTTCGTGGGCTTCGTCCTTGTCCGCATTGCTGCCGTGGCTGTTGGTCCTCGAAGCTGGCTTGTGAAGGGTATTCTCGGACGAGGCCGGCGAGACGCCCGTGGTTGCCCTCCGTGGGGAGTTGGAGGGGGATTGATGCATGGCTTGTCGCAAACCTGAAAACGGAAACTCAACAATTTTGTAAAATGGACAAAACTTATCAACTTCTCCATGACCAAACAAAACAAGTGTTATTTAAGATGTTCAATTCTTGGAAATCCCCAAAATGTAAAGCCTGATTTGTCATGTTGAAGTGTTGGGCTTTTGAAATAAAATAAGGTTTTTTATGCTTTGATATTTGTAGCACCTCTTTTAATGTTTCATCGCATGGGGTCTGACCATTTTAGACCCAAAATACAAGTTTTCCATAGCATAATAAAATGGACGGGCTAAACAACGACCCTCTGATCAGGAGTCACAACCCTTAATGACTAGGCCATATGCACCCCTTTAAGCATGGGCGTAAATCTTGTGGGTTAGGGGACATACAGGGTCCACTTTTTTGACCAACGGGCACGGGCTATTAAGTCATTCCTTTTTTGTGGTGACAAAAAAATTAGCCGCATTGGGCTGCATTTTCCGTGCACATCCGTGTAAATTGAACACCGACCGTCAAAATTCATTGAAAATTCTACATAAGATTCAGGAAGGTTTGACAAATGAGAAGGTTGGATACTGATAAAACCCTTTTGTAACCCACTTTCTTCCTGCATCTTGGCTAGTATCTGCACGTCGGTGACATCCTCCAGCTTGCTGTAGCCCAGCTCTTCGCTGGATTTCCTGTCACCACTGATCCGCCTCTCCCTCTCCCGTCTCTCCGCTTCTCCCTTGGTCCTGGGCGTGGTCGAGGACTGGTAAGGGAAGTGGGTGGGTGCGCTGGCCCCCGGATGGACAGAGGTCGGCGAGGGTGATGGGGAGGATTCTAGTCGGCCTGTTCATGAGAGAAAGAGCACAAAGAACTTGTTAGACTGAGGCCGTGTCCGAAATGGGCTTTCAGAGCTACGGCTAGGTCTATTGTCTGCGCGTGTCCACGCATGTATGCAGTAGGCCTTAGTTTAATCATGGTGGTTGGAAAACAAGCAAATGTTCGACACGGCCTGCCCCAATGGGCAAACTAAAAAAAACAAACAAGAACACAAAAAACCAAAAAAATTGTCATGGCCCGCTTCCGAACAAGGATTGCTCTATGCGGCTACGCGTGCGGTTCTGGTAGGGCCAGGAAAAAGGTGTATTTCGACACCTGACACTGCATGTTACAACTCTAGCTTTTATACAATACGGCAGATCAAAAGATGGTAATGGCAGAACAACATTGATTGTGTTATGACATTTTGTCCGAGCAGTTTTTTGGTCTAATACGGCGCGCTCTGTGCGTATCCAACATTTTCTTAGACCGGAAACATTTTCATGCGATATAAAAAAAATTGGGATGGCATTAATGCCCTTAACTTTGGTACGCTGATGGCATTAATGCCCTCACGTTTGGCATTACTGCCCTTTATTTCAGCCAGTTCACCAATGCCAAATGGCAGTGCCCTAAAAAAAAATGAAATTTGAGGCCTGATATATCAGGGGAAACAGAAAATAAGGGCAGTAGTGTCCATGTGAGCCAATAAGGCACAGAGACAGAAAAGAATCACCCCAATTCGCAACAGGCATGACAGGTGAATAGTCTGATGGTGTGGCAAAGCAGACAGCAACAAAGTTATGCACAGTAGCTGTTGCAGACTTGACAACGGAGACTGGCAAGAAGATGCATCATTCCAGTTTCATCTGTTAACCCCAACACTTCTGCATACAATTTGGCTTGCAGTAGTAAGTAGTAGTCTGAGCCTGAAGGACCTAGCGCTACAAATGACTACTTCTGGCTAGGGCACCCACCACTGTTACTCGTACTGAGAACAATAAAATCATGCATTCATAGTATGGTACATACTATACTGTATGGTTCATTGTCAAATCTATTGTATTTTATGGCTTCAGAGAACAATAAGGTCATGTCCTCTTACAAGCAACAGCACTGAGTACGACATTTTACCACTAAGTAAGAACCCTGCAGTATTTAGGGCTGTTAGGGGTAAAATACCAACTCTTTCATGCCAAGCAACCTTGTACTCGTGTTACTGACCTACTCCGACCGATGCATCAACCATCACTGGCTGTTTAATGACCAGGGAATTGGTTCCCACGCTGTTTCGTTGTGCTGTTGGTTGGTAAAAAAAAAAACAGAGGGACAATATGTTAAAATCTGACAATTAACCCATACCTTCCAAGATCCGTCAAAATCTAACCCAAGGTTTGTAAGAGTTTGCGGGTGCTGCTTATCAATGGTTGTCCCTTGAAAGTTCAAGTGCAAACGATGCAACGTAGAGTTCGTGCACAGTGGAGATTCAGAGAATTCAGGAAGGTTCACAGCAGAAATACATGGAAAACTAGGGCAAAGGGCAGCTTGCAATTACTGGAAATGTTGAAAATATACGTGATCAACACGACAAACATGTCTCATTGTACGTGATGCAGATGATGCTCTTTACGGAAAATATGTTTGTAGGATAAGATAACAGATGCTATGACATGATCCACTTCCCCTATTAGAATGCGGATCTTGCTAAAGACATATTTGATTCCTTTTGTAAGAGCAATCCTGGGTAAGAATATTAATTAAATTGACCTTTGAAATCTCAAGTCAAGTAATAAAACTTGCACTGACTGAGTCTATATACAATGTAAGTAAACCGGCAGTATGTCTAAAGTTGAGCGGCAGGCCACACCTCTGTTGTCATTCCTTCATCCTATAAAAGACAGGCGCAAGGCTGCGGTTCTCCCTCTAACATTTTCCCGGGAAAATCACTGGCATAATCTGGGGGGGCCCCGGTCTATAAGTGTTTATTTTCAATCTGCTGGGGCTGGCACGTCAAGTGCAGGGAAGACATACCAGACAGGCCAGATGCCTCAGATGCCCCATAAAGCACGGGAATAGTGCCAAGACAAAAATGAGGCGGCCAGGATGAGTGAGGATTCTGGGTGGATACTGATAGGCAATAACGGACCTCCAGTCAGTGCTAATGTCTCTGACGTTATCGGCATGTACACCTACGAGTAAGCGCAGACTTGAACCCCACTAACTGTAGGCCTACATTTACATCTTCAGTAAATGAAGTTCCAAAGGGCAAATTATTGAACAGCATCAAGAAACGGAAAATTTCCTATGTTTTAACAGTTTAAAACAAGTTTCTCAGCACCTTTTTTAAAAAGGAAATATCTGCATCCCCCCAGTACATGGGAAAACAAGTTTTCTAACAAATTGTGACAAAAAAATTAAATGAAAAATTCAAAAAATCTGAATGTACAACATGTTCTGGAAAACATTCTCTGATTTTCGGTAAAACACATTTCAATGGCATTTCTGGATGCATTCTTACAGTGGTGCCAGGGGTGGGGAGCTCAGTTGTAGAGACTGTCCTTCCCCTCCCTGCTCCAAGCCTTTCCCCCCTCCCAACCCCCATCCATCCCTCCCCGTCAGGCTACTCTTGGTACCTCTTGCCAGTTCATCCAGTTTGGCTTGCAACGACCTCTTGGCTGATTCCATTTCATCGCTGGGGTGGTCCAGATCCTGCCGAATCCAGTCGTAGACATTGACAGACCGCTCTTCGGGTGTGAGCACTCTTAAAGGGGAGACATATAACCTAGGTGACAAATGAGAAAAATAGACCATGACACATACCACAGAACCAGTTCACCGTCACCTTGGAAGTACGTGGCTACCATGACCTGCCTTACGCACACGGTACATGCACGTGCATACGTGTACATGTATCGATACGAGTACCTTGGACAAAAGGGGAAAAAAATTCATAATAGCAATTTTTGAATTACTCAAAACAATTATATTGAAAACAAAAGGTGCAACAAAGCCATGGGAATGGACAAAAAAAACGGAAGATAACCAGACTACATACTGTTATCACATTATTACTACTCGTAGTTGCAATACGGACACTGTATACATGTACATGTTTATGAAATGCTCTTTTCCACAGCTCACCCTCTTGCTTCATTTACTGTTAATTTAAAGGGTGTGAAATTATAATTCAAAGCACATGTACCCCATAAGGGCACGGGACTAGACTTGCCAACAAGTGAACAATGAACTTACGGTATGAGCACACAGGAAATTCCCAGCAAATTTTGTCATCAATCAATTACACACCCAGCAATGTTTGAGCCCAATGATTGACTTTCATACATGCAATCCTGTGCATCGCTTGCCTCTCATGCACATGGTTGCATGCAGATGATGATGCTACCATCACTGACAGTTTTTGTGCAGCAACACTCAGCGATGAGCCATGGACCGTCTACACGCTGGACAACAATTTACATGGGGTGTTCCTGCATAAATGTCAGGTGTTTCTTCACTCGACTAAACTCAGTTTAACTACGTGTACATCATTTTTGGAGGTTGCAAGAGTGTACAGGTTATTCAGCCTTGTGCCACCGCTGGCAGCTTTCTCTCCATGTGAGATCAAATGGTACAAAATACGCATTCTCATGTATCATTTATCTATAATATGAAAAACATTTACAATTTCTTTCTCAAACAAATTCCATTCATTGGTTAGATTTATATAATTAAAGTAATAAGCAGGACTTTCTGATGCTACAAGACACAATGCAAAGCCACTACACTTACAATGTACAAGTACAATGAACACCTACATGTTTTTAATGCATTGGTTCCTGACAATCAAATTTCCTGAGTGCTGGTACCACACACACAGAGTGCATAGGAAGTCCATTAGGTTCATGACAACTTTGCAATCTCGAGCAGGAAGTTCTACAACATGTCTTTCTACCTGTGCATGTACATGTCTACAATACACGTACATAATCTACATGTGCACAAGGCTGCATTGGCCTCTTGTTGATACAATTTATCAAGTTCAATTGAAAACAAGCTGAGATATACATGTAAATGTAGAATGAACAAAAACACTAAGAATGCATCATGTACCGTATGTACTCATGCACAAGTGCATGTCGCTAAAGAGACACAAATTGAATGTACATGTACATGTAAGCATATGGGTAATTCCAAAAATTACGGGTCCAAAAGTGTGACATTTTCGTGTCCCTGTTACATCTGATGGTCTAAGGTTGTTATTTGACATGGAAGTATCACCAGAATTGAATTCAAACTATTGCTATTTGTTTGGCAGGTAATTTGCATTAATTCAGCACTCTTGGAAATTAGAAAATGTGTTCCGAACTTACAAAATCATGTGTCACATGTGACAGGGACAAGAAAAAAAATGGAAAAAAAATATGTGTACAAGTATGCAGGTTTTAATGGTGCACTGTATGCACGTGTACATGTACATGTACCGGTACATGCAGGGTACATGTACATGTACAAGGTACATGTGTACATGAAAATTGATGCATGTACATTAGATGTCAAGTATTGATTCAATAAGTATACAGATGTAGTTGGTCAAGATTTAATAGGAATTTTCACTAGCACTTACTAGTGCTATAGTTTCAAGTTGGCAGGTGTGATGATCAATCATACATAATAAGGGTGAAGCAATGTACATGTATGTGTTGAGCAGATGTGCCAGTACCTCATCATAAACAACAAGTCCCCATTCCAGTTCAGGGTTCTAGCCGCGGTGGGCGGCGCCGGGCGGCACCACCCGGTACTGCAAATTTCCGCCCGGCACTCAGGGTTGAAATTGGCCCTGCCATCCAGCACGGATTTTCCAAAAAATGAACTGAAATATTACTGAAAATTTAAATGTACCAATTCGATCGTATTTCAAGCATCAGAAAGCATTAAGAACTGCGCTCACTAGGCTTTGTAATCCAAAAATGTACCCAGCACTAAAATGGTCCCAGCTAGAACACTGTTCCAGTTCCATCAACAATGTACCTGACGGACAAATTACACAGTCCTGCAACTGCATCCATATTGGCACATTTAAAAAAAAAACAACAAAATGCAGCGGCTAAGATAAATTGTGTGTAACAATGCGCATTGCAAAATATTGAACTTCCACGGCCACGATGACACTGCAAAATGTATGCAGTATTTCAATGACTGTTCACACTGTATTGGTGTGTACATGTACTTGACATGACAAAGTGCTCATACAGTGCACTGTAGCACACACATGTACATGTACATGTACAGTACGTGCATTCACACAAGTTCTGAGAGGCAATTAAAAGTAACATCTTTATTGTTCCACCATTGCCTTATTGATTTTGGACAAGGACGACAGACAGACAGACACACACACACACACACAAAATATTTAAACTGTATGTGCACTTGTTATTTAGTGACAACTCGTTAGTTTTATTATTGGAGGAAAGAAAGATCTTTTGGTTACCAATCATTTTCAAAGAGCAAAAATATTAGTCTCCCAGACAAGAATCTTATGGGAAAATTTACCAGAAGGTGTGTGTACAATGTACGCCTAATTACAGATCCGAACATCAATCGGCAAATGCCAGCAAAGTGTTATCTGGAATACATGCACATAAATGCTATTGTGCCACAATAAAGAATATACGGACAATGAATATGTGCCATGAAAAAAAGTACTTAACGTCTTCGGAAATGCCAAATTGATTGTGCGGTATATTCTCACAAGTTTGCTCAAATAAATAGATCCTTCACACTTAAACAAGTCAGTGACATGCGTTCAGTAGTTCAGTAATGACCCAGGATGTGGCAGCACATTTTAATGCAGACATCCCTGTGACACAGTCCACACCCTATTCCCCAATCCCTGTGAAAACGTTACTGCATGAAAAAAACAAAATGTTTCTATGTGCCTGTCAGTGTGTGTACTACATGTACATGTAGGTCCGAAAAATTCAAAGGATCTTGGAATCCTAAGCATGCTGGGACAGATAATGTGGGCTTGATGCTGACGAGAGACTGCGCATGCATGTGAATGGAACCCTGCATTGTGAAGAATGTCACTCATGACATGTGTGTCCATGAAGAACATGGATACATTGTCAAAGACATTCCTACACAGCAGTGATACTTGTGTACTGCTCGCATACATGACACACCATCCATCTATACATGGACTTTGGGGGTGTTAAAGACCTATTAGAACGGTTCTGAAAATCCCACCTTTGCCTGGTAAATAAAAAACAATGACAAGCTGAGTTTTAAGGAGGCTCATTCCTACATGTAGGTTTTGAGATACATGTAAACATGACCCAAACTGCCTACAGTGTACATGTACATGTACATGAGTGCATCTGGAGCGGGATTTTGGCCATGTTTGAAAGAAATTCCAGAAAATCCAGAGGGCTGGATGTAATAATGACGGAAATAAAATCTGGCAATTTTTGAGGGCTTTTAATAGGGAATTAGCCTGATGGTATAAATTCCAATTCCACACGGCTAAATTACAAATGTATGTGAATCAAACATTTCACTTATTGGTACATGTATAATATTTAAAAAAGTATTTAACCTCTAAAATTCAGCGTCCCGTCAAAATCCTTAAATGTGGAAAAAATTCATCAGCAATTACTGTACATGTACATCCCCATGTAGAGTACATGTACATGTATACACATAAGGACATTATGGGCTGAGATTTCACTGAGATGTGCATGTACATGTACACTGTACATATCTCATTCAGACCCATAGTAGTCTTAATTCTGATGGAATATTTACACAGCTTGACTGGCAGCAAGAGGGGTTTTGTTGAAAGTGCCAACATCACAATGCACTTGACTGACCAGCCTTGAAATCCTGGCAAACACCAGAACCTACATACATGTGCATGTACATGTTTGATAGGCAAACACATGTTTACATAGTGCATGTAGGTCTCTATACAAAACTAGTTTTAAAGGGCATGTCCCGCAGAAATTTGGAACAAGTCCTTAGGATTTGAGTGACCCTTCACATTATTTTCTGGCTCCAACAAGCACTTAGAACACAAGCTATGTACATGTATACAGCTCATGAATGTGAAGGGGTCCAGGGGAAGCCACAAATAGACCGTATAAATGGGAGACCTAATTTCAGTCGTATTCCTGAATGTATATATACATTTGAAACCCTTATTGGGATGGTACATGTACCAGATGATTTTTTGGGGGGGGGGTCAGAATGAAATGACAGGATAGAGTCTGGTCCTTTAAATTTAACGTTTTCAAATGAATGCACTACCTTGGGGTGATCTGACGGAAATTTGACCCCCCTCCCCGTGAATACAGTCTATTCAAGTGGACATCTTCTGCCCAACTCAAGAACATGAAAAGCACCCCCCAAAGTTTCTTTTGAAAAAGGAGATTGTTGGGCCCCAAAATGGTGAGATTGTGTTAATGTTTGCCAGGATCAACTCCCTTGGTTCTTTGCGTTTCCATCTGAGAGCAGAACGGACGACAAAATACGGTTGAAAAATGGTTCTATGTGCCTGAGAAAGTAGAGGAAGCCATTTGAATAATGCCTGTAGGCAGACTTTTGAACTACCCCTTTTTGTTGAGGGGATGATTTTGTTTTATACAAATACTTGAAATTATAACTGGTTAACCCCCCAAAAAATTGAAAAGAAAAGTGAAAGATGAAGGGCAAGACAATAATTTCTGTTTGGGAAACCCGAGGGATGTTGGCATGCATGTTCCTGAGCCTCCAAAAATGCTGATTTTACACTGTTTTCAACGAGGCTCGCATTGGTGGACTGCACCCACAAGTGAAGTTGTAAGGTGAGGATTACTGGGGAATGAGTAGGAGGGAACAGTAGGGTGTTGTTCAGGAAGGGGGTGACAAGCGGATGTTGACGAAGTTGTACAGTCCGTACCATTGTTAAGCCATCACTCATAGCGAGCTGGTAAATTCCAAAGTAAAGAACAACTGGGCAGCAGAATTAGTGCTTGTTAAGAGGATGAGGATAGCATTTGAGCCAGTCACAATAAAATTGTTGAAGCGTATGATCGAGAGGGATGAAAATGTCTCGAAGATGGCTAAGGATCATACACGTCCAACAATGGGTTCAGTAAGCAGTACAAGCTTGAAATGCTGAGCAAGTACCATTGCGCCTACACACATGTACATGTACTTGCCTTCTGTGATAGTTTTAGTGAAAGCTGTCCATAATCTGCCAAAAATAGTCGTAGTTGCAAAGGCATAAACTGCCTTATAATGATTTTTTATGCCCATTCATAAATACACATGTACAGTACCGTAGAGTTTCCCTATTCAACAATGTGCAATGCGACCGTTTACAAACATTTGATCACGCCCGCTGTGATTTGACAACGCCCACTGCGTTAAAACATGCTGGCACCTGGAATACGAGACAGTTTAATCCCTTTCTATTGGTCAAGAGTCTGTGCGCGCCACGGCACGCAGAACACGCCACCCATGTGCCAAGTCCATATAAGGAGATTCTTTGTAACTACATGTACTTGCTCCAGGAATATACCATTGAATGACCAAGCACACATTGACTCCCTTATCATGCAAGGACTATACCTATTTGAGAAAGAGAGGGAAAAAAGGCACATGTACATGTACATGCATGTTGTACATGTACATGCATGTACATAGTATCTGTATGCATTACATAATGAAGGATTAGTAACCCAAGTCCATCCAAGTAATGTACAAATGTACTCCAACATTTGTATGAAAGCAACAATTATTGCACCTACATGTACACTTCAATTACAAAACCTGTACATGATGCATATATCTATAGTTGAGGCTACAGGCCAAGGGTTGCGCCCACAGGAAATGACATGGTCCTACTACAGGAAGCAACTCAGGAGCCCCTTGATCCTCCTGGGTGCTGCGACTGATGTCAACAAGCCACACCTGATCAAGAACAGACTCTGTGACAGAGAACTACATGTACTCCCCCCCCGTCAAACTAGTGCTCGCGTTTGGGGCGTGAAGGACTCAATTGACTTCGCACAGGTGTGCACGAGCATGTTTATGTAGGCCAATTTCATGTCCTTGTACACCTTAAAACACTCTTCACCTGTACAACCGACGGCCCTCAATTGGAGAGTATTAACTGCTTATTCATCTTGCTGATGGAGTGAATCCACTCCGAGCAGGAACGAGAGAGGGCATGGTTTTTACACAGACGTGACAGTGATTTGGTGGAAGCTCAATGCATGTGTGCGCAGGCTTATGCACTTTGAGTATGGGATGCACTGAGTACAAGTACAGTACTTGCGACATATTTCTGTTGAAGGTCTCCATGTACACCCCTCGTGCATAAACCCCGTTGAAATACTTCCCACTAGCCTGTCTCTTCTTTGCCGGTGATGTTCTTCAACTCTGGGTGGAATAGGCTAAACTCAGGAAGAATCTGGAAGATTACGTCTGCGTCAACCCTAACTCCCCGGGCCCTTGTGGCTTGCATGCATCCTCAGTCCTTCAAAAACCTCCAACTGCCCCCAAGGAGAACTGGATACAGACTCAATCCTCGAACACTCCCCCTTTTCTTTCTTGACAATGTTCCTTTGAGGGGGTGACCACTGCCTCAATCTTTCGTAATCTTCTGGCAATTCCTCTCATTGTGTTAAGGCAGTGCGAATGGTATCTAGGAGCAGTATGGATGATTTATACATGTACATGTGCATGGGGGAGTCTAACCCAAGACATTGACAAAATGCGTCCTTCCAAATCAGCTAAACTCTTTTTGCCATTCAGCCTCAATCCCTCAACATCCTCCAAAACCGCCCGAAGGATTTTGGAGGATCAAGGATGGTTAAGGTTTATGTTTTTGCACTGTACTACAACAAATGCATGCACAGATGCTCTCATGTACACACTCATGCCCCATCTGTACATTTTCATACACACTGCACCTGTTAATTATCGTATGTATAAAGATGTGCAATATCTTTATGGTGTCTTCACACAGCCCGTAATCATGTCAAGCCAAATTAGTATACAGGTAATTCTAGCAGAAATCAGGTATCCAAAAGTACGACATTTTTGTGTCCCTGTCACATCTGACCTTTGCTATTTGACATGGAAATATCACGAGAAGTGATTTCAAACTATTACTACTGTACTTGTTTGGCAGGTAATTTGCATTAATTCATCACTCTCGGAAATCAGAAAATGTGATCTGAACTTACAAAATCATGTCAGATGTGACACGGACACAAAAAAGTGGACCCCTAATTTCTGGAATTACCCATACATAAGTTTTGCTTTTCACCAGCACTGTGTTCGTACAGATATATCTCTCAGCACTAAGTACATATGTAATGGTAAGTAGGCTTGGTGCTCTACGATAGCGCGCAATGAAAATGTTTGAAAGCTTACTCAGGTGGGAGTTGAACCCATAACATCCTGCTTAGTATTACAGATGTAGTACCAATAACTATACGTACGAGATTGGCCTACAGGGTTCGAATCTCAAAATTTTAACAGTGGGTGCAGAAATGTGGAATGAGTCAGGATATTTTGCATCTTTGAGAATTCCAAGAACACATTTGAAGCTGAACTTTGTATTTCACACTCAGGTGACATGTTGGTATACATACATTTTTGCAAATGTAGAATGCCTTACATAATGCATTCACATACATGTACATGTATTTTTACAATTTTCACTACCCATCTTCCACTGTGGTTCCGTGGTCACAAGTGTGATGGGCGCACTCACATATGGCAGACTTACATGTAACTTCGTGTCTTGTGTACATGCACATAGCCACAGACATTGGATTACTCAAAGTCACATGAATATTCCGTGAAGACCTAGATCAACATCATATTCATAATTCATTGCCAGACATATCTTGCTGTGACTAAAGTACTATTTCCCATGATCATGTTACATGTGCCTGGCAGGTGGTATTTTATACCAATTTACTCAGCGGTGGGATTACGCTGTGCAATGATGACTTTGATTTTAATTATTAAAAGGAAACAGAAAGGATGTGTTTCTTTTCCAGGAAGGGCATTTTGGATTTGATACACGCAACACAATGTAAAAGTCTTGACCACTGCTCTTTTGACACATTTGACTACACTGCACACAGGCTAGGACACTTCACAGGCTAAGAAATCATTCACTCTCATTGAAAAGAAACCAGTTATTTGGGCAAAATTTTCAAAACCTTGTCAGTTTCAATTTTTGAGAGGTGCCATCTCCAATGGATCCTTTGGCTTTTTACTGATTACAGAATAGTAATTTATATTTGTGCGAAAACTACATATTTCTCTGCTGGTGCATATAATTCCAAACTCCTGTCTGATCAGACATTACCAAAAACAAGTCACTCAATCAATCCAGTCATTTCATGCAAACTGGAGGCTTTAATTTTGCAGTGCCAGAAATTTCAAGGGCAACTGAAATATGCTGTGAACAAATTCATAGCAAACCAGAGTTTGTATGAGGAATCCGGCTATAAATGTACATGTACATTTACGGGACACCTTTTGGGCCTTTTACACTCTTTCCTTTTTAAAATACTTGTTTGTCTTAAGACACAGTGACACATGTTTGTATTGAAACAGCTTTGACTTAAAAATTTGCCTGAAGATGGCATTGCTTGTGTACATAAACATTAAAATTTGCATAAACATGAAGTACTCAATGTCAAGAAACAACAAAAGAAAGTTTGGTCAATTAGTCAAACTCTTGCAAAGGTGCTTTCTAAACACACAAGCACCCAAACAAGTTTACAGGCACTTAAAGGTTTCATTCACCGCTCAAGATGAAAAAGAGAAGCTTACGTACAGTGAAAGTCACTTCCAGTTATTTAACCCTATCAGTCCCGAATGCTACAAAGTACTACTTAGTAGTAAAATGTAGTACTCAGCCCTGTCGCTTGTAAGAGGACAGGACATTATCATTCTCTGAAGCCAGAAAATACAATAGAGAAGACAATGTACATGTACCATACAATGCTGTGGCACTAGGAATTCATGGTTTCATGTTTCTCTGTACAAGTAACAATGGAATAAACCTAGCCAGAAATAATAACTTGTAGCACTAGGTCTTTCAGGCTCAGAGTGTTACGTAGTATTTTGTAGGACTGAGTACTCTAAGCCAGACAACGCCCGGTACTGTTAGGGATAGATAATGAAGTTAGTATGGCTGAGTGACAGTTTTGAGGTATCCCCTGTACATTAACGGTGACCTGCAGGGATATACAGTATCCTTTTTATCCTGCAAGATATTAACTGATCACTATGGGTTTGACCTGCTGGCTTATCGAGTCTAATACAAGGCACGTGACTGGACAGAATCTGTCAAACTCCAACAGGTCAACAGCAGAGAAGTACTTCGAGTCATTTGGTATGGACAGGCATCAAGTATACATATACGGGTGACTACCAAACCTTTTTTTTTTTAAAAGTCAGTGGAATGGTCTTAAAAACCATACTGTAGGTCATAGGTCATCATATTGAAAGAGATATGCATCACTTTCATTGACGGTTTTTTTGGGGGGGGATTTAATTGAGAAAGTGGAATTTTGTCAATTACTAAATGTACCCTGATACGTGGGCTGTATTCAAAAAGCCATCGCATTATGAACCCACAAAAGTCGTAGAGCTGCGAGTCACATATAGGCCTAGGCCTACTAATAACCACGATGATTTACATACGCCCATCATAAACTTGACAACACTTTCCACTCACCAGCTGTCTTCTTCCTCATTCATCATATCACTAATTTCACTGTCCAAAAGCTGCACACTATCATCTAGAAGACTGTAATTGGCACGGTCCTTATCCGTAGTCCCGTTTTCTAAACTGTTAGGGGTTCTGTCATTACTGTGGTTTGTCAAATCAAGGGAATGTGACGATGATATCGCCATTTTGTTCCGGACTCGTGAGTTCTGGGGTGTCGTCTGGATTTTGTCGCCGCCTATTCCACCGGCTCTGCTGCGAAGGAGTTCATTCTGCTTCTCCAGTTTCTTTACCAGACTCTGAAGTTTCTTCACCTCGGCTTCTGGGTCAACTTGAGTTTCCATTTCGCATATTTTTAACACATATTCGCACACCGAGACGCGAAAAATTTAGTCAATACATCGGAAATCACGGTGGATTGTGGGCAGAGTCGACCGGTCATTCAATTTGCACAACAGTCCAGTGCGCGTACTGTCCACAATACAAAAATATAGTTTGTAGTAGTAAATTCAAGATGGGGTATTTTAATCCTGTCTTCACATTAAAAACAAAACCCTGCACAATTAAGAACATTTCAATTACTTTCTTGCCGAGTATTTAATTAACTCGTGATGCACTACGGTACAATGAGCAATAAAGTGACGCCCCCCCGACTGAGCAAGTTTATGTTGATTCTCATATTCACCAAACGAGGGCGCTCTTCAAAAGTGATGCGAGTGGCGTGGGTATAACCGTTGAGGGCGCAATTTGTCAACCTTATTTTTACACTTTTCTTTTACAAAAGAAATTCACGGTCAAAGTTAAAACCAAAGAGACCCCGAATTACCCTCTAAAATGGTAATACCAAGATTGAAAATAAACGTAACACCACATAACAAAATCTAGTTGTAAGAGCTCTTTCATTAAATCTGCGTATAAAAAAGTAGTATTTTTAAAAGTTCATATAATTATATTTTGAGGGTAGCTGCAATCGGTTGGTTTTAATACAAACCTTACAAGTGCACCTATATGTCTCGATTAACTTTATTAAACTTTTGAAAGGGTATTTCACTGCCTTTTAGGGTTTTAGGCTTCTTCTTCTTGCGTATGAGATCCCACACTGCTACGCCACGTCACACACTAGCTGCCTCAGCCAAGCCACGGTCGCTTGAATTGGGTTGGTAAGGTCAGGGGTACCCCCAGGTGGGCCGAGTTCCACACAACCGAGCAGGATGTGATCTAGGGTCTGCTCAGGGGCAAGCTGCAGAAGGTCGGAGACCCCAGCGATGCTTGTTGGTGGCGAAACGGCGGCCAACTCCCAAACGAAGGCAGTTTAGGGTAACCCATTCTTGGCGGGGGAGTCCTGCCCCTGGAGGGGTCTTGGTTCCAGGGGCGATAGTTAGTTGGGTTTTAGGCTAACTGGTCATGAACAAAACTGGGAGTGTGAGGTCATCCCAATAAGAAGCCTTAATGTTACATTGGTTTGTACATAAAATGTACCGCATTTTTTGTTGATGATTTTGCTAAAATTTCTCTTCTTTGCTGATTTATTGCTGTTTATGAGCATAACAATAAGCGACCCTGGGTGACACACAGCAACAGCGCCCTCAGTCACTAGGAAAGCATAGATAATTGTAATTAACTTTTCAATGCACATAACCAAATAGGAATGCACTTGTCGTTCTTATAAACATGTACTCAAAATTTAGACAGCTTTGGAGCAGTTCAACGATTAACAACTCATATGAAGTACAGTCGACTCACTGTACAAAATTTTGTTTATGTAAAGAGCAATTCTGAGAATCCCAATTTCTTGAATTACTAAGTTTTCTTTGTTTTCAACTCCTTCTATAACAAAGTTTTGCTATAAGTAATCTTGCCCCTTTAACTTTGCCATAATGAGAGTTGGCTTTGTGATATTCAGCTAACGACGTCCATTTGACAATCTACGGACATGACGTGGTGTGGGGACAATTAACTCGTATGAATTCAATCATACTGCCTGATATCTCGGGAGACACTGTTGAGGAAATCAAGCTGAGAAAACTCTCTCTGTTCTAAAAGGTAATCCACCAAGTGCCCACTGTAGCTTTCTGGGTCCACACGACTCGCAACTTCGTCTCTCAAGGCTTTCGGCAAGGGAAGGTCATGCACAACAGCCGGATCTCCAAGCCGGTGCGGCCGGACAGCGCGTCGCAGGGCCTGCCGGCAAAGGTGGCGGAGGGACGGTGCCTTCCTGGACATTACTCGGATGATTTCCGTGATCTTTCGGTACAGCGGGGACCACATCCCGCTGTGCACGTTGTCGGCAACACACTGCCCGGCCGGGATGACGGGCGTGGTGGTCATGTAGGAAGCGAGGAGAACCACCGATTTGATGTTGGTGTTGTTCGTATGGATCTGGTGCGAGAAAAAGAATTCCACGAGGGGAGTTCTTCCCATTTTGTTCTTCACGTCTGCGTCCGAACCGCGAGCAAGGAGCGTCGATATTAGGTGATAGTCCACTAGGGACCCCGCTGCAGCATAATGAAGTGGGGTGTTGCCGAGTTGGTCTTGCTTATTCAGGTCACCATTGTGCCGGAGAATCTCCTGGATTATGTTGAATTTATCCTGACTTGGTGACTCGGTGTAAGCGTTAACGGACGTGTGGAGTATGTATGGTATAGCATCCAGGCTCCCGAAAATTATGCCCAATTCCAAGAACAAACGGAAGACGTGCTCGTGACCGGCGATCAAAGCCATCGCCGCCGGGGTTTCGCCGAAGGCATTCAGGACGTTCGGGTCGGCGCCGTGAGCCAGCAGAACGGAGACGCTCGCGTGCCTGCCCGCCTCGCATGCCCTGTGCAAAGGGGTAGCCCTATCTAGACGGCTGGGGATGTTCAGGTCAATTCCCGGCACGGAGCACAGTAGCTCAACACACCGATGGCTACCGCTTGTCCACCTGGCAACCAGCCGTGAATGGTCAGCGTAGGAGTGGAACTGCAAGGCCCGGAAGGTGCCTGGATTGGTGGCAGCGTGGTGGAGGGCTGACTCCCCGTTGGAGTCCAGGACGTTTGGCGAAGCACCGGCCGAGAGCAGCGCTTCTAGCATGTCGTGACGGCCACGACTGGCCGCCACATGGATCAGACATACACTTGCCGGAAGTCTCTGAGAATGCCTACCTTGTGCGTTGAAGAGCGCCAACGTCGGTCTGATGACCCACCGGGAGGGGTACAAAACGTCAGCACTGGACGATAGTCGGCCCAGACTTTTCTTGAAAGCGCTCAAATCTCCTGTGACGATGTAATGTTGCAGTTCAGCCAATTTCTCCAAGTCTCCGACAGAAGATACGCGTTCTTGATGTGTAGGATTACGTCTTCCAGCCTTATTGAAGATATGGAAGATTAAGAAACAACTTTTGGTATTTCGAAGTTGTACTCAACAGTATATATACCATAGATATGAAACAACGGCAACATTTATTATTATGTTTATTATTATCATGTACCGTACTGATTGTTTGCCTACGTTTGTCATGCCTCGCCAGTCTGCAGAAGGTGATGACCTCCTGGATGGCCAAATCATCCCAAGCAAGCTTTCCATCACGTTTCGGATGAATGGGCGTCTGTGAGATTGGCGAAGTTAAAAAATTTCAAACATTTACTTCTTTGTACCAAGCATAAAGATCAGGGTACCAAGCATAGAGATAAGGGTACCAAGCAACTGTGAGGCATTATCAAATGAGCGCGTGCGCACAGACAATGTTGTCGCGCTATTCGACGACAGTTGGCGCGTTACGTCACACAAAGGAAACCTGGGGCGTGTTTTTCCGATCCCTAACCAGAAAAGTGTTTGTGACGTCGAAGCAATAACCAAGAAACCATACAACGAAGAACCAGAAACGGTTACACCATTCTGACAGAGGCACTGAGCTCAAGGAAGCAGACGACAGTGTTAATGAACACCATTTTCACTCGATATTCGCCATGTTTCTCATAAGTGCTGCTCTCTTTTTCACGTAGGGCCAACGTTCTAGAAGGAAGTATCTCTTTGATTTGCTGCATGTCACAACAAATTTTGAAGTGCATGATACATTTACGAGTTTGTGGGGAGGCAAAATTGTCTGCTTATTTTCTGCTAACTTAAACCGGTGATGAACCAATTCAAACTTTCGGTTCTCGTTCAGTCGAAACAATGACGTCGCTGACCAAGTTACGAAAGCACTTAAACCAAGCTGAAAAAAAAATCGTGGTTCGTGTCGCCAAAACACACCCCGGTCCCCTTGCCTTGGCAATGAGTGCGTTATTCCCAACAAAATAATTCTCAGCAGTTCATTGCCCGTTTCTGCTCTCCGGCGACTTATTCGAAAATGGAAAGAACAGGAATGGCAAGCCTTGAACTTGTGAGGCCCGAGGGTGACACCTTGTGCAAATGTGGTTTAATGAGACGGGTTGACTAACAAACAGCTTCGTGGATGAATGGGCGTGGAAGACTGACCCGTGCGACTTTAAGAGGCAAGGTGGATGATACAGGACCTATCACTTGCCTGTATGGGGGAAGCATGCACTGACTCCACGCTGCTGACCAAAATCTTCGACCAAAGACTCCAGAACGACTAACGGAGTGGGCGCATTAATTCTTCATAGGGATGAGGAGAGGTTCGGGTGTGGATGGTTCTGATGTCTCCAAGTCGTCGGTAGGCTTGGATGACGGGAGGGCCGGTGGCTACTGAGAGTTCAAAGCCGGCTGATACCACCTTTCCCTTAAATTGCGGTTGCAATCTGCAAGCTATCGTTGTAACCGTCATACATTTCCACCGTCAAGGCCATGACCGACGTGACAAGATACATCACCGCGTTCATGACAAAGTTGAGAGGCGTTTTTGCGTACTGCAGCGAGTCTTGAACCTGATCGATGGTCTTTTCTAAATCGGGTTCTGAGTTGAGACTTTCCATGATTGTGACTAATTGGTGTTTTGCGTCCAACTCTGTTCCCGATGCCAGAGCGCTGTTGTCTTTTTTTTGGGAGGGGAGGGCCTACGCACCCAACAAACGTTAGCGCGAATCGGCCTGTTAATTCTGGTAATGCGTTCGTCGGTAAAGAGTTGGTTTGGGGGATAAGGTCCCTTTCACCAAGCGTTTACAACGTGATCAGGCCACTCGATCCAGGCCCGTGCAGGTACTCGCATCACTTGGCAAGTGCAGCCTGCGCGTGCGTGCCGTTGAGGAACGCTGAAATCATGGACGTCGTAGTTTTTGCCGGGCACAGGTCTGTAACCTCAGCCTCTGGGTATGTAACACCCAGGGGCGCAGCGAAGGCATTTTCTGTGTGGGGGGGGTGTGCTTCGTGTCGTGTAAAATGGAAATCCGTCGTAAGCTACATCTTATGCTTCAGGGGAAATCCCGACGGCCAACGTATATCGTTTATGTACCAATCTTTGATTCATTTGGCGACCGAAGATCTCTTTGCCGACTGGGTTTAATTTTCTGGGGCGCACCCCCCACACACACACACCGGTCGCTACGCCCTTGGTAAGGCGCCCCTCACCGTTCCTCCCGTGCATTAAAAACAGGCGACGCTAAAGACATCCTTTAAATTGTCTTGACTGATATGACGTAGGTTTGCAATTAGTTCAGATGCCTGTGGAATGATGTAATAATAATTAGGCCTAGAGGCTGTAAAATTTAAAAATGTTCCCCTCGTTACTTCACAGTTCATGTGGCTAGTATAACGTGGCCCATTTCTTCTCCGCTGTGTCATTAGATCCGGCACGCGGTAGTAAAAACACACTTTCGTCATTATGCGTTTGACCTGACCCTGGAGTATCTTCAATTGAGTGATATACCTGTATTTGTTTCCCATCATTTCCGCCTGTAAACCTGGCAGTGTTATTTAGACGTTGGCTAAAAGCTTCTCCGTGTATTTCACTTCCTTTTTTTCATTACCAAACACTATTTGTACTTTTGTCTATATTTTCCAATTTAAAATCGAACTAGGGGTAAACTGAACTTTACAATCACGACAAGTGACAAAACCTTCTGTCATTACAGAGTGGTCATCATTTGGGTAGTCTTTTAATTCCCTGAGTGGTTCGGGAGGAGTAATGCGAACACCGAGTAATTCTTTCGACTAATTGAAAGAAGAACATGTTTTTAATACATACAATTAAATTGTTAAACAAATTTTAATTGCAGTTATAGCAACTCTGGTGTCTTCTAGTTCCTTGATTAAATTATGCAAGCCCTTGACTCTGTTACAGAAATTAAAATGAGTGTTTTTGAGTGTTCCTTCATTATGCAAGGTCCTGAAAGTACACAACCTGTTCACGCTGCCATGGTAACGTATACGTAAGTGGAAAATTCACATGAGGGGTATCGACAGCTGTCCTGTTCATTATGCACCCTCTGTACATTGGTCCACACAACGATTACGACAACATAACGGACGTGACCATTAACCCCAACATCTGGTAAAATTGTTTGTTAGTTTTTTTCTACAAAAGTCAACAGTTAGCTGGAGCAAAGTATTGAACAGAGGATAATCTGATGCAAATTCATAAAATTCGCTTAATGTTTCTTCCCATTTTTTTTAATTTTAGGCAAGAACTAACATTTGGTGAAAGTACCTCCCTGTTTAACCTTGTTGAAATGTTTGAAATGAAATTTCCAACCACTGTCAAAAGTTGGCTGCATATTGTTTAAAGTTATATCTCATTACGTTCTTTTACACATCTTTCTAGTTCAGATAAACTTCGACATACACTTGGAAGCGTTGGGTGGCGCTGTTCGAGCCCTCTTCAGTATAGAGCAAATCGATGGTCTGGTCTGCCTGGAGATTTTCACTGCCTTGGTTCTAAGGATAAAGAGAAATACAATATATATATTTCCAGGCTTTTACATTAAAACCACCCCTGGAAAACAACTTTAGAATAGATGCTTATTACCTCATATCAGACGAAAATGTAGCTGTGAGTTGCCTGGTCTTGGCTGTTGCGTACTCTGCAAAAAGGGAATGGTAGCGACCGTGCTGGCTCTCAGGCTGATTTTAACGGTTGCAGGCCTGTCAATAGGTCCAAAGTTGGCTGCGCGTGCCGAATCACTATGTGGAGCAGTTCGAAGCACGTGGACAGGGCGATTTGTTAAGAAGGACTAGGGTGGAATTTATCAGCAGGACTGCCAGCTTGTATTTCTGAAAGTATCGGACCAAATGAAGCCCTCCAATTCGGTTTATTTTGCAATGGAGTGTATATAGGCATCAACTTTCAAAATGGCGATTGGCCTCACGACTGATTTTCTGTGGAGAGAAATATCCTTCAAGAGTCGAGATTGAAAGGAAAATGAAAGATAAAGAAGAGAACTTTAATTTAATAAACTGTCTTGAGCACCTGAGAAACTTGTGAGACAATTTCCTGATTTTGTGAATTGGGAATCGAATATTTATGAATGTGGTCTACAGCAGCTTATTTACTGGTCTGCAATCATTATCGACAACATGTTATATAAAGGCCCTGACTGGCTCCCGGGCGTCATGCGTCAGTACCAGGTCGTGTACACAAATGTTTCTTAAAAGAGCGAATCTGGAGCTTGAACTATTTTAATGACGTTGAGTCTGTGTGCTTGAGTAAACAAAATTGAGAGCGCAGAAAATACGGGTATAGTTGGACTTTGAGAACTTGTGAATTTTTTTATTTGGAAGGGCGGTAAATTGGGGGATTGGGCAAAATATGGAGTCGCCAGAGACCTTCAGCGAGGTCAACCCATTTTTTAAATAGCCAACCGAGAACGAGAGACCCAAATGTTGTCCCAACGGACCAATTCACAGTCTTTTGGGATTCACCAGCGCTCAGAATTTTCAACTTTTACAACATTCGGCTGGGGTTTAGCTACCCAGGTCGTCAAAAGTGGGTCAAACGCTCTGGGTTTTGTTTGTTTGTTCGTTTAATCTTTGACCTCGGATACCAAGGAGATTTTGTAAAAGTTAAAAATTGTGAGAGCTGGTCCAGAATCGACATTTTTCTCCATAGAGCAAGGTCCTTGCTCTATCGTTTCTCCTACGACATGTACATGTGCTATGCAGCAAAGACCCATGTACTGGGGCAAGACAACATCAAACAACAGAGGGCAAAACGTTCAACGCTTAGCTGATTTTTGAGACATAAACAGATCTACCTGTTTTGTCAATCACAAGGGTTTGGGACTGACTGAGGAGGCACAAACTTGAAGACCAGTGGTTGCCACCCCCCCAACAAGACAGCCGTTGTGACAGTTCATTGAACTGAATTCACTTCCTCAAGGTGACCTTGTAGACTTAGCTATAAGGAACGTGATGACTCGAGCTTTTTGCCACTCTCTGAAATATCTGCGGGCAGGCAGGCTGGCAGCGGCCGGAAATACAGACACACACAAAAATCTGACCCGCATTCTGAAGTCGAGAAAATCGCAGAGCAAGTAAATCAACCTGCCTCTCTTACCATACGCCTCACGGCGGAGGATGTAAGCTTAGATATACCTGCAGAATGAGAAGGACGAAATCGTATAACTACATGTAACTTAGGATGTCAATTGGGGCGCTGCGATTCTCCTAAACCAACGAAATCAGATTAGCAACCATTCATTACACAGTTCCTTTTTTAACCTAAGAAGCCATAGGCATCACAATCTAACACCAGCGTGTTAGTTCATCATTTATTCGGTTTTTGTCCAGAAACTCTATGATGGAAACCAATTTAAACCAAAAATGAAATCCAAATCGACCCAACCAAAACAAACCGATGTTGGATTTTTTCCAACTGCTAATACTTAAGCCTTCCTGGCATGTTATTTCACTGAGCACCTAGCGAGATTATCCCTACTTTTCCCGTCACAAACGAAAATCAAATAGAAGCGGTGTTAAGCTTACAAGCAAACCGGTAAGTATAAATAGCTGGGGACTTGGAGTGTATGAACTATGAATAAGAAAGGTGCTTATTCCAACAGGGTCGAAGTAAGTCTAGGCCCAACTCTTTCCTAGTCACCAATACCACTTTTATGGTTCAAGCCGGCAAGCATTTTATGTCGATGCTAGGCTGTGCTACGCATCAACTGGTACCGGCTTCATGTTCGGAAACGTTAACACGTTGAAAAGTGTATGCGAAATTTATAGCAAACTGGGTATTTTCGCTATGGCTGGATGGATAATCCTGACCTGCTGTGCCTAATGGTGCAACAATAGATGTACACTCAAGGGTACCATGGATAAAACGAACGGATACGACAAACAGTATTTCACACAACGCATGAGTTGACAGAACACCAGAAAAATAAAAAGTTGTACACTAAACACGCCGACAGTAAATTTCTAAAAGACACCGTTTCGAATGCTCACTCATCCACAAAAGGCCATATTCAAGAAAGGTCTTTGTTATTTATTTCATTTCGGGTCAACTTCACGCGCACATATTCACTGTGCAGGCCATTCACAAATTTATTCAAGTGGGAAACATTACGCAGCGTTTTTACAGCAAACCGCGGAGCTCTTCCCCTGCGATATTGACCGTCGGATGAATGTGCTGAAGCGATCAAAAAGGGACGTAACGTATGGTTATGAAGACTCCAATGCATGGTTATGAAGAATCATTGAAAAATGCCCTTTAGTAAATTATAATATTATCGATTCTGGCGAAGAATTCAAGGTGATGTTTTGGACACCTTCCAGCATAATGCAAATAAGGCACGGAGCCTGCGCAGTAGGCTTCGCCTGGAGGATTAGGGTCAGAGCACGAGAGCGTTAAAACGTACCGTTAAATGCCAACATGGATGAACGGGGGTCATGTGTACGTGTACACTGTACACAATGCGGCACCGTACGTCAGAGCGGTCCCGGTATTTACTAGCGCTGGTCAGACACACTGCGACAGTCGTTACATTGGGTTAGCAAGATGGGTTCCACCGAGTCTTCGAGTTCAGCGGCGGACGGAGATACGCCGGCACTGACCACGCTTGATTTTATCATCATCGCCCTTCACTTTCTGATCGTCTTTTTGCTGGGCATTTGGGTAAGTTTTTCCTCAAAAAATCTCAGAAATCACTCCGCCGACCTGGCTGTCGTTGCTGCCGCGATTGCTGCTGTTGTTGGTGCTTTGATGTTGTGACTGTTTTGGCCGTTTAAGCGCCGGTCACCGTATAAATTATAGACAGCTTCTCGCGTCGCTCTAGAAAAGTCAATTCGGTGGTTGACGATTCTCTGCTGTTTCAAGCTTTAAATTTTGAACATACCCCAACATCTCAGTAAATTACTTTCAGAGCTCTGTCGGTGAATAGGTTACTATAGGCCTAAAGGCTAGAAATCAACCCTCTATTAAACGAGATATATCCTTCGATAGCAGAGGTACAACTCTGCCAACAGGAAACCATTTTCAATCGTCAAGCACTATATTTATGCACGATTGGTTTGTGTGTAGTCAAACAAACTGCTATCGGTCTAAAGCAAAATCGTTATTTTTGCCTACCACTGGCCGGTAAACTATGGCTAACCGTCAGCGCAAAAGCATAAAAATAACTCCACAAAGTGTATAATAAAACAAACTATCAAAACAAAAAACACGTAGTACTGCTTCAAACTGCCAGAGAATGTGCCCCCCCCCAAGTAGGCCTATCGTGACAAATGTACATTTTTGAAGAGAAAGCTTAGTAACCGACCAGGGCTGGCGCTTCATTTCAGCACCCATGAGCCGCACATGTGAGTATAGCCAACGCAAGCAAGGTCTACTGGCGCACAGAGGCAAACACTGTAACACTGTGTGCTCTTGGAGAAGAGTGTTTCCGAATACTTATGCTGGTATATTAGAATGTGTTATGGTTCAAGTATAAAAATAATTCAACTACAGATCGCTTCGATACCTTTACTTCGAGCGATGTTAAACATTTCTCTCATAACCCACTTCACGTGAATCTCAAGCCATAACGACTTCTTTTGCAAGACGTTAGAGAAAGATATACTTTGGGTGTGTCACTTATAATGTTCATTCAGTGACGCTGAATTTTTAATTCCCAAAACGCACAATGTTCGGGTAAGTATACAAGCGAAAAAAACAAATCCTCTTTGGCCCGAAGAAACTGGTCCTTGCTAACGCATCCTGTTGCAACGGCAAACACGCTTTTTATCACGCACATGTTCTCCGAGCACTTACGCACAAACACTTCACGAGGGCGTGGACTGGGCAGAGGACGGTATAAGCCATTTCGATTGGCTAAGCCTCGGGGGAGTGTACTTTGATGACGACCGACCTTATTGGACTCGACCGGCCGTAAAATACCGTACAACGTACATGTATACGCACGCTAAGTACACAGTGACCCGCCATAACTTATACATACTGTACATGTACACGCACATTGTATAGGATGAATTTAATATTACGTTTATACCGCGGCGTCCTCAAAATTCACTGACCCCAGCCGTCTATGGTTTTTGACCCCAGCCGTCTATGGTTTTATAAAAACCATACTGAAACCGGAGAACTGAGGTCTGCTGGGGATATTAAGATGTGGTTGACATCAGTGCGTATGGAAGAGTTTAAAAATATCCTGTCTGTGCATAGATCTGTCTTACATTGCCTGCTTGCCGTTCATAGTTGGCGGCTTACATTTGATGGATGCCAGGCTTCGTCGAACAAAAATGTTCACCTGCCTCTCGCCGTGTCTTAAATACTTTAAGTACTGACATTTTTTATTTGACCGGGCACCGCCGGTAACCTATTGAAATTGTTCGAATTTATCTTGATTTCTTTCATTATCTTTAGCTATTTTTACTTCTTGAGTCTTCCGCCTTTTTATCGGACAATAATTATTCTCCGCAGCTTTTCCCTGATATAAACTTATAACTTTGAACATCTATCGCCACTCATCCCAAGAGGTGCTAATAACTCGGAAGTCATGATGACGTCATCGGGTTTCACAATTTCATGAAAGACTCAATTGCCCTCCAGCGCACGTGTATTTCAGGGGGAAATTTTGAACTACACATGTCCGATTTGAGGGTCATTTGCATACGTAATGAGGGCCATGAGCATTTGTGCCACGCAAGCAGCGGTTTCATTTCATGAAATGTAGGCCTACGTCCTTTTTTTTAACTTTTTTTTTAAATAACAATACTAGACCAAACATACTTCCATGGTGTGATAAGGTCCATTCCTAACGTATTTTGTTAAAATAAAATCGAGAAATAGGGGCCTACCGAGCAAAACTAGTGATTTTTTTTCAAAAGCTTTTTTTCGTCAACATTAGTTTGTTTATGTTTTGGTACGGTTTTTAAAGGCTTGAAACATTGATTTCAAAGTTTTTCTTCAATTTTCTAAAATGGGCTGTGGTGGAGAGAGGTGTGAAGATTTCCGATCTCTTGACGGTTAGATTTGTTTGCTCTTCCCGACAGGATGCGTTTGCAAATCGACCTAAAATCAGCACCGATTACGTTAATTCTCGCATTAATCTTAAAGGCCTACCCTTAATTCAGTGCTTCGCGAATGAAAGACGAAGGTAGCATTATATTAAGTTCACAAGAAGTTCATTATTGGAACCGAGGTCTATTTGCCATTATAACATGCGAGGAAACTACAAATTCACAGTATATAGCCTCGGTGCGTTACATGGATGTACTATACATTGTGATCCACATGTACACTGTACATGTACATTGTACATAAACACCACTATAATGTACATGTATTCGGTTTTGCGCATGTAAAATACGTAGATCGTGCTGTGCAAACACGGTGTCTAAAATAACTCGGCATGAAACTCAAACCGTGATAATCTGGTCTGTCGTGTGCAGTATCTCGTTATTAAAATGGTGAAATTTAGAGTTTAAAAAACCAGAAAGACAAGAGATAAGTCAAAAATGAAACATTTTGTTACCTTAGCAACCACTTTGTGGCTAAATTTCACATTCATGTAGCATTTGTTTTCGCGATTCTGTGTTTGTTTTATTCGGTTTCAGCCATCTCGAGCAAGGTTTCAGTGAAACCTTTTGTGAATTTAGTGCGTACGGAGTCTTCAAAATAAGAAGGCTCAACAGAGGATTGACAAGTTGCTAAGGACGCTTCCTGTATGGTTTACGAGGGTCTGGTCAAGTAACCGCCGCACCCGTTTGAAATCGTTCAGTGAAACATATATGAGCAGAGGCTGAAAAATGTTTTTAAAAAATAAATAAAATAAAAATTTTAAAAAATAAATGCATTTTTAGTTGATGTCTGAGACGAAATTTTCTGTAATCGTTTGAAATTGGTAGATAGGAAGACATTCACTCAGAAAATGCATGAGTGAGATTTGAAGCTAATGACATCCTCAGAAGTTACTTTTACTTGCTTGAGAAGACTTTCAAATTTTCAAAAAGCATTAACATCCCTCTAGAGAGACCACGCCCCCCCCCCAAATTTAACCCTGGGTGATTCGGGAATTGTGTAAAGCCCAATTTGGACTTAAAACGCAAAAATGAAGTGTGCAGATAGGCCTATACAGATGAAGACCCGTTAGAATTAAACTGAGTGCTGGCATACCACGAAACCTGAATGCACATCACACTTTGTCATATTTCTCCATAAACATTATGATATCCCTTTCTTGTTTGCAGGCTTCCCATAGGTCCAACAGGGGTACAACAAGCGGGTACTTCTTGGCGGGAAGGGACATGAGCTGGTGGCTGGTATGTGTGCTTATTTCTGAGCCCTTATGCAAATATTTGATAATTATACTAACCGAAAAGGCTTTGAAAAGCATTCATGGACATAATGTTTTGTGGAAGTATTGGCTTTTGATTTCTGTAACTTACACAGTAAATGTATCGTTACTTATGTTCACAGTGAATTTTGGGGTTTATTACGGGTTTTATGCAAAGCATCTTACAACCGGGGAAAAAATGTGGACAGGGCTGGCTTTTGATGTTGGATCCTCCGAACTGTGTAAGCTGAGGCCTTGACCTCAAATTTCAAAATATGTCCAAATTGTGTCATTTCCTCCCTTCGATATTTAGTCACTTCCTTCTTTCAATATTCAGCCATTCCCTTTCTTTAATATTCAGGTCGGGCTGTCACTGTACGTTAGCAACATAGGAAGTATCTCCTTCATTGGTCTTGCGGGGACGGCGTCAGCTTCGGGTTACGCGGTTATCTCTTATGAATTCCATGTAGGTTCACATTAAGAAATTTGTACATATTCTTGGGGGTGTTTATTTGTTGTTGTTTTTTGGTTAATCATGAATCTTTTAAGAGATTTTCAGGAGAAAATCCCCGTTGATTAATAAATAATAAATTTTTATTAAGCTTTTTGTGAGAGTGACTGCCTCATGGAATGCCGTTACCATCAGATGTTGCGTGTGTCTTTTTAAAAGCCTTTTTCTTGCGTGTCCAGTCCCTGGGGCTCACTGACTTCCGCGTTCTGCATTTGCAGAGAAACAATATACTCACTGACCCGAGTGTGACCCTGGAATCTAATCGCTCGCTGAGTGCCACTGAGTTTATCTTCATTTTGCCATCTCTAAGTTTCTACGTGTATACGTAGATCCTCTTATCATAAGCACTTGGCCAGTTTCAACAATAAACCGGACTCTGTTTTCATCGTGAATAAAAGAAATGCAAACGCGATCTGCGTCTGTTTTCCCAAGTGCGGAAAGAATGAAAACCCTCGATGAGGAATGACCTCAAAATTTAGCGCAGTATCACTGTCCAAGAAGAAACAACAACAACAACAACAACAACAACAACAACAACAACAACAACAACAACAACAACAACAACAACAACAACAACAACAACAAAACGTTTTATTCAAAATGTCTAGATGCTTAGTCAAAACAAATTTTTCCAATTTAGTTACCATTAGACTTGAGCCAACAGAACTCTCCCATAAGGAATTCTACCTGTTCATCTAAGGTACAAAATGCCGTTTCCAAACTGTGAAAACTTCCACCGTCCACACATTCCTGCATTCGGCATGTCCTCGTTATTTGGGTCATATGAAACAGAGAAACAAATACCCACAGAGTGGTTGTATACAACGGACACACTCCATGTGTGTTTTAAGAAAGTTTGCAAACATAACAAACAGGAAGAACATTAATTTTCATTTAAAGAGTCTCCCATTAAAAAAAAAATTCACACTGGCCCACAAGACTCATATAAGTGTATGGGACTGTCACTAAGTGTCAAAAGCATTTCTGACATGATGACAGACTGATTTCTGTTGGCAATCTTTTTTCATCTCCAGGGACTCTTCTCTCTGCTCCTGCTGGGATTTTTCTTCATTCCCATCTACTTTGCTTCTGGGGTAAGTAATGTGGTAAGGTCAACGCCGACCTAACTGTAAATGACTCAATACGGTGGCGTACACTATGGTACACTATGCCGGAAATTGGGGGGGGGGATTCAAAGGTGGGGGATGACTTGGGCGGCCATGGAAATTTGAAAAAGGGGAAGACATCACGTGACGCTATCATTATTTAATATGTATTCTATGCATACAGAATTTTAAATTAGAATGGAATATTTACGGTCTTTTCGTTTATTGTTTTTCCTTTTTGAATGACATTGAATGTATATTGGTTGTTAGGAAGTCCGAAAAATTCTTCCCAATCCGCTTTAAATTTTTGCTTACCACAAAAGGGGGGTAAGCCCACCACCCCCTCAAAAATAGGGGGATATATACACCCCATGCCCCGGGATTTACGCCCATGACTAAATGGACAGTTACACGAGAATAAAGGTAAATATGGCCGTGCTCAGTATATGCCAAACAAGTAAATACTGAAGATGGATGTTTCGACATGGCCACTTTCATTCCCATGAAATGAATCCCGGCTCAACTGTGCTTAGCAAAACAAGCCGAGTTAAACAAAGCGCATTCACTTTCGAAATAATTGTCCACGAGACTGTCTTACTGCAATTTAATAAACCCGTCATCACAAGTACGAGTTGTTGAAAGAGTTGGGTAAACGATTCTAGGTTTATTCATCTTATTAACCCGTTGATTCACGGACAGTTCAGAATCCCTAGAATATGTTCTTTGAACCCCCCCCGCCACCATCATCATGAAACTTCTCCTATGTACTTCCCCAACAAGGTGTTTACGGTCCCTGGATATCTCAAGACACGGTTTGGAGGCGAGCGCCTGCGCATGGGGTTGGCCATCATTGCACTGGTGTTTATCGTCATTGGAATCTCGGTAAGTGGTTCAGATTAGCTTTTCAAGTTTTCACAGAAAAAAATGCAAATCCTGGTGGCTCCACGAATACACTTTTGTAGGACGTGTATGCACGAATCCTTCACTCAAGAAATGTTGCTCTAAAGCAATGCCTGCTTTACTGAAGAAAGGTCACTTTGCTTTCAAATTCACTCTTTCAAACAAATTCATATAAATGGGGCTCTGAACTCAATGTTAGGTTGAGAACTTGTTTCATTAGATATGACAACAAAAATCAATTCGTATTGAATTTTTCTGATAATTTCGTTAAACAAATTTAATATTATGCTTCCCATTTCAACTAGGTTATACCTTTCTTATGAGAAGAGAATACAGTTATCAATTTTATATTACCAGTAAACGAGATAAAGACGAGAAATACTCCCCACTCTCTATAATGGAAAAAACGTCTTACCTTTCATTGAAAGTCCGAGATGTACGCGGGTATCATCATCATCCAGCAAGCCCTGGGCTGGAACATCTACATCTGCATCGGCATCCTCCTCGTCCTGACCACGGTCTACACCATGGCCGGAGGACTAACCGCCGTCATCTACACCGACGCCTTGCAGGCAGTCATCATGATCGGTGGGGCGTTCATCCTGATGATCATAGGTGAGTGGCCAGGCAACCTTTGTTTTTTTGAACACACACACACACAAAAAATCCGGAGAGATCGTGTCAGGGTTGTAGTCGAGTTCCCTCCCAGCATGTCCTCCACAAAGCCAAGTTCACCACAAGTTAATTAAAACAAGGACTAAGGTTTCAAGTCAGGCAACAGACAATTGAAATGAATCGCGACGAAAGCATTCTGTTGTTAATGTACCTGTGACTCGTCGCGATTAACGGGCACATCTTCTAAATAGCTTTGCAGAAAACACGTTTTCAAGAGACAAACAACTTTCACTGTACATATATCTCAGAGAATGTTTGTTTATAATTACATTGAGTTTTTAGACAAATCTTGTTTGATCTGTAGCCTAACTCAATGTACATTTCAGTTGATGCAGACAGTGTTTCATTTTTTTTCTGTCATCAAACCAGAAATTGTTAAACCAATTTCGCTCGATACTATTCCAACTTTGGGCCACCGGTTTTAAACATTATCCCTCAAAGTTGGGAAAAAGGTTACCGGAATTAACCAACAATCAATGTCATTTCACGTCAACCATTCTTAACAAGACACCCCCGACATTGATGTTTAACTTTTCGATGAGTGTGGCGGTTGCCGCTGGTGTTGTATAATAGCGCCCTCTTTATATCCGTCACACTCTTAGGTCGAGTTCAGGCGGCCTGTTCTTGACACGGGTTTCTTGTTCTCGCGCTCGAACGGCGGGAACACGACTCATGAACACTGTTCTTGAAACAGGATCACAAACCACCTCCCCGTCACGGTTTTACAGGAAAACACGGAAAAACTCCTGAGATTTTGATTTTTGGAACAGCTGCAAAAAGTAGAGAGATGGCTTCAAAGCCATAGACAATGGGAAGTTTTGCAAAATTACCATTAATTATTTTCCGTAACACAGAAATGAATGTTCCTGTTTATACAGAAAAGAATTCAACCGATCCAAACATTAACTCTCGAATAGCGTAGCCTACATGGACGCCGCCATGTTGCATGTTGCTTGTCACTAACTACCAGCGATAACCGGTTGTTTGTTCCCGGCGTTCGAGCGGCCGACCCGCGAATAACAAATCGAGCTGTTTGTGAACATACGAGAACAAGCCGTCCGAACTCAGCCTTTAAGGTAACAAAACTCGAAAACACGGCAGGGACGTCAAAAGATACATGACTTGTGTAACAAGTACGAAGCGAGTTCCCCCATTTCAAATTTTCAATGATAAATTCCGACTAGCTTTTGTCCGGATCGGCGGGATGGAAAATCTGAAGTCCGAGTTTCTGATGGCGGTGCCTAACACCACTCAATGGGAATCCAACTCCACTTGCGGAGTGCCGACCGAGCAGGCATTCCACATCTTCCAAGATGCGTCTTCGAGCGGCTTGCCCTGGCCAGGAGTCATCTTTGGCGTCTTGCTGTTGTCAGCCTGGTACTTTTGCGCGAATCAGGTTCGTCGATGACATTCTGTTCATAATCGGACATAGCCAGACATTTTCGACAAATGTTCGAGGCACCGTTTCACAAGACCCCGATTAATCTTTTTTACGATCTTTATAGTTTCCTCATTTTTGTTTCCACAACTGCTCAGTCTAACTTTCTTTTGTGTCTTAAAAGGTTCTCGTCCAGCGATCCTTGGCTGCCCGGAATGTGACGCATGCCAAGGCTGGCAGTATCTTGGCAGGCTATTTCAAAATTCTACCCATGTTCTTGATGATATACCCTGGTATGATCAGTCGAGCTCTCTGGCCAGGTATGAAACTGCATGCTCGCCATTAACCCTGGAAACGCAGAACTCAACTGCATTTTCCACAATGAAAGAACAAAGATCTTGAAACATTCAATTTCAGATATCTTTGAGGGAGATCGCTAGGATCCTGAGATTCTTGAGTAAGCAAAATCTAAGCTGAGATCCCCTATCAATTCACATCAAAAATGACGTAGACGTGAAACTAAGACCGTTGTGTTATACGATGAACACACTGCCAAACTCCAAGAGAACAGAAGTCTGTGTTTATAATTTACGTTTAAGACTTGCCTGCTGTCACGATTTTTTTTTCTTTTTTTAAATTTTTAGATGAAGTTGGATGCCAGGAACCGGAAATATGTAAAAAGGTCTGCAATAACCCCGCTGGCTGTGCAGACATTGCTTATCCTAGACTGGTTCTCTACCTCATGCCAATGGGTACGTTGCATAAGTCTTTCCTGAATGTAACTTGCCACTTCCCCTTCGCTATCTTTCTATCTCAAATGACCATTATTTAGCACGGCCTTTTGTTTTCACTGAGATACACCTTGAAGATACTATCACTTGTTGGACCTCTCTGTTACCTAAAAACGATGGGTTCGCTTCAAGAGCGGCCTAGTGCCTGCTCTAAACCGCCGCTTTTTTAATCGCAATGAATGCAGGCATAAAGGGCCTGATGCTGGCCGCCATGATGGCTGCTCTTATGAGCACTCTGACGTCAGTCTTCAACAGCGCCAGCTCAGTCTTTACCATGGACCTCTGGAAACAGTTCAGACCCAAGCCAAGCGAATTGGAACTGGTCATTGTTGGAAGGTACCGCTCTCAGGTCTTTCTCTGTTGTCATTTTCTATTGCTTCTTCACTGAAGAATGGAACCTCATGAAGAAAGTCAAATTGTGCACCATTCCTGAGAAGTTCTAAGCCGTTTCTAAGGCGTTGATATATGAGAGATGTTCCCGTGTCACCATGAAATGAAATCAATTAATCTTCCCTCTTTTTTTGTGGTTGTCTATACTTCCCTTAGGGTCGTGACGTTGGTGCTAGCGTGTATCAGCATCTTGTGGCTGCCGATCATTCAGGCCTACGGCACGGGACAACTCTTTGTCTTCATTCAGTCCATGACGTCGTACTTTTCGCCTCCGATGTTCGCCATTTACGTCGCGGGAATGTTCTGGGAGAGAACCAACGAACCAGTAAGACAACAACGGACAGACTTGTACAGTCTCAGACACAGTTTCGTGCTGCAAGTGGTCTGAATGATTTTCCTTGGTGTTCTGCTTGTCTACACAAAAATTCAAACCATTTTAAACTCCAGTAAATACACAGAGTGCATCGTAAGGACCAATGAAACACGAAACTACAAATCAGTTCCATGACCATCTATTTCCAATGCAGTCCGATAGAGTTGAGAGTGGATAGCCAATGGAAAACAACGATTTCAGCGGTGTTGTATAACCTTTAGGCTACCGACTGCACCTCCTTTGTGTAATTAACCGCCCTATGTGCGCAAGGGCTTCTCAGGGTGTGTGACTGCTTTGATGATTTGAAAGTTCTAATGATCTTTCTCCTTTCTTTCCTTTTCTCCCTTTCTCAGGGAGCTTTCTTTGGACTGGTGGTCGGCTTTCTGATCGGCGTCACCCGTCTGGTGCTGGACTTCGTCTACGGTTTGCCGTCGTGCGCCGAACCCGACGAGCGTCCAGGCGTGCTGCGCAACCTCCACTACCTTTACTTCGCCTGCGTGCTGTTCATGGTCAGCCTCCTGGTGACCGTGGTGGTCAGTCTTCTCACCAAGCCCATCCCACGCGAAAAGGTAACCGACTGGTACCAATGATCATTGCACCGTGGAATTCCTGTGCAGTATCGGACATAAGATGTCAAATACTTTGGACCCACGGTCTTTTTCGTTACTTGACCAAATTCCTAACGCTGACAATGATACCAGTGACAGTCAAGCTAAAATCATGCAATACAACACCTTTTGCAGAATGTTTGCACCAAAAAAATGGATTAAGAATAAGATTTGGTGCAAATACGTCATCAGGTTTATTCTTTCCTGACGATATTTCAGGCATTAAAAAAATCGGCTTTTGTGATAAGCCATAGGTACTTTAAGCGTTCGAGCGCTCATTAACACAAAACACAAAAGACATACTTTGCAAATACAACATTTTCCATTATATGACTAACATAGTAGTAACACTCGTGAGCTCTATAAAAACTACAGAAATGGACACTGTCAAGTACATTCACATTCGTCCAACTTGGATACCACTGGTTGCTCATTTAATCCTGAACCATGTCAAATCTGACAAGGTTTTATAGCGCTGCATCATATTAGTTTTGGCATTATCGGGACAGGTTTAAAACTTGACGTTTGTTTTGCCTGCATACACGCAGTTGATCCGACTGACCTGGTGGACTCGCCATAGCAGCAAGGTTCGCCAGCCTATGGAGGAAAGCCAACAGGGCGACAGGGTCAATGGACATTACGAAATGGTGGAAAATGGGTCCCCAAAGGTTGAAGGTACGGTACTATATACCCGACCTCAGTTTTCTGGTTTGGTTGCAACAGCATGACTGTGTATATAGCATTGATCCCGGATGTGGTGTTCAATGCATGCTCTTCAGTTTTCATCTTTGCCCCGGGTTCAAGTGCACCCTCATCGGCGGCAGAAAGACAGACCGGTGCAAAGCTTCCAACTGGGTTCTTGCGCGCGTTCGGGGTGTACGCGAAGACCATACATTCCAGAATAAATTCGCTGCGCATACTTAGTGTGCGAACAACGCGCATAAATTGGCGCGCCTATGAGGTGAGTCTGTAGCAAAGGATGGACAATTTAAAAACACGCCCTCTTTTGTTCCCGCTCGGAGCGGATAACAAATGGGTGGTTTGTGTGATCAAGATACACTGTAGCCAGTGACAACGCGCACGGTGTGCACGCAATGATCATATGGCTCAAACCATTAGTCAAACATTCATTTTGGTTGCACTACTCGGTGCGACGTATAAACCTGTTTGCGTACGAGGTGATTTCCCACCAAAGGCATTTCGTTGCTATTCAAAAACACGCCCTCTCTTGTTCCCGTTCGAAGCGCTCTGAAATAATCTGAAGATGACAATGACAGGATCTCACCCCTGCCAGAAAACTGCTCACTTTCTCGTAAATATACATAAATGTACCTATTTTTTTCAGATGACAATATCGAGGTTGAGATTTCCATTCCCCGTCGAGCCTGGTATTGGCTTTGCGGTGTGGGAAGCACGAACAAGCAACCTTCCATGGAGATGACCCCGGAGGAGAGGGAACACTTAGAAGCGAAAATGACGTCTATTGAAGAAGATCCGAAATGGCGTCGCGTCGTCTTGGTAAACGCTTTCGTCTTGGTAGCAGTTGGAATTACCTTCTTCGCAGTATTCGCATAAAAGATCTCCAGCGAAGCATACACTGGCGCCCTAAACCAGGTGTGAATTTTAGAAATTTGAAACCTACGACCGAGTTCGGGCGGCGTGTTCTACACACGGGCTCCTTGTTCTCAAACGGCGGGAAGACGATCTAAAAACACTGCTCTCAGAACAGGATCGCACACAACCTCCTCGTCAGGGTTTTACACAAACACACGGAAAAACTCGCGAGGATTGCTTTTTGAACAGCCGCAAAAAATAAATAAATAAAAATAGTGAGATGGATTACAAAGCCGGAAACAATGGAAAGTTAGCCAAATATCAACATTAGTAATTTTCCATAACAAGGCAATGAATGTTCCTTTTCAAATAGAAAAGGATTCAGACAAGTTATCAGAACATTAACCCCCGAAGAACTTACTTGGACGCTGCAATGTTACTTTCCACTAACTACCAGCCATAACCAGTTGTTTGTTCCCAGAGCTCAAGCGGCCGGCCCACGAACAACAAATCGAGCTGTTCGTGAACATACGGGAACAAGCCGCCCGAACTCAGCCTAAGAGTATTATGAGCTTCCATTTGAAATCTTGGATCCATGTTTTTTGGATCTGGTCATATATTTCTGACGTCCGTTGTTCTTCAAATGACAACATGTGAGCTCAGGTAGCTTTACGTTCGTTTACATCATGACGTTTCGGTTATGATGTGCATTAACTAGTTTTTGTTGGGTTTTTGAGTACACAGCTTTCAATGCAATATAAATAAGAGAATAAATTTAACATAGCTATATGTATTGTATTTTACTGCATTTACATGCTGGTTTACAGGGTCACTCAACGAGTTTTGCTCGAAGAACATTTTGCAACTGTTTCGATCTGAGATTTAAAGTTGCAATTAAGCTCGTATTCTTGTAGCCCTTGGATTGAAGTGAATTCCTTAGTTTGAAAGGGCAGCGTCCTGTCGTGTTTGAATTTTACGATGTAAGCAGGAATTTATCATTAAATGTGTCTAGTATAGTGTAGTATAAAGTTGGAACTTACTATGAGGCATATGCCCAGACAGCATGGTAATGAATAGTTCGATCGTCTATAGAGGCGATGGGACCCAACTGTTCGATCACATTTCATTCTTCGCCAACTGAAATTTAGGTTCACTAAACCAATTTGATTAGTATAAATTCTCGAAATGTAACAATTGAATTTTTTGGCAGCTGTTTCAATAAAATGTACGCTGCATTACAAATAAATAAATAATGTAAACGGGTATGTAGTGTCCTTGGTGACAATTAAAAAGGACGAAAGTTGAAGTTCCTAATTGCCGTCATCAGTTTGTTCCTATATAATCATTATGTTCTATTCAATGTTTGGTTTTTTTGGGGGGGGGAATGACGTTAAGTTATGGTCATGCAGATTATATTCAGGCCTGAACAAGTTAACATTTTCCTAGTAGGCCCTATTTCTTATTTGTGCTGTTAATTAATTTCTTTTTATTAGGTTTGACTTTAGTGGTAATGTTGGTCCGGTCCATCAATATCCCAATGAATTTAAAGCAAAATAACTTTTCGATGTGAACTTTAAGACAGATGTCGTGTCTTGGTGGAAAAGTATACTGAAAGTGGAAGTTTAGACACTCATTATTTAGTTCATTTGTAAGTTAGTTTATTTAGGATCAAGAAATGATTTCCATTATTTGACACATTTTAAGGTTGTGAACCAGTTTAAGAGGGGTTCACGGATCTTTGCAATTATATATTTTTTTCTTCCTATTTTAATTATGTTATGCCTGGAGATGTGTACATAGTGCAGCTGAGTAGTCTAAAAGAAGAAACCAATTGTCCACTTTGTCATAAAAGCACCACATTTGGCATAGATCTAGATCAATATACAATTAAAGAATTTAGATATTGAGACACCTGAAATTGTGGTGAGGAGAAGCACGGCGGCCATTTTCCAAAATAGCCACTCTTCACCAATAGCAGCGTTTGGTATGTTTCATTAAATTTACTGGTATAGAAGACTCATTATGTGTCCGGAATTCCAAATTTTTCCGTATGTTTGAATGCCGATGTTTATTTTTCTTCAGAACACCCGAAAGCATTGCAAATGACTGCTTATTCTTAGGAAAACAGAGACAAAATGAAAAAGTCCTATATATAAAACCAATTTAGATATGCTGTCTATGTATCCGCTTCGAGCAGAAGCACCCCCTCATCGGTTGAAAAGAGCCACGTTGGATGTGAGTATTAATTTTACTGGCAAAGAGACGATGGCAACGAAATGCATTTCCTTGTCGTTCGGGAACCAGCGATGCGCAGTTATTACCAAAGGAGCCTTCACTGCTAAGGAAATAGCGCTCTCTGTTGGTGCAGCTTGAGGCCCATTGCAGCACCGTCACACCTAGTATTGAGTATATAGTGGTGTGACTAAAAGAAAGAGGTCGCAGCCTAGGAGGTCGCAGCCTAGAGTAGGCCAGTGCCATGCCCCCTGCTCCCCTTGTATATGTGTTGGTATATGCGTAGTGACGTAGCTATGAAGGTAACCCCACCCCCGGAACTCTTGCCCCGCTTTTACCCTCCCTGTTGGAAGAACCCGGTAGCTTCCAGCAGCAGCATGCAGGAGTGATGCAATGTGCGTTGTGTACCAGTCTACGCACGTGCAGACACATTCAGGTGGTCTAGTGGTTTGCTTCTTGGGGTAATAGGATACTCCATGTACAAGTTATTATTCCAAAACCTGACGGGTTTTTATTTTCAAGCTTTCAAGAATGGTGGGTTGTCAACAAGGAGGGACTTGAGTGAAGCTTGGTGTCCATGTGTGTGTGTGGGGGGGGGGTGCTGACGGCTTGCATCGAGAAAATATTGAGTTCTGCAATACCTTTTTTCCAGCGTTATCGTCATGGAGGTAGTTACACAAGGGTAGAGGTGTTTTGATAGGGGTATGGCCGGAGTGGTGCCGGAGTGGTGGCGGAGTGGTGCCGGAGTGGTGGCGGAGTGGTGCCGAGTGGTGGCGGAGTGGTGCCGGAGTGGTGGCGAGGGCTGAATGATACAGAGTTTTGAGGCATGGAATCTGTACTGTTGGTGGACTTCGGACATCGATTGATTATGCGCACTTCGAACAAGAACCACACGTGCATCTCTGCGCTCTGCAAACTGGAAGTAGTTACAGCATGCAGCGTTGATATCAACTTTATCAGAACAGCCTTAGATAAAGCAACATTTGAAAAGGTTGATAGGATTATATTTCCTCGACGGTTGTTATTTTACCATGTGCCAACGCAAAATGTATTGATTGTTTGTTGGTGTGTTGCGTTGTTAATTTGTGTGTGTGTGTTTTTTTGAATATTTTTTTAATTAGGCTTTCTTATGGCAATATCGGGGTATTCGTCAGCATGTTCAGACAACCGTCGTTATTTCACTGTTCAGAACAACACATTAAAGCCTTGTGCCGCTCAATGCCGACAAAATAATTTCATCTTGACTTGTAAATGTCAGCAAACTGTCCGTCAGTACTGAGAGGTCGACAAGCTGGATGCAAAATAATGAAAATTGGTCAAGTCCTCGTTCTGACAAACATTTTCTCAAGCTCCGTCGCTTGGACTCGAGAAAAACAAATGTTTGAAAAAAAATCCCACAGAACAGATACACAGTGTCGGTATGTTCAAAATTTAAAGAGTTCACTGCGAAATATTTGTCAACACAAAAAGTGAACGTAAAAAAAACCCTATGCAATACATCTCGATTCTTAATGTGCCGATACCAGATGTAGCCTGCAATACTCGAGTCAATTTGTAAATATCCTCGGTATTATCTTTTATTCGCCATGCGCTGCGAGACGAAACAACAGGGTCAGCATTTATTGATACGTCCATCATCTTTAGCAAACAAGATTACAGATGCATGTATAATTTATCAGCCAATGGCACACATGCGTAAATCGTAGCTTTGCTTTCTTTCTTCTGGGGGTCAACAAAGCAATGGTTGTTTTATTGTCCCTGGCACTATATCTCGATTTTCGGCAGTGAAGTATTACACTTACAGCGTCCAGGAGGAAGGCTGATGTGAGCTGCATAACAGATCGCTTGCTTCTATAAAATTCACGTCCGACTCTTACGCCTAACTGAAAATTCAACCGACCAACTGCACCAACAACACTGGTGCTGGGCGACCGGCTTCACTGTTCAAGAGGTCGACCGGACAGAGTCCAAAAATGAAATGGAGTGCCTTGAGTGACGCGTGGATGGTTGTTCCATACGGTGAATGAATGAGGCCACTTTAGCAACGCCGTGTCATCTCTGGACGGTTGGAAATACCTGTTTTGTGGTTTTTGTTCTATCCTTTTGCTCTGTTTTGTTTGTTCCTGCAGCGCTCTCTCCTTCACTCTGAGGTAGAGCCCTAAGGTAAGCCTGTGAAACCATCCAGGGATACGCCAATAAAGTGGAGTACTACGACGTATACCCACAATACATGCAGATTATAAATCTATGGCCGGTAAATGATTAGAATCCCAGCCGTTCCACATTACCAGTGTTACAGCCTCTTGTACTATATAGTCTGATGCATCAGAAATATCCCAATCATTAATTTGTCCGATCATGATTCACACTTCCACCCCACCAAGAACAAACGTCTAATGAACAACACTAACGAGTCTGCCTTAATACACAGTTTGGGCTCCCAACGCAAACAACCTATGCAATACACGAGAACACAGACAACGTGCTGGCAGCCATGTTAAAGATAGTAAGGGTTCAGCCGCATAGAGATTCCGTGAATTTATTGTCGCATGGGCTCAGTTGGCGGCTTTAGAATTGACACGTGTAAATCTGTTTAAGTTTCTATTTTAAGAAAAAGAAGAATCGCGTAACGCGCACGACTTGGCAAAAGCGCGGGGATGGATGGTGATTTCAAATTGACCATGCGCGCTTTTGTTTCCACACATGTAACCGTTGCGACTCTCATCCCTGGTACGCATTTACCAGTCAGAGAAGGCCTAAATTGGTACGGGTAAGATGGAAAAGCTTCGTGAGGATGATGTGACTGATTGGGACAAGATGAAACCGGCGGACGACGGGAGCAAATACGGCAGGGACCTAAGCGAGGAGCCAGGGGAGAGGGGCAACTGGTCGGGCAAACTGGACTTCATCCTCTCCTGCGTTAGCTATGCCGTGGGGCTCGGCAACATCTGGCGCTTTCCGTTTTTGTGTTTTGAAAACGGAGGAGGTTGGTTTACAAAGAAAAAAAATGGCCACAGTAAATTCTCAAGTTGGTATGATGATGATGGCTTCTTTAAGGTTTAGTTGTTAAGGCTTCCCTGATGGAAGCCTTGACTACACGTAGTAACCCCTTTATACGAACAAAATTTCCCAAAGCGCCCAACCCCCAACAAAAGATCCTGGATCCACGACTGATGGATAGTTCTGAAGAAATGTATACTAAAACATTAAATAGATAATTAAAAAGTGTAGCCAATTGTCTTACTTGTTAATGTTTACCTTCCCTTTGAAACTGATCTATCTTAGCAGTACACAAATATTTCCAAATAGGTCACTTGGGAGACATTTTGTGGTAATTTTTTCAACCTTTGGGAGACATCGGTCATTAAGGAGACATTTCAATGTCTCCCTAATGCTCCAACTACCAGAAGGAGGCCCAATTCTATAGCCCAAATTTTGAGAGATGATAGATTAGGGTCTAATTTGTCTAATTGAAAACAGACAAAGTTTGGTTCAGGTCAGATTAGGGAATATTTAATTATGGGACAGTAAAGTTTGTGCACGTTCCTATGGGAATGTCTCCCAAGTGACCCATTTTCGGTAATTTTAATAATCACAGATAATTATTTTGAATTATGTATGGCAGAATGAGTTCGAAGTCGAACGCATGCGATACGGGAAGGGATCACTAGGCATTGTTTGTTTGACCCTTCGACATTTATGTTTACTCTGTTTGGGTAGTCCTCTGCGGGCATTCGGTGTGACGGATTGTTCTCTCTTAGGCATTTGGTACGACACCGATATGACACCGCGTCAACATGAATTAACTCCGCAGGTTCGTGAACAATTTTTCTCGGCAGGTGCCTTTCTGCTGCCATACGTATTGATGATGCTCGTGGTTGGGATGCCAGTCTTCTTTCTTGAGATGGCAATGGGGCAATTCTCAAGCCTTGGTTGCCTTAGTGTTTGGAAGTGCGCTCCGACAGCCAAAGGTTATTCATTTCACACAAATATGCAACGGTAGGATAAAATGTATGTTACAATAACTGTTGAAAAATAGCACAAATCCTCACATAACCCTGAAAATCTACAGTTTGCCAAGCTAACGGGCTCTTTACTGAAAAAAAATTCCCGGAAGTATATGTGGACCTGGATGATCTAGAAGACTAAAACCTACAAAAACGTTATACAATACACTCAGTCTTCCCTTTGGTGAAACTCGTATGATTTGTTGATGAGTCCCTCATCTGTTGAACGTAAACACAGAGTTGAATTCTTACAGGACTTCTTGAAAGAGCGCCTTGGTTCCACGCTCTGTTATGCATGAACTTGAAACTTTTTCCGTTTAGGTCTTGGATACGGCATGCTGATGATTGCCGCCGTCATCGCCTGCTACTACAATGTCATCATCGCCTACACCCTCTTCTACCTCTTTGCCTCCTTCACGAAGGAAGTCCCCTGGAAAACGTGCGACAATGAGTGGAACACACCGACCTGCAGGGTCACCAAGGCGTGCAAAGACTGCAATGACTCTTTCAACGACACCTATGTCGATAATAACACCTTCAGCTCCGACGAAATGTACGACTACGCTTCCTTTAATGCATCCACGGTGAATGTTTCCTGGACGAGACCGAGCGAAGAATACTTCAAGTGAGTTCGCTGGTATTCCGATGTGGCATCGGACCTACTGTTTGGGTTTTCACACGTATGCATCTCGGTATTTGATTCCTTAGCACATGGTTCTGCACAAAGTGGCGCCCCAAATCACCTACAACCTAGGCCTATAGTTTTCAGATACGTCGGCTTCACAGACTGCCGAAAAATATTCAGAGAAAGTGGTCAAGTTCTAAGTGACCATACAGCTGTACTGTTGTGCTTAATCTCTTTCATACGACTGACAGATTGCCATTTTTTGTTACTCCCAAAGCTATCGAATGCTTGACGTGTCAGACGGCATCCATTACCTCGGTGAAGTCAAATGGGAACTAACTCTATGCCTATTGCTAGCATGGATCTTAGTTTTCTTGAGTTTAGCCAAAGGAATACAATCATCCGGAAAGGTAGGTTATAAAAATGGAAAGAGACTGTCTGTATTGATTGAGTTGTCATAAAGAACTTTCATGAAGATTGTGAAACAGTGTCATGGTCGAGTCCAGAACGGGCCTATTTGCAAGTCATCCCTTGAAGTCAATAGACATGGTATTTAAGCGAACCGTGCCCAAGGTCATTTATTAGGTTCATCCCCTGTTTCTTTTGACCGGACTACAGTGTAGTGAATTAATATGGGACTTGCTTGTGACCAGACTTGCAACGGACTGGACCACTGCACTGTGTTGAAACGATAAAAGAAGTCACTAAGTGTTGACTTCTGCTGCAAGATGTAACATGTCGGGGATCACGTTGTGCTGCCAGAATAATTTGATCCAGAACTCGGGTTAATCATGGTTGGACTTTAATGGAATGCCTACGCTGACCAGTTGAGGGTGATTGGTCTATTCAAGTCTAGTTAATTTCGCCAAGCCCACAGAGGTTAGTTACATCACGGGTTATCAGCAGCCATTTTGTGTTGCACAGCCTAGCAGGACACCGGGACCTTGACATTTTGACAGTGACACATAGATGAGTTGGAAACTAGGAGCGTTTTTGAAACGAGTGGATTCGGCTTAGACTTTAGTTTCATTTTAGACTTTATTTTAAGAAAAGATCCCAGGGCAAAAAGTTCCCCAAATCTCTCTCCGAACTGCCTTAAGCTATGTCCAAATGTACGCCAGACGTGACATAGAGTAAAATGCATAATACTTTATGAGGCTTACTAAATGTCCCGTATTTAGTTTCAGTTTATATTTTTTATAATATTAATATATTTTAAATCCATATTTTGCGATAAATCACGGAAAGTCCTGGGTTATCAACGTGTAAGTGGTTAGATGTTTTTCGAAGTATTAAAGTCGACGGCAAACCTTCATTTTGTCCATGAGGTTCGGTTTTGCCTCCTTTTTTTTACTAAATGTGGTCCAATTGGTCCTGAATGTTGGCAGGTCACTGGCCATGTTGCTGGATCAACCGAAAAAAAAAACTCTCTTTAAAAATGCAACGTCCGGCAGCCAGTTGCAATGTAATCTTCTATATGTGGATGAATCTAATTACTTTGGGAAAGAACAGCTGTCCGAAGTACGACAAATTGCTTTCGACGGCTACTCGGGAAACTGATATCTTTAGATTGTGTTATTGTTTCATAAAGCTTTATTTTTTATAACAAACTGGTTTTTTTTGTTAATCTAGTTGTTTTAATCTACTTTTAAATAGAACTGCGGTTGAATATTAACTTTCTGGATTAAATGATGTTTCATATGAATTACCAATACCCAGGTGGTGTACGTGACGTCTACTTTCCCATACTTTGTCCTCATTGCTTTGTTTATCCGCGGTATAACGCTGGAGGGCGCTGTGGATGGCATTATTTTCTACATGAAGCCGATTCCAACTAAGCTGCTACTTCCAAAGGTAAACACTGAAATATGCCTAAGCAGATCTTCGGTAGATGCTTCTATCGCAGTACGTTTTATGACTCACTTAAGAACAAATGCTTTGATTATGAATTCCACTATTACAACAAATATAAAGGCTTTCTGTGAGTGAGCCTGAAATACCTACACGCAACGTTAGGTCGACCGATCATCTAACCCATCTACTGACAAACTGATCGACCCACTGACTGAACCACCGACTGAATCAACCCATTGACTGACCGACGGAATAAGTTACCAACCAACAGACCCACACCGATACACGTCCACCCACCGACGGACTCAGCGACCAGTCGACTGATCCACCGGACAAGAAACTATTGCCCTGTCGACAGATCCTCTGCCAGAACATCTGAATGATTTAATGACTTCTTGAAGTCATGCTCTCATGGTCACAATTTACACCGTAATGCAGCCATTCACATACGAACTTATAACACAACTTATCTCGAGTAAGACAGGATATATACCCTCTACGAACTAGCTCAAAGCGAAACGATCCTGTCTTAGTGAGATAATAACGACACAATCACTCCTCAAAAAGGAAAAGAATTGTTCAATTGAAGTGACCGTAAATGTTAGCATTGTGCCATTTCTGCAGGTTTGGCAAGACGCGGCAGTTCAGGTACTTTTTTCTCTTGGATGCTCTTTTGGCACTTTGCACACACTATCCAGCTATAACAAGTTTCACCACAACACGCTCAAGTAAGTGAACATCGCCCCCATCGTAATCAACAGGAATGTTTCCTCGTACCAATAACGAGGGGACAAGGGAAGAAACATATACATGCAGTGTTCTTCTGGCTTAACCTCTTACTTTTTCTTCTTTTGATCATTACCAGAGATGCCGTGATTGTATCGTGGCTTGACTGTCTCACGAGTATTTTCGGCGGGTTTGTGGTCTTTTCTGTGCTGGGTTTCATGGCGCAGGACACTGGCACCACTGTCGACAAAGTGGTCGACTCAGGTAAATACCCTCATTCCGACTATTTGTACACGAATCCATGTATCTCTTGTGTTGAGGAATCGCTCTTGGTATAATTTATGAAGATTTTATGGGGAAAAATATGACTACATGACACCTGCTATCATAAGTATGCACTTCGATGATTAAATGCGTCAAATTCATTCCTCAAAACTCTATTTCAAAGTAGACAATTAAATCATTATCAAGGATCAACCGGGAACTTTCCCAGGTTCACAACAAGGAATAACGTGGTGCCATCCATTCATGCTCCAGGGAGTTAACGGAACCATATGAAAGCAAAGTTTTAGTTCTACACCAATTAATATTGCTTACCTGTCACTTGTTTCCAAGGTCCGGGTCTTGCCTTTATCGTCTATCCGGAAGCCATTGCACGCATGCCGCTTGCCCCTCTTTGGTCAATCTTATTCTTCACCATGCTGTTCATGCTAGGCATTGGAAGTGAGGTGGGTTTTTATAAACATTTACAAGTATCCATTGTATACATTTATACTTTTTAAAGCTAACTTGAGCCCTTCCACTTCAAATTATTAGACTTTCTGTGCTCTTTATGAAGAGATAAAAGTGGTCATTTTAAGAAGTTTGTTCAGATATATACACTGCAACGTGAATTAATTACTACAGCTGCGAATATGCCAAACCTATAAGAATTATTCACTTTAATAATGAAATGCTGGCTTTTATTTGTCACTGCGAAGTTCACGCTGTTCGAAGCGGTCCTCACAGGACTAGTGGACGACCTGGAGAAAAACATCAAGAATTTCCGGAAGTATAAGACCTGGCTAACCTTAGGCCTTTGCATCGTCAGTTTCCTTATGGGACTTCCCATGGTCACCCAGGTAACGTATTTTGAAACAGGAGTTGTTTGTTGATGGGGATGGGAGCTTCGTCAGTCTTTTAGAGGCACACTCCGAAAGATATCATGAACATATTCCATAGGACACTTGAGTTTATACCTACTTGATAACTTTTGGGCAGGTTTAGAGGTAATAACAAAGCAATAACGCAATAGGATTCTGAATGTCATTAAATTAAAGAACCTATTACAAAGCTTTGTGAGAAGGCGGCTTAATCAGTTTTAGAGTGAAGTGGGCTAGGTGCCATGCGATTCTTCCATTCTTGAACACGGTCGTCACACCGCTGTGTCTTATTTTCTCTAGGGTGGCGTTCATATCGTAACGTTGCTGAACACGTTTGTTGCAAATATCAATTTCCTCATCGTGACAACCACCGAGATGATAGTCATCGCACATATTTACGGTGTGTACTTGTCTGCTTTAGTGCATAGAGGCCAAATAGATTTAGAGTAGAACTTACGAATTTTTTTTAACTTGTTAGAACACAATACATGAACTTAAAGCTAACATAATGCAGCAACATAAGCAGAAACACCCGAGTTTACTGATGTGTGTGGTGTATTGTTTATATTTTCGTGATCAAAATGAATTCTTCAATTTATACTTTGCTTAATTCAATATTACGCAGACTCCAAAAGGACCCAAATTAGCCATGTTGATTCGATATTTCGTTCTTAACAACCCTAACAATCCTGAATCCTCTGATTTCAATATGATTTTTAATACACATTAGGGGGTTGGGGATAAAGAACAAAATATCGAATAAAGAATGAAATATCGAATCAAACATGGCTAATATTAGTCTTTTTGGAGTCTGCATAATATCGAGTTATCCGACAACTATCAATGGACCTAATGGTAAATATTCTGCATTCTTCATTTTTTTCCCGTATACACGTAATACAAAACGTATAGGTCCATATTTTTTCTCATATAATATGTACGATTCCCACCCATCAGCGATTCAAGTTGAATCATAGAGTTGCTTCTTTCAAATGACGCTCGCAGCAAGACCAGACTGTAGTTCTTCCTCTTTTACACCTACGCAGGAGTGAACAGGTTTTTGGCTGACATGCAGGCCATGCTTGGTTTTAAACTCAGCATTTACTGGAAGATATCGTGGTGGATTGTGGCTCCAGTTGTGCTGCTGGTAAGTTGAAATTAGTTCTAAAATGGCTTTCATATGTGAGGGACGCCGGCTTCTCGCACAAGTATTCTCCAATTTGAGTGAAAGGAGGATACATAGACATACATGTAAAGCAGACGTCTTCTAAACCACTGCTGCGCCGTGCACCAGAAACCCGTGCTGAAACACAATAGGATTGTGTGCATTCAAACGAAAGATAGTCACTCGTCATTTGAGCGCCCATGAGCGCGAATAATGTGCGGTTGCAAGCGCTGTGGCTTCAAAGAGCCCTCCGCCATCTATTACTGCTGAGCAGACTTTACAGACCCAGCGAGTTTGTGTCTTTAAGATAAGGAGGGGGCGACAAAAATAGGAAGGAAAAAACATACAGTACTGCTGAGACCTCATTTTGCTTATTACGTGCAAACAATTACACATTAAACAAAATAAAATAGCACCCAAAAAAATCAAACAGGGAAAGGGAAGGGTACCTACCAGCTGCATCTACCCGATACACTAGAGCCAGGACAACCTGGGTGTCGAGAAGCCGTCAAAATATTGAATTGTCTGTTCTTTTGGTTTCTTTTCCCGACAGTGTGTAACAATTGCCTCTATCGCCTTATACACGCCATTGAAATACGGCGATGGTAATCCCTATCCGGACTGGGCACAAGCCATCGGCTGGATTATCTCACTATCAACGCTGGTGCCTGCACTGGTTTACCCGATTTATTATATGCACGGTCTTCAAGGGAATGTATTCGAGGTAAGGTTGTTGTTCTCCGTATATTACAGATCGCTATTATTATAATTATTCAGGGTAATTGAGGGTGGAGTTATGGTTAACAGGTGCACTATTTTCCTGGTCAAAATGCGTACAAATGAACTATTCTGAGAGGTTTACGGGTCATCCGCAATTTACACAAGATCAGAAAAAAAGATCCACTTGATGAGGTCGTTGCCTCCATCTAAATAACTGCATTTTAAAACAGATAACATCAGAACCGATCCAAAAAGAAATAAGAGCGCGAAGATGAGGAACACAAGAGAAAGAAAATCAGTGGACCTGTTTGTGATACGTTGGATAACATTCGACCGTACATAAAACCTGTTTTGTTCTCCTCTGTTCAGCGGGTACGACTCTCCATGAAGCCAACGGCGGACTGGGGCCCCGCACTCGACAAGGACCGGGTGGCGACAGGGTACAGCGCTCTCTCTGGTACTGACACGGAGTGCGAACAAATGGTCGAGCGTGAAAATGACACGAAGGACAGTGAGACCAAAATCTGAAACACATTCCATGTGAATTGTGATCAGGAGGTTATCGACGTGAGTACTTTGACACTGAGTTAAGGATCTGGCTGCTATGTAAAAGTTAATAAACTTTGCAAAAGAAAATGTGTAGTTCGCTGTGTTCTACTCATAAATCGCAGCCTTGTGTCTTTAACTTGTATGACATCCTAGCTTGTACCACCTTCGGTATGTCTCTGGTTTTAACTTTTTGTTCAAAAGACTTTAACATGTTTTGTTGGTTAACTTGTGAACGGCTGGTATCGTAAAATTAGGCAAAAAATGACCAAATTGTACGCATGACAATTTTGAAATGATTTCAAGCCGCGTTTGGTATCACAGAAACTTTACTCTGATGGCAACGAACACCACGCAGCGCGCGTATTTTGGAAAGTGACAATTTTCCAATAAATCGAAGAGGAGTGTAAAGTTCGCGTGTGTATACCACTTGTATGCTATCCTGGTGCCACAGCAGTAATGGCTCTAACTAAAGAAGCCTTACAAAGATACCACGACTTACATGACAAACATAAAATATGGGGGAATCTGCAATGCCATCCTCGTCGCTGTACGCACGACTTGTCCATGTGCAGGTGAAATTTCTGCTTACTTAAAACAGTGATGGTTGCTTCTTATTTAACTTTAATTCCGACAATATTTTTCTAAACAAACCCCCCCAAAAATGAGGGTCCTCAGCTTCGAAAACCTTAACAATTGATTGTTAACGTTAAAGTGGCTAAGTCAGAGATGCCAACTGCCAACAGGGTTGTCTGTTTAAAATCACCTTAATTTAAATCACCGATTTAAATCGCGATTTAACGCAACTGACTTTTTGAAGAAAAAAAATCACCGATTTCAATAAACATATATATTTTTAAAAAGACAAAAAGTGACAATTTTTCAATAAATCGAAGAGTAGTGTAATGTTCGCGTGTGCATACCACTTGTATACATGTACCAGCCTAGTGCCACAGCAGTAATGGCTCTATACACAACTAAAGAAGCCTTACAAAGATACCACGACTTACATAACAAAATTGCCCTGTTTTCCCTTGATAATACCCTAACTCTTCCCTATCTGAACTATTGCAATTTTATCTGGGCATCCTCTACTTACAATCACCTGCTTCCTCTGATCACACTCCAGAAGCGAGCCACTAGGATTTGCACACTTTCACACCCTCGGGACCATACTGCACCTCTTTTTTCTAGACTCCACACATTAACTCTGACATCAACAAATTACACATCGGCATTTTCATGTATACGTTCACTATAACAAACTTCTTCCTTCTACCTTTCATCCTACTTTTCAGCATTTCACGATACTCATGGGCACAGCACTCAAACAGTCTCTAAACAATCGCTATGTTCCTTTCACCCGCACAGCATACACTTTTAGAACACTTCACGCATAATTCCTTCTTGTCATTGTTAATATAAGTACCAAATTTGTTATCGTTATTTTCCATTAATTTTATTTCCGTCATAAGGTATTCCCCCGTACGCTAATTTAGTGCTGTTGTTGTTTGTTTTCTTGCTTTTTGTGTGTCTCTCTGTAAAGTTTGTTTTGTCCAGGTATTTTCAATACAAGCGTTCCGACTTCTGAAAAAGCCCCCAAATTGGGTTTTCCTTTACTTACGTACATCTTGTCTTTGTTACTCTGTAACTACCTCTCGATTTATATATTTGTACTGTTATTGTTTACTCTTCCTGATCTTCACCAATATGGACATAAACGTCATATTGAATTGAATTGAAAATAAAATATCGGGGGAGTCTGCAATGTCAACCTCGTCGCTGTATGCAAGACTTGTCCATGTGCAGGTGAAATTTCTGCTTGCTTAAAACAATGATGGTTGCTTATAATCAAACTATTTAACTTTAATTCCGAACATATTAAAAAAAAAAAAGGGTCCTCTGCTTCGAAAAATTTAACGGTTGATTGTTAACGTTAAAGTGGCTAAGTCAGAGATTAACTGCCAAAAAGAAATATTGTGAATATACTGAGTTTGGGTTTATGATCTTCACTAATGTATGAGAAGTTTAAATATCAGTTTCACTTGTACCCATGTTTGGTGCGATATTTTGATCTCACCGCACTATATTTGTCGATAACTCCGCCATCAGCCAACATCAACATTTCCAAATCTCCAATAAAAGGTGAGACGTTAAATGTGTGCGGTAAAGGTGGGCAAGCGTATTGCTCTCTTCGGAAACCTAGTTTAATACTCCAGAATCCAGTTCAAAATTTCTCTTCGACAACTTTAATAGAATTTTAATTATTAAACATTGAGTGTAAATTTTCAGATTGCTCGTTGTAACAGTTACTTAAAAAGGAAACAACGAAAACGGAAAAGAATTGGAAGTGAAATTTTTCCAAATGTAGCGCCATCCACAGAGCTTTCTATGGCCTAAAGAGATTATATGTGTCTGTTCGCGAGAGTAACAAACCATGAAATGCATGGTTAGAGTGGTTTTTTTAAAAGAAGTAAACCTGTTAATTTAAATTAACCTGTTTGGACTTTGTGACTTTGTTCCAGCCCTTCTGAAAATGGGTCCAAAGTTTAAAAATACATTTGGCCGATTTATATAACTGTTTTCTCTTCCACAATTGGAGAGATATAAATTTGGATATCTAATTAGTTCTTTGCCCAAGAGTCCTGCATTTATTGTTGTTATACCCTAACATGGCACATGGCGCCAACAGTGGCGGACTGTGATTTGGGGACTTCTTGTACCTTGCTATGGAGCAATGGTTTTTACATAGAATTTCTCAATAAGAGAAATTTCAACTTGCAGGATTCGCTACAGCTGCAAGTTGCCAGCGTGCATTGTCGCCAAATGTCAAATTTAGATTAACAAACCATGGCTTCGGTCGTGCTTAGGCCCTAACTGGCGTTGATAAATGTACATGGCTATGAAGGTATGCATTTAGACGGCAAAATGCACTTGCCTACTTGTCTGAGTTACTCCCCGAGATTAGTGAACAGGAATCTAGCGCGCAAACCAAATATCCATATTACGATCCCAAGTTCATTCAGGTTATTGCCTTACAGATGTTTGCCCCTCCAGTCGAATAGTAACATAAGCAACAGCCTGGGTACCTGGGATCCACACTTAAATTTGCTAGACACTGGTGTCAGGCATCTCATTTGTTCGGGTAAGCCTAGGGGCCTACCATGAGCAGAATCATAATGCATGTACATAGGCCGACTACGCGTCACTTAAACCTGGTTGTAACTGTAATTAGAATTTGAAACAACTCACCTTTAATTTTGCCTTCTAAGCAAACTGTTCAGCGGGCCAACTTGTTTCATGATGTTTAGAACTAGCTTTTTATAAAATAGCGTCTTTCTGCACCGTTGAATTGGGTCTATCTTGGCAGACGTCAACACACGAACACAGTGAATTTATTAATTAAAGCAGATCTCTCTCGTACATGATGTAGGCTCGGCGGTCACTAGCCACACGGGTCCGACATAAACGACATAGTCTCGCTTTCAATTCATCTTGACCCTCCTCAGTTTGCTACCAGCTGTTTTTGTCAATCTATTTACTATCAACTTTCCGACAAATACATGAATATGTCGGTGGTTCAGTGCAATGAAAGGAAAAACGCTGGGTTGAGAGAAGATCGTCGTGGACACGTCTCTTTCGAGGATGGCGCCATTTTGTTTTTCAACCTTAACCTCAATCTCAACTTTCAACCTCGTTCAAGAAATCGGCATGAAGATTATTTTTCGTGCCGAGACATTCATTACAAATAAAGATAGTATTGTTTGCTCTAAGTAATTGTTTCATGCGAATCTTGCATTGTAGGTTCTTTTTTCTCTCGTGAAAATTTTGATCAATGTTTTCTTTTTATTCTAAACTGTAATGAGGCATAGTCCTAGGCCTCTATGATGAAATCCTTCCAAGTCAGAGGGAAACTGTCGGCCTATACGTTTCTTTGGAAACTCGTAGGCTTATTTGCCAGAGAATTCCAAGGTGAAATTAAAATCTTGCGCGAATGAGCGGGAAGTCCAGCATTTGTTGACAGACTACATATTGGTGAACATGCAGAACAAACGGAAATTTTAATTAATTCCCCAATTTCCCCCCTCTTCCCCTTCCACGCACGCTCCCGCGGGAACCAGTAACCTTTTCTAAGCCTTAGATTTGATAAGATGGAAGCAAAATAAAATAAGAGCCGAACATACCAATAGTCAGAAATGTCCCAAATTAAAGTGAAACGATTATTTATTGAACAACCCTTACAACTGCCAACTGATCAGTGAAAAGGACAGCAAAATCAATCCAATTTTTATGAAATCAATTTATGTCAGGACTGCATTTTGCGGACAAAGATTTTAGAAGCATTACAAATATCCGAATAAAGGAGTCGTGCAAGTTATTTTTACATTAATGGCGGAAAATAGATAAAGATAGATTTATACATTTCATGATGTAATTGCTTTTTTATTGGTGAAAAGATAATCAGCACCAAGAGATCTTTTTCAGTGTAGAAATTTTAATGTATGTACTTGCTAACGTTTGTTTAGATTAAAATTTTAATCTGCGTTGCTCTAAATCTACTGAACTTTAAAGAAAGCGGAAGCAAAAGTAACATGATCATTCCTACATCTATTATACAACCAAAGAGACAGGAAAATGTATCTATGCAATTTCAGAAAAAAATCTTTCAGGTTGTGAAAAAAATGTTAATAAAGACATCGGGCTACCAAACAGAAATGTTAATTATTTTCTTCATGTGGCATAAACATGTCTCATAAATTTCTTGTTCTTATAGTGAATGAATTAAGCTATTTACAGCACTATTTATAACTGTTTCATGTCTCTCTCCCCTCTACATCTATCTACGTCTTTTGACTTACGTCATATGAATTTCACATTTTCAAACATCTTCGATGGAGTTAATAAAAAATCGCACAAGTACAATAAAAACACTGGCAAAAGTTTCTCTTTTCTTGGTGATCAACCTCTCACAGGACATCAGCTTTTCCTTTAATCTTTGCACATGCGCGCGTTGTTTTAATTTCTAAGCATGGTATATCGACGCCTTAGTGGGCCTGATTCATCAATCTTATATTTTTTGAGTGCTTGGTCACCCACTTTCGTGCCACAATGGTTTGCTACTTCGTTTTATAGGGGGTAGGGGAATCCGGGATTTCAGTCATTACCAAGTGTAGCTGCTTCGTAGGAGTCTTGAGGGTAAACTCGTGGGCCTTCATCGGACGGTGCGGATATTATATGCCACAGTATTGAGTCATATCGAGGCTAAAAATAGTCGCAGGCCTAGAAGCGCCCCCAAGTGGTACAACTAAAGTCTTTTGTACGAGATGGAGAAAAGGGAATGGATATCAAGCCACCTACTACAAAGCGGATCCTCCAAAGCGACGACTTCCCGCATGATTGTCGATCATATCATCGATCGCTTCTCAGTGACCCTCTTCACCCCCGGGTCAAAAGTCAAATCACTTCCGCCTCTTCGTTTCAAAGTACGATGACATGTAAGACTACCATCTAAAACCTACAATGTCTACTGTTTCACTAACTATTGAAAGGAAGTAGTTCTCGAACCATTATACAAAAAGGTTATTTTGAACAGTTCCGGGTAGAATATCGACGAGAAGGAAAGCTTGATGTGTGTTTTACACATGCTGGCTTGGCTATTTCTGGTCTGCATCAGGCAGGCTTTCTACAGATTTTTTTCTTTTCAAATTTACATAATGAATTGTACTTAGTACAAGTGACAACAGTTCATTTTGTTGTTTTCATTTTTGGGAGATGAGATGTGGCTGAAGGGTGGTTACTGTGCGGTGGGTTTGGCTGCTCCACTGCCTGTAAAAGGGAAATAAAAGGCAAAATTGGCGGATGATAGTGAAACGATCTACCACACTCTTCAAAACAAGAAATTTAATATCTATTTCGCCCATCCTTGGTCGATATATCATTTGCCCACACTCCTGAGTCAATTCGTGGTCATGTTTAGCCTGAATTACCTGAATCGATTTTTATAGCCACGGCATGACGCTGCATGTTTGGCCATTAATGTTCATTCAACATTAAGAGTGCATATAAGTAGCTCAAACTTTTGTTCATGCTATATTGTACATTTGACGTTGATGTTGGCACCAATTTAAACAGTAACATGGATGCACAATTCATAACATTTTGGTAGTGAGAATAAAAACTAATCACTTGTCTCGTAACGTTGTTGATGGCTCTCGTGTCATGAAACAGCGACTTAAATAGTACAATTATTTCTATTTTTCAGTTTTGGTTTTCACCTGGAAATGTAGCCAAATTATATACGGAAAATCTGACTATCGAGTTTGTAAAACAAGTTTAACAAATAAATTCATTCGCAACAAAAAACGCGCAAATTTAAGAAAATGTGAAATTCATATTTGTCTAGAAATGTATAAATCTTCATCCAACCGTGAACAAATTTGGAGGGAAAACATTTATCGTTCCAAAGTAAATGTCTTGTTAACATCATATTTGGCTTCAGAGAGTTTCACTTTTTCACGGAGTCTATATCGGGAGTTTTTTGGTCTTTTTTGCTTTCCTTTCTTTAATGTACATCTGCCATCAGAAGTAACTAAGCGGATTCACTTTGAACAATTTTTTAAAAGATTCGGGGGATGCCATGGAGATGCCCCTTGTCCCCAGAGTGCTTGGCGTTTCTGCACCCGCGCTCTTACCTTCTGAGTCGGCCTTGCTCTGGTTGTTCCGGTGTTTGTTGATGAAGTCTTGTAGTTCGAGGTTCATGTCTCCGACGTCCCTCCTAAGTGAGTCATACTTTTTGTAGACGTCAATCCGCACTTTGAGTTTCTCCTTCTCGATCTCCAGCTCCTTCACTTGCCTCAGGATTTCGGACTCCAGCTCGGCCTCGCTCTGCTCTTTCTCCGCGACCGCTTCTTTGTCTGTTCAATCATGTATACAGTTGGCACTAGACATATTAGTCTATATTTCGCATAAAAAAGGTTGGTTATAGACTCTAATATACAATTTCTTGAATCTTGCCCAGTTTGTCTTAATTTGCACTGCAAATAGATCTTGGCTCATCTGGAAAAGAAGTTCGGTAAAGTAAACCACATAATTCGGTTTCATTGAGGGTACAATGAGTCTCTTGACGACACGAACAGGATAGCAAGTCTTACTTGGTAGGTTGAGGTCAGAAGTTTTGATATTGTAACTGAAATGTTTTCAATTTCAGAAAGCACTCAATGTTTTTCTATATCAAGAACCCCTATTAAACGTGGACTTCATTCCTCATGACATACGATTTGAAAAAAAAGGTAAGAAGCCAATGCATCCCCAAAAGTGTTAGCCAAAACTGATCATACCTGATGTCATGTCCAACGGAAAGCAAAGATACAAAACAAAACAAAACAAAACGAAACAAAACATGTTCAACAAGAAAACACGGAAGACGACATGTTCAAACAATAAGGAAATGGGACAAGATAAACTTGAAATGGACAAACCGACACAAAACACCCATTTGACACAAAAAGTCACCTTCAGTACCACTGTTTGGCCCCTCCTGAGCCCCCGCTGCTTGCTCCGCTGCCCTCTGGTCGTCCCTCTTGCGCCAGAACCACTTCCGCTTCTTGGACGACTTGAAGTCAGCCTCTTTAGACTCTTGTGCTTCCTTGGGTGCCTCACCTCCCTCGCCGCCACCTGAGCCTCCATCGCTTGTGCCCGCTGCCTCGCCCTCTGCTGGCTTAGTTGTGGATGCCTCGGGGGATGCACCTTCTTTTGCACTGAAAAATAATTTTTCAGTAATTGTTCTCAATCATTTTGAAAGTTTATAAAAAGACAGCGATTACGGTAATGATGTCAACAGCGACAAAAACAGCAGCAAAATCAAATGTGACAAAAACAGCGGCAACAACGTGCGGCAACAGCAACGCAGCGAGTTTGGTTTTGTTTCTGAACTCTCAGACCTACATTGCAAAAAATTAAACTGGAGAATAACCCCCCTTGAGCAAAATGACTCTCCATCTGCTTGTACTGTCTGGCATCGGGCTGATGACGTCATGCGAGAGAAGGTTGCAGGAGTAAAGTGGGGTCTCTCACCAACCGGCACCGATCCTTATCCGGACCAGGGGGCCAAAATCACCTCTGCTGATTGAATCCGGAAACCACAAACCTCCCCTTGCGACCACGTCGGCTGACCCCTCCCCAATGCCTATGTAATGTCTCTGATGGGACGCCGGACGTGTTATCTCTTCGCGACATCTTTGGGCCGGACGGGGGGCATCGGTGTTTGTTCCCGTCTGTTTTATGTGCAGTTTAACTCTGATTGACACGACCCTGAAGAAACGTCTACATTTTTTTCCAGACATTCTGGGATGAACTTTAGTAGTCAAAATAAACGCTGTCAGATCTTCTGCTAAGTGCAGACCGGTTCAAATAGGGATAGGCCTACTTTGTTTTGAATTTTAGGAACCATTGTCATCACTATCTGCAGGCATTATTCCCCTTCAAGATTCTTTGCAATGCTTATTTGTTCAGATCACGTTACCTGAGGGTTGGGTACGGTTGAGTTGAAATCGCTGTTCCCTCGGCATCATCGAGAATATTAGATCTGGTGTATATTTATCCCTGTTACACAGCCCCCGATATGTTGTTGCTGTCGCCAACACAGAGCGGCCAACAAACCAAGTCTTCTTTCAATTTCGTTTACCACCTCCCGCGCACACTCTGTGCCTAACATTCCCCATCTAGGGAAAACACTATGCCCCCTCCCCCAACCGACACTCCACCCTATTTTGTAATCCCACTGGATCAAGGCATCCAGTGGGTGTGCTCCAGCTTTCGTGTCCTCGCATTAACAGCACGCATCTCAGTATTACTACACTCACGGTGTGTCTGTGGTTGTCTCGGTCTTGGTCTCTGTCTTAACCTCCTCTGTGACAGCCTCTTCTTTCGTCATGGTGACTGGTGAGCCGGGCTCAGATTTCTCACACAATAAACTGCAATTAAAATGCAGATTTGTGGGAAGTCAGGTAATAGTAAAGAACCCATTTCTAACTTCCGGTATCATTCTCTGGGCAAAAGAACTATGTGATATGAAATTATGAAACACGGTACTGTATTGGCCAATGTTGTGGCATACCGACTTTCAGAGAGAAATATTGGACAGTAAGGCAAGTGCCCCCCCCCTAAACGGTAGTATTCTAATTAATGAGGGCACACTATTTAATTCTTTCTTCTTCAAAGAGTGCTGGCTCGACGTTTTAGTATGTTCCAGCCATCTTAAACAGTGGATAATATAAAAGTTAACTCAAAGCTCACACTGGAAAGTTTACAAGGTCTATTTGAAGTATACTGTGCACAGTTCTCGATCAACTCTGATTTGCATCAGCTGTGTTCGCTTGATTTTGTTATTTCGTAATCATTAGAGCTGTTATATTTTTCCTGGTAATTTCGTCTTCGAGGCCCTGAACTGGGGCTTGTTCAGGCCACTGCTGCCGTGAAATGGGCCGTTGATTCATGACTGCCGTACCCTTGGCCCGGCACTGACTTCCTGCAGACCAACTCCCCATACAGCTGTCGCGTCCCTGATTCATTTTATTCGTGCAACAATCTCTGACATTAACTCGCAGGAAGGAAACAGGTTTCTATGACTCAGGTGCCGAGCTCGATCCTCCAGGTTCAAGATATGACAGGGAACAAAACAAGGTCAAGATTTAGCCATAAACAGACGCAGGGCCGCTTTTATAAGGATGTGAATCATGTGACAGAGACACAAGAGACAATGACAGTATAGCGCGTGTCATCTGCAAATAGTTGAGAAGAATAAAGAGTAACATCTTGCTTCCTTTCCTTTTATTTATGGGGGCTTCACATTACATACCGAGTGACTAAATCCTCTGAGACCTGCTTCGAAGCACTGTCAGACTTCATATATCAATCAAAAGCTACTAACCACACAAAGCTAGTTATAATTGACCGGCTGCGCCAAACATCAACAAACACCGCGTCCTCCCATAACAAAGTGTGTCACCAGAATCATTTATCAAAAATAAGGGTGGCAGTCAGTAAAATACAATGACCACTGATGTGCTGACTACTATATCGAAAACAAGCTTCGTTTTGCAACACACTTAGCTATGTTTGATAGGTCGCGCGACTTGGTGGGCGCAATCGGTCTATTTCCATGAAATAATGTATAAAGCAGTTAGACTTTGAGTAGTCCGAAATATTGAAATATTTCGTTTCCCGTACAATTGTCTGTTTAGGATATTTGTAATCAAATCACATCAGATAAGAATCCTAAGAATGAGGGACGGTCAAACTTCCATTCGCAGGTCGCACAATCACAGTTTTCAAAGCTTATATATCAAAAGCACCGACATTAAAAACTCAATACGCAGGCTCCTTTAAATTATAACTTGCACCTGTATCGTTAGTGGTAATGAAGTCAGTGAGTAACATCCCATTGCCGCATTCACAGCACTTGTTCTAACCGAAATATCCTAGAAGACGTTTTGAGTCGCCACTTTCCCCGTTTGGTACTGGTAACTCGTTTTCATTTAAAGGTACTTCTCCTGTAAATTGCACATTTCCTCTGACGCCTCTTATTGTCTTCAAAGTGTGTGGGCCTCTAACAATCGCTCGTGTCATTCGTTGGTTCCCGCCTCATTAACAAACTGTGCACGTCCGGACGTGGCCCTTGCTTTTTCTTATAGTTGTGTGAACATTCTACACAAAGGCGAATTTTAAAGCCATTGTACGTTTCTGGAAGTTAATTAGACGGAACAACTACGACACATTTGGATCTCACCTTCGCCCCCAACACATTTCATTAATTTGATACCCGGTAAGCAATCGATCGAATGACTTTTTTTCAAGTGTTGCCTCTATAACAGCTTGAACCTAGCTCCTGTTACGATTTGCAGAATGAGGTAGGTCCAGGTATACACCACGTATATACTGAAAACTGGCATTGAATTGAAGGTAAATAACTACTACGGAGTGTATTTTAACTAGGCCTAAAACCCTTAGTCTGTTGTTTATTTGAAGTATGACTTCCACTTTAGCACAGGATTATTGCTGTCTGTTGGGGGCCTGTTATAAGCCTGAATCGACATGTATTTTGAGGAGTCATTCTTCAAGCTCAGAATAACACGTTTCCAATTATGAAATGACCCAAATATTACGGACTGTATTCAAACAAAATATGCACACCCTCATATTTGTCACTCGTTTCTTCACCAATGAAGCCTAAGTAATTGTTCTCACCAAATTAAAGATCACTATCCGACTGCACCAACTCCCACTGCAGTTAAGCCGTTATCCCAACGAGCACTCCGTGTTCAGCAAACACACCCCGTCGGTTCAAATCGACCCACCATTCAAGAGTACTGAGCAGCTGTTCTCGCACAGGCTCGGGTGCTCCGCGTGGACTGAATGGCTGTGCTGTGACGCCAAGTCAGTTGCTACGGTGTTTATATACGGAAGCTCCCACTCCGACCGCGCCCAATTGAAGGAAGTGCCTTGTTATGCCCGATGTAGCCGGAGTCAGTCTTGGTGAGGCGGCATGAGCAGTGCAGAGTCTTAGTCACGAAGGAATGGGTAAAAGGTGTTGCTGTCGGTTGCTATAGGGATTCGAACGAGGGTTTTGTTGGCTTCGGACAACATAATGTAAACAAACGTCTCGACCGTCGTTGAGGCTACGATAATTCCCATGCATACTTGATGAAAAACAGCGATGAGTATTTGGCATAATCATTTTGATAGATTGATGATACATGTACGTAGTCGTCAATGTGTTTTCTATCAACAATTCCATTTGAATATTACTCAGATTGAAACAACCATAATTATAACCCACGAAAGTTCATCATTGGATCAAAACAAAAAACGATAATCGGGTGAATTAGGCAGAAGCGAAATAACGTTGATTATTGTAAACTAAACACAATTTCTACATGTGATTATGGATTTCGTGGCTACTTTTGTCCCACTAAATGAACAATTCAGCAACAATAAGTCGGTAGAGTTCAGTGATGACAAATGAATGACAACTTGTCTTCCAGTGCAAGGGCGTCCATGTTGAAGAGGGTGAGGAAAGAAAACAAAATACTGTGCTGTAACAGCTTACGCGGGTTTCATGTCATTTCTTATATGAAACCAGATCCTACGACTGCAAATCTTTGTACTTAAACTCAATCTACGGTACTGACAGGTGGTTCAAGTTTTCCAAGTATTTCATGCATGAACAGACATTCGGGCAATTCTCAAAGACAGGAACATTATGTGAAAGGAAATCTACGGCAGGGTTTCCAAACCACAACTCGATGTGTGTGGGAGTTGATTAGTCTTGGCACTCACTTGGAAGCAGCTAAAAGGGGGAGGGGAGTTCAAGACCGTGGAAAACGAGCAACCTGAAGTCTTGGCTCTGACACGAGGCTGAAGTCATTATTCAGACCACAACGTGGAAGCCTTGAATCAAATGGTAGACCTCAGTGCAGATTTCTCGGGAGGATGTAGTGACCAAGTGCAATGATTCTTTGACGAGAGTGACCAGCACCAACTTGCGGTTTGATGTTGTGAAACTGCCAGGGAGTTGGATTATCGGCATGAAAGAGGTGGAACATGATTTAAAGCAGCATATTACCACAAATTCCTCCAACTTGGATCCCAATTGTAACATAACCCTTGCGACGGAATGAGTGATCAGAACCTCAACAAAAGATGGAGGGCACGAAAATGACAGTTAAGAACAAAACTCAGCCTGCTGCAGTTTGCCGAGGGTGGCCTTATTCAGGACTAACCTGGGGACTTGGCATACTGGGGTCTTGGTCCGACAACTTACATTAATGTGCAAAAAAATTGTCAACTCACGGCATTTTCCGTAACCTTGTCCCAAGATGTCGGCAATCACTCACCCAATGTTCATAAGTGACAGTCCCCGAACACCGAGGAAAAGTCGGCTCAAAAGGTTCAACAGACTGCTGATGTCGTCTGGAAAGGTCAAAACTACGGTCCATCAGGCGAACCAAGGTGTCGGCATGGTTTTCATTAAGCCGTGGTGCGGCAATCCGTGTGGTTTATCATGAATGTTCATGTTTCAAGCCGGGACTTTCGTCACACCGAGAAACATGGCCCTCCAGGATGGGTAGGCTTCACACACCAAACTTGGCTGCATATTAACACCATTTGGGAGGGAGGGGATTACAACAAAACCTGACTGTTGAAAACCAACGGTATACTCCGTGGTTCTTCCTTTTGTGATTTGCACAAACGCCACTCTAATTAATTCTGGTCATTTTTTGCCATTAGCAGGAAACATCAGCGTTGACAATGATGACGACGACGACGACAGCAGCAGTAGCAACAACGACAACAGCAACCAACAAATAAAAACTGGTGTTTGGACCCACACCACTTTTTTGCTCATTAATTCGCACTTTCACATAAGCACCGACTTTCCCGTTTAGACAGTACAGTTTCAGTGGACAGTCTAACTTTTTATCAACCATGTGCATTTACTAAAAGTCAAGGGAAACCTTTAGAAAATTATCATATTAGTACACTGTTTTAGAGCAATTAACGGATATCCAATTGTATAAGCCGCTCGTATACCACAGATTACAATATCCTGTCAATACTATTTATTTTGATGACTCCAGTTATCTCCAAGAACAGCTTTCTTTAGCAGACACACGTCACCGACGGAGTCTTTAGCGCCTCCTTCGGCCCAATACCTACTTAAATTATTTCCGAGCAAAAAACAACATGCCTCTTCCAACTCTTTTGCAAAACGCCTGCGGAGACAAGAGATGCTTCGCCTACATGGCAACTGTGGCATCTCCTCTTTGCCAAATTGGACAAATCCTCTTCCCACCCACACACGTACACACGCTATCGCTTCTCAGCGTATGCTCCATTCAGACTCTAGCCACACGCGCTGACTTGCAAAACGTCAACGTGCCTGTCACCGGGACCCAACACGTCATTTCCAATGCAACCCCCGCGCGAAACGGTGCGCCGGTTTTGGAAAGGAGCCTAACTCGGCCCATAAATATGCCAGAAATGAGCAGCTCTCGACGATCACTTGCATTTCCTGCAAAGATTTTCATGTCTTGCAGAGTCATCCAGCGCTCTGGGTTCAACGGTGTTAGAGTCGGAACAAATGCAGCATGAACTGAAAGTATACCAAAGCTGTAGAAAACGTTGATGACTGAGTGTACCCTGGATGCGGGCATAATCAGGAGTAAATCTTAGAAACCGGGTGGGAGAGGCCGACGTGCCTTTCTTGATCTAACCTATGATCCTAGTACTTTCAGTCATTAAGCTTGTACCAAAGTCAGCATTCTGGAACGGCACTTTCCGCAGACATAAAAATGGGAACCGAGTGAGTTAAGTGGGGGGAAATCATGGATGGGGAAGGGGTCATCTCGGCTCCTCCTAAATCTGCGCTCCGGGTAATCCGTGCATGTCGGGAAGTGGAACGCTTCCATTAGATTTGGGATTTTTCTCAGGCGCACGAGGGAAAAGAAATAATGAGGATTTTTACTCCAGTTCCCTGTCCAATATGTGGCTACTTTCCCCGTCTGCGATAAAGGACAACGTAGCACAGATTTCATATAGATATGTTCAAATGCGCGGTACGATGAAGACATTAAACGTAGTCAAGCCAACGGCATACAACGATGCCTCAGGCAGCTGCCAAACGACCCACAATCCACCCACATCTGTAGAGAGGAGACAATAAGAAGCAGTTTCAGTTTTAGATGTGGGAGGAAAACTCCAGAGAAGAAATTTCTGGGTAAAACCTAGGGAATCGGACTAACATCCCAATCCACATGCGGACCGAGCCGGTAAACGAACCCGGGCCGCAGAGGCAAAAGGCAGGGAAAGAGCTATTTCGCCGACCCGATTCCCCAGTTTACACTCCTCATATTAGTTTCGTTTTACATGTGTTAAAGAACTTTCATTTACCCTCTCTTTTTTGTCTCTCCAAAAACCCCTCTTTGAATATTTTTCAATATTTTTCCTTTGAATAAGTTCCGTGCACTGAAAGTGCTGTATTTTGTTTACTTTTTCGTTTTCGAGATTCTGTCCTCATAAATTCACATTTTGACAGTTTCCATGAACATACCCTCCAAAGGTGAAAGAGTGAAAATTTACTGTCAATCAGAAAACAGTCCCGAAAAGAGTGAAACCAATCCAGAGGAGCCATGCATTATAAGAAAAAACTCCTTTTTTTTGAGTTGTCACTTCATTATACGGCTCCTTCAAAGAGTGGAAAGTCTACTTTCTTGGGGAGTGATTTCACTCTTGATAGCGTAGTTTTCACTCTTTTGAAGTGGTTTCATAAGGGACCCACTCTTTGTGTAACTAGATGTATTCTCTACAATTCCGCTGCTGGAAGTGAGGAAAACATGAGCCACTGTACAAAAAAAAATCACTGTCGACTATATTAGGGGAAAATATTAAAACAGTGAACAAAATGGCATTTTAGAACTGCGTCATTGATGTTGGATATATTTCTTCAACATTTCAACTTTGAGAAGGTATAAGTAAATGCCCAACTATTAACGTTCAAATGAAACAAATATTGTCCCTAATGCAAATTCATAATATTGTTAGTTCACGTCTTCTATGATCATATGTCACCATGGGTGGGGCACTATAGGTAAGGGATATCCCACCCACACACATCCTTTGGCAAAGGAAGGTAGATCGGTCCCAATTTACGTGTCCACAGTCCCCAGAGCATTCCTGATTTCACCCTCGGTGGCGGCGAGATCAGAAGAAAATATGCAACGCCATCACTACTGTTCACTAAATACCTGAAGCCCACGGCCCCATATGACAGGGTGTGGTCACGTGACAAGAGTGGGCAACAGCATCTACGACAAGTCCTCGTGGCACATTCCGCCAAATAATTAAGTACAAAGCAAGTATACACAGATGCTGATGCATGGTTAAACCTCGGGAACTTATGCGTTAGGGTGAAAAATGGCAACCTTGCTTGTATCAAAATTACACAAGCAAGAGTCAAAATGGAAATTATTATGCTCAATATCGAGCAAATATTGCAGAATTGCTGTACCCAGCAAAAACTTACGATTCTCTTTTTTAGAGTGTACGCCAATAGGTCATCAATTTTGACTGAGTCATTGGCAGTATACAGTGGTACGTTTCATAAATAAATCTAAACCACACTTTGAAAAAGTTAATTTTTAACACAAACCTTCAGCAGAGAACAAAATATCCAAGCTGTAAGCACACTACAAAATGGCTTTAATGAATCTATGACTCTTTGTGCGCACATTTTTACGTACAATCGTAACCCAGGTTGGGCACCAGTCTTCACTTCACCATGCATGAAGTAGTAGCCTACCTACATCCACACGTTCCTTTCATGTCTATTTTCCACTGCATTTCAAATCGCCTTTACTTGTAAATTCGACACAAGATCCTAAACACTTTAAATCCTGTGAGCCCTGCATGCAGCAGGTCTGTAAAGGAACACACTATCCAGCTGGTAATGAAGCGTTCTTTACTCAAATACGTTGAGGAGTCAAATTCTATTTTGTATTTAAGCGGGACGGAACGGTCACGCGGTCAACCGGATGTACCATTTTAGACGAGAGGATGTTGGTAAACGCCCATCGTCTTGTTTACACGTACTAGGCCCAGTAGGCTTATGGCTGGAAGAGCCGATAAAATGCTCTCAGGTTAATGTAAAACGGAGCTCAACCATTCAGTGTGAAACTGTGAGGTAAGACTTTGAAAAAACAAGTGCAAGTACCATCTCCAGCGTTTGTCGCACCGCATAAAGGGTAATGCTACTGTCCCATAATTCTTATTGTAAGTAGGAACAGTCGATGCAGGCTTCGGCCAACTGAACGCGGCTTGAGACTAAGGCCGTGTCTGAAACGGGCTTCCAGAGCTACGGCTAGGGCTATTGTCTGCGCGTCTCCACACATTTCCAATGGGGGAGCAAAGACCTAGACCTAGCTCTAGACAAGAGACTCGGATGCGGCTTAATTACGCAAAACTCTATGGGTAGCGCCTGCAACCGTTGTCACAGATTCGTGTTTGTATCAGGGGACACTATTCGGGGATTTGATGTCAAAGTTAATACAGAAGCCTTGATCTTCCTTGCCGCTGAGATAAATTATGTGGGAAACGCAGAATTCCTTGATAAAATAACACAACTATCACAGCATTCTGCGTTTCCGAGCTACATGCATTTGATCAAGAAATTCCGCTGTTCCTGGTTATTTTTATCAAGGAATTAAGCGTTTCCGCGGCACGTTTTTTGAAATTTCCAGTTTCTTAGCAACCGTCGGTCCAATGCTTCTGTGGAAGGAGAATATCTATGACAGGCTTGGCGTGTCAAAACCAATAGAACAACAAGGATACCAAAAAGGGGCTGATCGGAACGTCTTGAAACCTAACTTTTAAGGTTTGGCGGTCTGGGTGATCACCAGAACAGTGAAATAAATTTTTCAAAAATCGCATGGTAATCGATAATCTGGGAGTTGAGTCGCGCCAGGCTTTTTCCCTAGCATGTGGAGAAAATAACAAACGAGCTTCAGGTGAACCTGGTTCCGATCAAAGCGTGTGGAAAACACCCAAGCGATGGGAAACTCCCGCGCTGTTTGATATTACATGTACAGTTTTATCAACCGGAAGCGTCGATTGCGATTGCGGCAGAAACCAGACGAGGTTTCCGGACCGGAAAATTCACGCCAGCCTGAGAAATAAAAGTCAGGTGTGAAGTGAGTGTTTCAGACAATTTGACTTTGTGAACTTTAACCCAAATGTCTCACATATAGCTTTTAGAGTTTAGTTAATTCCCACTCCATACTGCGCAATTTTAAGAAATTACTAAAAATCTTCCACGTGGAGACAAATTTCGGAAAAAAATCCCATAGGCCCCCTATCCCAAATGGGCTGAACTTCAGTCACAATCGTTAACACTGTGTTAATACCGACGAAACTCCAACGAAATTATTCATTTCCAAGGAAGGATTTCACGGACTTACGCCTACCAACCAACTTGAACTCCGGCGCCGCTAACGGGCAAGTTATCAAGCAGCCAAGTAAAAGCAAGCTGCAGGTCAGCCTGTTGTCAACAACAGACTAATCGGATCTGACACCATAACTGCGGGTTGCACCAAAGATCGTATAGCGCTGCGTAGCGGCGCAAAATGGGGAACTTCACCATGAATACGCGTAAAACGTTATCACATGGGCGCCATTCTGGTTGGACTACGCCTGCGCAGTGCCGTTTAATGCGCAGGCGCAGGCGCCGCAACAGGCACACGCACACACGTACACAGTAACGTTCACACTCGAGAGGCGCCCATGGTGATAACACCTTTATGGTCGAATTACCCATCTAGCGCCGCTACGCGGCGCTATATAATCTTTGGTTTGCATCGCACTCACACACACAAAATCTTCAGCTTGACGCGCGCGTGCTTTTTCCAAATTGCGGAACCCTATTGGTTGAAAAGCCCTGTGACACGCGCGTACCACCTGTCCACGAGCGTTGTGCCACCGCATTAAAGGCTAAAAGTAGATCAACTGTATTTCGAACGCAAGAAAAATGATTTTGAGAACCCACAATTCCGAATGTTTAACACGATTTGGAGCATACAAAAGGAGTTTTAGGGTAGGCCTACGGATAATTATATTTCGAGGGCACGAATTGCTTTCGAGCCCACAAAATGAAGAAGTACAATTATTTTTTTGCGATGACTTTGTTTTCATTATATGTCCCTTTTAGGGGCTCCGCGCATTAACACATGAACCAACAATTATTTTAACAATCAACCGACAAACCAAAGACCGACCAACAAATACCGACGACTCGAAAAAACGTCTAGTCACGTTGGTAACATACGACTCGACCCACATGTTGCCCAAGCGAAACGGCGTCAGGAGGATGGGGTGGGTATTGGGTCACTGCTCCTTTCGGTTAAATGAATCTAGTATATCTGAGCGCCTTTTTTCTCAATTCCCCAGTTCAGATACATACTTTTTACACCCTGCACGATTACCGGCTGCAGTGTTTCGATAAAGATCGAGAGAAGTTTCCAAGGGCCCACTGGGGTATCACATCTGTCAGATTCATTTCAAGTTCAGTTTGCTGCGACCGGCTATCCGCCGCACGTAGATATTACCAATATCCGTTAAGTGGCTGGCAGGTTTGAAGCCCGACGGACAGCCGCCCGTTAGACAAACATTGACTCTGAAGTCACCATGAAGAGGAGTGTTACGTTGGAATTCTTTGCCGAGTTTTGGTTTAACTGATGGGTCAAAAACGCCGTACTCGTCTACCTCCTTAGTAGTTTACTTATGTATATCACCCACATGACGGTTTGCACTAAATATGCCAGTTTGTTTAGCAAAGTTTTCCTAAGGGAAAATCGTTTTCACAGCGAGCGTATGGCTGGATCAAGAAAACACAGAAATACACGGAATCGGAATAAAGAGTAAAAGTTAATAAAAACAAGATGAAACTCTTGAGAAGTTGTCACTTCCTTTAACACCTACACAAAAGTGAAAATTTCCTCCTCGGAAGTGCACAATCAAAATCTCATACGTGAGAAGGTTTGTCAACGCGAGGGCGTACACTCCCAGCCGCCACGCTTTGCCAAGCGCACAAGTGGGCCGGGCGAGTCCTACCGAATCGTCCCATGCCAACCTGCACGCGCACCCGGCATCACGTCGACCGTGTTGGGGCGTTTTCCGGACGAGCGCCTAATGCGTGTCTTCCTGTAGCATCTGACCGACCTCACCGGGACTGATTAGGGCAATTTCCGGGACAAGCTCTCGACCGGGCCGCCATTTGATGTTCGTCACTCCCCGGAGAGACCAGTATTGGATGACTATCAATGACTGTCGATGTGCTCCACATCACTTCATTTGCGTGCCACATTTTTGCCTCTTAATACAGAGCTTTAAAATCACGTCTTGTGGTTAGATCCACAAAGTTGGGAAAATTAATCTTCAGCTACTTAAATTTGTCCACTTCCCGTATTTTGCATTTCAATTATCTTTACACTGATAACGTTTCCAAGCCACTGGTATCTCACACAAAACTTCAAAAAATAAAAAATTAACACCAATATTCGAACATAATGTAACTGTCGTTTAAAAACTACACTTTTTAAATTAACTTATGTAAATAGACTTCGCTGAAAGCAATAAAACAGGTCCTTGTGTCAGGTGAGCGGTGCATATATTTCCAAGACATTAAAATGTAAAAAAAAAATGCAACAAAAGATTTCACCAGGAATATGAATTGTTACCAAATTTATTTTCAACCTGAAGAGCATTACAGTAGTCATCCTAATTTGGATATTCTAATAATCAGCGAAACAGATCTGGAAAATGTTCCTACAAAACAGAATTTTGTTTACAGTGTGATAAGTCATATGTATTAATACTAGATTACTTATGCCACAGACCGCAGCCGGTCCTGGGACGGGTTAAAAAACTTTGCTTTGCAAACGGGCTTCTTGTTACGCAGCTCTTGTTACAAGGTTTTAAGGACCTTCCACATCAGTGTTGGTTCAAATGGTAGACATTTGGTATGTATTTGTAAATAGGCGCCCTTTGTGTTCTATATCATATTTCATATTTAAAAAAAGCCCACATCATTGTCAACGAAGGATTTACCAGAATTAAAAGTAAGAGATTGTCTGGAAAATCCTAAAAGGGGAGAAATTCTGACAAATCTCACCCCTGCAATAGTGCTGTAGCTGGGTCCATCACAGGCCCATTAGAAATCATGTAAGAAGATTGACTGTGAGCCAACAGGGGGTGTTCAACAGCTTGGATGGAAATTGACAACATAAGCCATGCAGGTGCATGGCAGTATGTGCAATGCAATTCGTATCATTTTACAGACAGCCTGATCTATACGCTTACTTCAAGAGTCTGGGCCTTACTTTCGATCACAACCTTTTAAGAACTTGGACCCTAAAATACCAAAGGAAATATTCAGCTCTAATGTATCCTTTCTGGAAATCCTGAATCTCAGCAACCTCCGTCATCACCCCCTGACTCGCCAGTATATCTTATATTATTCATTGTCTGCTTCTATCCAAAACTGCAAGGCTTTCGGCAACAGAGTTGAAGGATAGATATCAGAGGTGATACCAAATTAAGACGAAACAAAAAAATGCCTGAATAAAGCCAAGGACCAGCAGGAACCATACCGGCCACATTTCACTGTAAAGTCAATGTGAGTTATTTAATTTTCTGTAAATGCATTTCAAATGTTGATGAGGATATCACTTCATGAGCAACAATACTCAACTCTACTCTGTCAGACTCCACTACAGTGCCTTTCCCTGTATCTGTACTGTGCCCGTGAGTGTCCTCTCAAGGCTTCCATAGTTTCAGCAGTCCATCCTCACTGTAGGTCGCCAGCAGGTTTTGGTGGGGGTGATGCACTATTCCAATGACGTCCTTTTCGTGTACCTAAGCAGGCAAGAGAGCAAATGAAGGTTAAACATTCACAACCTGGCATTTAGTTGCTTAGTTTGGGAGGAGGTTGGTGAATGGATATCTTTCATCCCGAGATGCCAGCTGATTGATATGCTCAACTGGACAACGCTACGTTCAAACTCAGCTGGTTTCGAAACTTGATGTGAATAATGGCTGAGTATTACATATAAATTCTGGAATTCCAGAAAGAGAAAAATGATATGAATGGGTGTAGCGTGCAAAAACATGCACTGATATTGGAGAACCATTTTCATGTACGTGCCATGTATTGTGCGTTTATGATAACTGTCACAAACCAGTCAGTCTTGTTTAAGTTTGTAGAACTGATGAACCATATTCCCTGTATGTGTCAATACAGAAGGTGTCAAACAACTTCTGAAAAACCTTTCAAATTTGGTAAAGCGCTGCAAAAGTAACCATGGAGGATCATAAATGTCAAATAACGCAAGTGATTGTTTTCCAACAGATTGGGCATTTTCTGTTCCAGTATTCCAACAACGCTCCAGTCAACATGATACTTTGAAAGTCACATCTCCACGGTTGAATTTTCAGTCTGTCTTGTTTCTGTTGTAAGCTAATGTATTTAAGTTAACCTAAACATCCTCAATCCTTCAAAATCCTCTGGGCACTTTTGGAAGATTTTGGAGGATTGAGGGCTGTACGGCAAAATTGCATAATGACAGGAATTGCTGGAGGATTTGGAAGGACTGAGGCAATGGTCACCCCTCCAAGAAGTATATTCAAGAAATGTCAGAGGATTTTGGAGGATTGAGGATGTATGCAATTTGTTGGTTGGTGCCTTTGGAGGATGTTGAAGGACTGGGGGTGTCTTCTAGCCAAAAGGGCCTTGCGGTTAGGGTTAATGCAGGCCCAAACATGCAACAGGCACAAAATGGACTCAAGACGTGATAATGGAAGACGGCATCCAATGTGACTGGATAACACTCACGTTCAGGGTTCTCTCCAGTTTGCCCGTGGTGGTTGAGAAGCAGTACAACACCAGATCCTCACCCACACAGTAGATCCATTCCCCCCGGGGTGACAGGGAACAGCAGACAAAGTCACCACCCTCACGCTTACCAGAGCTGAAACTTCTCACAATCTGACAAGAGGGGAAAAAAAGGGAACAGTAGTTGCGAGTATTCAGAAACGCCGTCAACGTAAGGTCAGCAATTCTTTTTTGAGCAATATGAAATGCATAAATCACCAATTTCTCAACACGGACAAGCTAATTGTTATTCATTGTCATTCTTTTCTATGTAGAAATCAAGTGACACAGTTGCCAGCCTCTATTTTAGCTTCTGTATTTGCAACAGGCCTTCATTCAACTTAAAAACACCAATAATGCCTTCATGATTAGAAAAAGAACTGTTAGAAAACAAGTCCTGATATGTCCATCAACTGTATCTTACAACATGCCGATGATTTCAGAAAAGATTGTGTGGGAAAAAGACATGTAAACTTTTTACTATCTGATTGTTTTAACAACTGACTTGAGGCTTGCACCCAGCAATGATTTGTTCCCTCTGCTCAGGGTTTCTGTGTGGGAGGCTCAGTGGAGAATTTTTTTTTGTAGGTCAAAATACTGCAAGCTAGTATCATTATCCGGTGTTTTCAGGCACTCCGCGCTGCTATGCGGGCCACCTGCCAGTAGGCGTTCAGATCGTTGCCAGCATTTCCTGCTGCCTAATTGATGTTGGCAAGCAAGCTGGGTCATTGCCACAGGTGTACCCACTCACAGGGCTCTGTTGGTTCCCCCCCCCACATCATCCTCAAGCTGAGCTGGCGAATATGACCGCCGACCATAACCTTGAACCTCGGGTGTTTATCAACTTGTATCAAGACTTAACTTGACGTCTCCTGGTCGTAGAGTGGGTGCTGCTCGCATTTGCAAGCAGAAATGCTTTAAATGTTTGGTTTTGGAACATGGTTTCGGACGTTTTAGTCAGTGAGGGAACAAATGCTATTTCTACTAATACCTTGATTTCTTATAACTCTCTGATACTGCGAAGCAATTTCTCAGACTACAAAGTATGACTAGTGACATCAATCGAAGATCTTGTTGAATCTAAAGATCAATATTCCTTAAAAGACCATATGCTCTTTAACCACTTCCTGCCGGGGAGCCCGGTACCAGAGACCTTGGCTGTATACGCATGACCAGGGTGTCCGAAATGCTCAGCATTTTTGGGGAAAAAGTTTACTTGCGGTCAGTCAGCTGCTGGGACTTGCCAATCAAGGTTCATATGCTGTCCGCAGAGTGCTGGCAGTAGCGGAGGTAGTCCGTCATTGTTTTGAAATAGTACCACTGTTTGCCGCTGCCAGCGCCTGCGGATTATCGGTGAGGACAAAAGTGCTCCAGCACTACAGCGATGAGTGGTAAAAACCGTCGGGGGCTGGTGGAACCTGGCCGCAATAGTACAGACAACACAGCCGTCCAGCAACGCACTGGGCCAACACAGAGGAAATTACGCACAATACGCATAACACCGCACAATGGGGCTCTTTACGGGGCTGAAGGTGTGGCTGCAATACTCACACATCAGTTGAGGTTGCCTGCCAGATAAGACTCGCCACAAGACAGTCATTTGTGTGGGTGTAACGCGTCCAGTAAATGAAGATATGAATTTTTGAAGAATTTTGAAAAACGGAAAAAAAAGAATAAGCTCCAGACAGCGTGTCCTCCATGCCGCTATCTCCACCCGGCAGAAAGTGATTAAACATTCAATACCAATTTCTCGTGTTAACAGCCTGTAGTGTGGCATGCTTTAAATGCAGCACGTTTTACAACAGGTAAATCACTTGAATGTCTCACTGCATCTGAACAACAAGGTTAATGTTTGCTATACAGCGGCTTTCAATACCAAGGACAAAGAGAAAAAAAACATACATTCTAAAAGGAATCTGGTGACAAGAATTCTTCAAAATATAAATGATTTTGGAAAATTTACCTGTCCCTGCATGTTCATGATGACCACTGTGTTGCTGCGGTTACACACAATGAACTGCTCTGTGTTTTTAGGGTAAGGGATGACGCTGTTAACGGTTATGTCTGTGCCCGAACTCCCTCCAAGAGACTTGAAGGTGCTCATGCATTCTGTGGTTTTTATGTTCCACACCTGCCCGACAAGAACAAAGACACAAAGAAAATAACTTTACAAATGGATAAATTGAAAAAGCCAATGAACAACTGTTACTGACCTTGAAGTACAGACCTTGATAAGATACATTAGTTTTGACTGTTATTCCCCTCAAGAGATTGAGCAAGAAATTCTCTGAGCACATAGGAAATCCTTTAAAAAAGAGTAGATTTCTCATGCAAATTGTTTGAAAGCTAGAACAGACATTACAGGTGTATGCAAAGAAATATTTCAACTGTTGTGACCAGAAATGACAAGCTTATAAATCAAGCACTACAAGTACAGTTTGAGACCTCACCAACTCCAGATGCAACTGACTTTTTGACCCTAACCCCGTAGGCTGTATTTAAAAACATACTGAAATTGGAGGATCTGGGACTATTAGGGCTATGGCTGGGAGGCCTGACTGACCTGTAGTTAGATCTTTATCTTTATTATGTGCACCAAACGTATTGCGGTCTGGGGTTCATGTGGTTTACGTGGCTGTAATTTGAAAGCCTCTTCCTGTATGAGCAATAATTCAGGCTTCCTTTGAATGTGGTTATACGGTGACCGACACCAGTTTATCATATTTCTTGCTGTGCTATGCACCTGTGATTTTGTCTGCCAGAAGATTAAAGAATCCATCCAAGGGAAACTCCACCCCAAGTCCTGCCATTAGTACGTTAAATGTTTAGGTTTTACAATGCCGTTTTGTGCTGTAATTTACTCGGCACATCTAATGTGGGTAAAATAACCTTCCTTTTTTTCCTATATTTTCTATATAGTGCGCATACATGTTTTCACGAGGTTGTCCAACATCTGGGGTATTATGACATAGTGTCTACAACCTCACACGCTTCACACAATCACCCGCTCGGTCCACTCAAGTGAACAAAGCTTGGGTCCCTGACTTGCACCCTTGCTATTATACCTAAAATCAAAAAACCACCAATTGTGACTCGACTACTGCACATGCATGCGTGATACCTGGAAAAGGTTTCTGGAAAGTGCAAAAATGATAATTTGTCAGGCATTTCGATGCTCCAATAAGCCACACCCTGGAAAGGATCTGAGGTTTTTGTAATTCCAGATCCAAAAAATGCCCAGAGATTTGTAAGAAATGACTTCACAACATTGGGCATGCCAAATTCGACTTTAAATCGTTCATGCCGAGCAAGGCATTCTTAGTCTGTGAAGACCACTTTGAGCGGGACTGCTTCAAAGAAAACTGGTTACAAACCTGGAGTGAAGAAGCTGAAACCTGACGCAGTGCCGACATTTTTTTCTTTCAGAAAAAAATACAGCGTCGTTGTGAAGCATTTTTTTCAAAGGCCTTTCCAATGTTTTATAGTATTTTTTGGACACAGTAAGTGCATGAAAAAGTGAGTGTGCACTGTAAGCGATCAGCTGATGCACATGTTTAGGCTGGTACCACTCCATGCCACAACAATAATGCATAATGCCACAGCAGTGGTCTGGATACACGACCGCTATATTACACTGTATATTCTGCAAGTGCTTGTAAAAAAAATTCCGGATTTTAAACAATACGGCTGCGCTCGCGAGCATGTAAAAAGAGAAGGTTTTGCTTTATTATCTAATTCATCCGCAGGGGGGGCACAAGTAAAATTAAGATTTATATTCTTGATGACAGTTGAAAGAAATCTTCGACCCAGAATTCCTCTTCAAGAAATCTTTCTATCAATTTATGCGCATGTCTCTGCATACTGCCACACACCACATAGCAGCTAAATTGCTAACAGCCTGTGCAGACGATGACTCACAGCTAGCTGTACCACACAGGACAATGTGTCTGCTGCCATCGCTTGACCAAAAGCCAAGATGAGATACCTTTTTCCAAAAGCCTATTACACACGGACACAACACGCCAGAGCTCTGTCTTGACATGTGTATATAACTTCCCACATATTTCGGAGTAAGTTGTTTGACAATCACAACACACAGGAATGCATTGTATGCCTGTGTACAAATAAAGGCCCCTTTTTTAAATTGAAAAACGGGGAAGTAAGTTACTCGGGTGAACTGGAATTGAGGATCGGAGGTAAAAACTTCTGGTTTGAGTACCAAAGGAATGAAACGCATAGGAAGTCGGCTCACTGTCAACACAGTATTGGGGAAAAAAGTGTTTGACTTTTTTTTTTTAATTTTCAGTCGATATCCACTGTGAAATTCTCAACAGATGTAAAGCAAATTTTTTAGCAAAACAGAGAATTGTATTTACAAAAAATGGAACACCGTGTGCTCTGAATATTGACACAAAAAATCGTGAATCACTTCATCAGAACGGTGTAAGGCGACAAATGAAATCCAACTTTCTACAGGTTGAAAGCGAGAAGGACACCAGAACAGTGACATACTGTGTAAACAGGCCAGACAAATGAAATAGTAACCCTATCCACTCTGAGTTGAAGTGCACCCTCACTGTCAAAGGAGAGACAGACAGGGGGTAGTTCTTCGACTGAACTCGTGCGTACACCCAGCCCGGCGTACATGCATAAATTGGTTGAGCATATCAAATGCACCCCACGCAAAATGCACATCAACCTGAAAGTTTGACCACTGAGTTCCCACCAAAGGAGCCTTGATTCCTCCTTGGAGCGGATGATGCGTATTACCTTGACGGTGCCATCAGATGAGGCACTGATGATAATATGGCCGTCGGGGGTGAACACAGCTTCGTTGACAAAGGAAGTATGACCCCGGAACTCTTTCAGTGTTTTGCCCGATTTCAGGCCGTGTATTCTGAAAATCCAAAATTGGAAAGTGACCATCAAATATAGACAGGGCAAGTCAAGCAGTCATAAAATATAGAGAAAACACTATGACCGATTTTTGAAAGAGGGGCAAAATGGGTCTACATGTATATACATTAAAGGACTTTGTGATTTGGGGCACACTTAGTTTCAACAGGAGGAACACCTTTCTGAATGTAATGCACACAAGAAATTAAAAATAAAAAGTTAAAAATAAACTGGGGGCGTGTAATTATGTGCATATTGTCCAATGAGAAATATAAAACATTGTTTTAAAAAACACAAGAGAGTGAATCCTTGATTTAAAGCCCAAAATGATCCCCGTTGAAAAGTTTTTATACGAAGAACCTTAAAACTTGCAACTGTAAGCATTAATTCATATTACAATGGAATCAAATAAACCAGATAGAAAAACCAATAAGCTTCTGGCGAGTTAAATTCGAATAAAATCTAGAACAGTGGAACACGGCTATACCGAACATTTGGCTGTACCGAACATTATCCTTGGCTCCCAATATTTTGTGCACAAAACCTATCGAACACTATGCAGTTGCTGTTTGAAATTCCTGAACGTCTACTTGATAAAACGGTCAGGTTTTTTACGTTGGAAAGTGACAAGTGGCCATTATTTCCCCAAGGATTAGAAGGGAAAGCCACTAGTTGTTGAAGGGTTAATTGTAATTAACTAGCTGAGAAACTGTGTACATTGGTCCAAACTTGTTCAAAGATGTCTTCTAGTAACGACCAGGGTGACACGGTTAATCAACGGTATTGAATGGACACTGGCTTTCCGACTCCACGTGATCGGGTGCGGAAGAAAACCGCACGCGCACTGTGGCATTGCACTAACATTAGTCTAAAGAGGGCGCTGCTGATACACAAGCCACCGAGATTTGCCACAGCATGCATTAGAGATCGATCCTGAGCGGTAGCTTCACGATTTTTAGGATAAACTTGAAACCAATTTTGAAACTTAACATTTAATAAAAAACAAAAAGAATTAACAGATACCTTTTCAGAGACCTTATTGTGAATGCAACGGCAAGACATCACGAAAACAGTGAACCATAGTATCACAAGAGGGTGCACTTCAGTTAGACAAGACAAAACAAGAGAGGGCGCTATTAAACATGGCAACGAAACATTTGGCAGTAGATTTCGCTATACCGAGCGACTGCTGTACCGAACATTTAGCACGGACCCCGTCGTTATAGTGGCGTTCTACTGTACACCAAGTTCTTTAAATCCATGTGAACATAACAATTTGAAATCTCCTTACTAAAGACACTGTTCCAACACCTTGTTTGGGGCAAGCTTTTGCTTAGTTACACCAGTGGATAGGACACAAATGGCACAAAGGAACCAGTCCATGCCAGAGATGGAGGTCGCTACGCAAAAGCTTGCCCCGAGTCATGAGGTATAGAAACAGTGTCTTTAGTCTGAGGAATTGAAATTGTTATATTTGTGTGCAATCAGATAACTCAGTGTACCCGATTTTATTCAAATTTAACTCGCAAAAGAATTATTAGGTGCTTACTTAGTGGTTATAAAGATGAACAAAGAAACTGAATGGAGTGGGATTAGAACCTGTCACATCTGGATATTACACTGATTCTCATCGCAGCTCAGTTAATATTGCAACGTCTGTTAACTTTGCTTCAAGAAAGTCCGGGGAAAATTATCAAAGGTGGTCAGAAACCCTGACACCCACCTGAGTGTTTGGTCGAAAGATGCACTGAGCACCTGACTGCCATCCTTGGAGAACTTGACGGAGGTGACACCTTTGCCGTGCGCCATCTCAAAACGCCTCAGGCACTGGCCAGTGGTGATCTTCCATACCTTCACAGAAGGAAATCCAAACATACTCAGAAAGGCTACTTCATTCAGTGGTACCACAGAGCTATAAAACCAACACAGACATTTAACAACATTTATAAATAAAATCCGCCGTCTCTCCTAATAACCAATGGAAAACCTGCTAGTTGTAGGACTGGCAAATTAGGGAAAAATGATGAAATTGTAAGCTTTACAAAATTACTGCAGTGATTTATAATTCTTAAAAACATATATTGCACGTTAAGAAAAATATCAGAATAATGTAAGTCTCTCAAACAGGCGGTGCTGTCAGAAAGGTCGGACAACTTTTGTCTGTTTCATACCGTGCAACCTGTAACTTACACGCCTGTCCACTTACAGCATTATACTAGCATTATCCGTGGCACAGTTAGCAGTTCTCATGAAAAGCAATAGGCGGATAGAGTTCATGTGTGTGACATGAGATGTACATGTTGCATTGCTGTCAGATCCACAACAGTGCCCCAAATGAGGTCAATCTGTGCAATGTAGGGCCGTGCACGTTGACTGTTGGACCTCACCAGTGCAATCTCCTCTAAAGATTTCATATATGTCTTCAAGTTCAAACAAACTGTGTCAGACCAGACTAAGACTTCAAGCATACCTTGATCTTTCCGTCTTGGCCCCCTGTTGCCAACATTTCACTGTCTCGGCTGAAGCACATGCACAGCACGGCGTCATCCATCAACATGAAGCTGTCCTGTTAAAATGCAAAAAAGGGAGTCTTGCGGTGGTTAAACAGAAACCAGAACCATTGACAAACTCAGAAATTGAAAAGACTAAAACTTATGGTGGATCTGTCTGGCTGTCCTGAAAGGATATCTTTCAGGTAGCAAGACCTTATGAGCACTAGGCTGGACCAAGAGAGGGCGCAATTTTTCTAGCAACGCAGGCTCCTTTGGTCAGAACTGCACTTCACTTGTTTACACACAACTATGAAATACACACGTTACAGTCGTGTTGCTGCTAGCAAAATGAACACTCCCCACCAACATGGCTCTTTTCAACCGACGAGGGGGTGCTTCTGCTCAATGCAGATACATCTGGAACGAATCAACACTTAGTAATCTCAAAATATTTTGCTCTTCTAGAACTAACTAATGGGACTCCATCCATGTATAACCTACTGTAACCCTTCACATAAATTGTACATACAATTTGGCAGGTTTTGGACATCGTTTCACGTTAAAAATAAAACTCTTTTTTTCATTTTACTGACACTGTTGGTTTACGGCAAAGCACACCAACCGGTAATCAGAGACTTCATTTGCTTACACAGGGAAACTGAGGACTGGGACGATTCTTAGAACTTTTTCACAACGTCCGTGTACTTGTACATTACAAATTTACTTTATCCTTAACATGGGGCTAGCCACGCTGAATGAGCGAGTACTGTATTCCAACAGTGCATGCCCAAATCAAAGTGCCTCCAAGGACACTTGGACGCATGAATGAGGTCTGCCTTCTCAGTGCAGCCCCATGTGGACTCGCACGAGTGCTTAGCTCTAGAATGACCTTGCTTTTTGAACTATCAAACTGGGTCATCACCCAGAAATAATCAGTGAAATGTTTCAGTACATTGTATCTGTTATTAACTTGTCAGTTTCTTATTATAGTATTTTTATTAATTTAGCCTGCTGTTTAAAAAGCTTTGATTTCCACGCAAAAGCAGTTCTAACTCACAGTGATGTCAATTTTAAATGAATAAGGGTGTTTATTAATTTAGTGTGAATTTACAGCAGTGCAGCCTAAAAGCCTCGAACACAGCCGTCAATTATATATTTTAAATTTGCTAAAACTAATACACAAATTGCAGAGCGGAGTTGGTAACCAAAATTCTGGAATGAAATCACTCAGTGTCCCTAACTTGTAACGTAATATAAGATACTACATGATATATCTAGAGTAATATCATACCTGTGCTTGGTATTTGAGATCCTTACGGATTTTGCCTGTGGTGAAGTTCCAGACTTCGATGAAGCCATCCACGCTGCCGGTCGTGAGGTACTGACCATCGGGGGAAAAGGCTGCACACTCAACGTGGGACTTCTGCCCAAACTGTCAAAGAGAAACCGAGCCATGTGTAATGGTAAACAGAATGACAGGGGATCTTAACCCAAAACCTTCCCTGTCCGTCACAACTCAATGATGACGTTGCACAACGTTGCCTGGTTTTGATGGAAACAGTGAGTGCCGAGCCCAGACAAAATATCTCCACATGGGATTCCATGCACAACGCACTTGTAGAGTTTCTGTAACGTAAGTTGATAATCACAGCCATATTTGAGGTTTCAGCAGCAATGAAGTACGGGCAATGCAGGTTTGCAATTTGCTTTTGAAGAAGCAGAAAAGAAATGTTCATGCAAATACCTTCTCAAAGCAGCCAGCCATCATTTGTGCACCGAGTCTTTAATTGTGAATAGGAGTATTACCAGAAATATTTTGAAGGGAGATCCAGGCAAGTACAACGTAAACAGAACCCTATCCTCCATAAAATTCCACTCATGGGACAAAGGAAACCAGGCAGTCAAGAAAGAAAGTATAGTGACATTTCATTAATCCTAACTCCCCTGACAATTCTATCTGGAACCTTCCTGAATCCTCCAAATGTTTTCACAGTACAAGACATGAACACCACATTATCAAACTTGAAAGAGGCAAGGAAAATCCCATGTCAAACAATAGAGGTTAGGCCCTTCAATCCTGCAAGTTTTGCCAAGACAGGTCTCCAGAAGTACTCAGGTGGCTTCGCGACTGTTTTAGAGTGAACATGCTGTACTGACCTTGATGGTCTTGCTGAGCTGGGTGGGGTACTTCTCCTCTTCCTCGTCCCTCACGGCTGCCTTCCCCCGGAACAGATCGATGGTCACGCCCGGCGGGAGGAGCCCCTGGTGCTGCTGCCACTTGAGGGCCTGGCCCAGGAGGGCCAAGAGACGGGAAGGCGGGACCACGCTGACCTCGCCAGACAGGGCCTGGGCGATGGCCGCCCGCCGCCGCTCCTTGCTGCTGCCGTCTGGGTAGGCCTGAGGGTTGAAAGGGGAGGGATGTGAGGGGACACATATTTGTTGAAATAGTTCACACGGTATTCGGTAAGTCACTGACATTTGACAATAAAAGCTGCAGTGGTCTGCTGTCGGGAGAAGCCATTATGACAGTGGCATTCTGAACTTGGGGTGGCGGTCCTAGCAAGTTGTAAACACCCCGTTGGTCAAAGAGAGTTTTATGCTGTGTCCGACAGTAACCTGCACCTAAGGTGAGATGCCACAACAGTTAAGGTGTTTCTGAAATGACGCTTCCACAATTCTGACATTAGTCACAAGTATCAAAATGACCATGTGACCTTTGAAAGAGAAAAGATTTGGCGGCGATTTTCAGATGCCAGCCCAACATTAGAGAGAAAGTTTATACACCAGCCAAGATCAGGTAACTGGCAAAAATGTCATTGGATATGCACTGCTTGCTATGAGTCCCAAGATGAATTTTAACGAAAATGTTGGGCAATTAGTATCTTTTGCCAAGCAGCATCTTGAAATGAGAGGGGACGTACATGTTTTGACGCTACTTACAAAACGTTGGGTGTCCAATAAATGTTTCCTGCTTCCAAAAAGTTACGTACCTCGCGGGGATCAAAGTAGGATCGTGCCAGCAGATTCTCCAGATGCATGTAGCGATCAGGTTGTTGCTGCTTCAGCATGATCATGGGGTCTGTCTGGCGTAGGAGGGAGCGGGCTGCTCCTAGCTCTCTTAGCTCAATCAACTCCAAGACAATCTGATGGGTGGATAAAGTCACTCAAATGAGTGCTGTGACCCATGAGCTGCACCAGTTCGTACTCATCATCAGTGCCTCTGTTCAGTACGGTTACTTCCCCTATGATTGCTCGTGCAAACATTTAATTTGACACACCAATAACTTCTTGCTATTTACTCCGGCCTGACCAAAGTAACTGATCTGCCGAGATGGTTACATGCCTACTAAGTTTTTGTGAATTTGGATCCAGTCCCCATCCAGTGAAGTGAAGCTTCCATTGTAAAGTGAGGCCAAGTCCCATGAAATCAAAGGCTTATTGACAGGGGAGACTGATGGGGGAATCCCCCCTCACAAAAAAGAAACAAAATATGTGTTTTTCAGACAAATGAGAGCAAGACCATTTTTTTTTATATATTTCATTTCTCTTCCTTCGAAAAGCCTGTAAAAGCCCCCCAAATGTAGCCTCACTCTGAGGACAGGCCATAAATGGTTACTTTCAAAAACTTCCAAATTTTTGGGTCCCCCAGAAAAAAGTTCCCCCTTGTGCCATGAATGGATTGAGTATATAAAGCCCACAATTTCAGTAATGCTGCTTTGGTTTGCATTAGAAAACTGAGCCCTTTTACTTTGATGTAACGCTCAGTTTGGCATCTACATGTAGTTGAAACTGGGCCCGGTGGAGATAAAAACTGTTGGGGGCTTCTACTGATATACACAGATCAGATTCTTTGAATGGCCTTTGGCTCAAAAATGGCTCTACCGATCTTGCGTTCTAAACTGTTAGGTTAGGTCACCCGATGCCCTCTACCTGTTCGTAGAGGTCGATCAGCATCTTGTCGGCCAGCTTGAGGGACTGGATGGCTTGCAGCACCGTGTCCCAGTGCCCATTGTTGATGTCCGACACAAACTGGTCGATGCTGTCCACCGTGTTCAGTGAAACTGTGGACTCCTCTTGGAGCGTCGCCAGGGCACGATGGAGGTTGTTCTCTTTGAGGTACTGCTGGATGAGGCGGATCACGCTGGAAACAGGAATGAAACAAGCAACAAAACCTGAAAATGTGACTGACATAAATGGAAAACTTGATCAAAAATTTAGGTTTCCTCACAGACAATTTGCAGTGCGCCCTCATGAGGTTGTTTCTGTCACTTGTACTCAGTGACACTAAAAAAAAAAGGGTGCCTGTGCATATCACAGAGGAACAGCGATCTGTCCTTAAGGAGGGTACATAGTGAAGTTAGGATCCTACATATCAAATTCAATGTATTATATCTATCTGAAATGATATTTGAGTGTTGAAATTTCAGGCTTGAAAGTCAGGCCTGTTTGTGTAGTCTGACCAGCCAGCCGCCATCTTGTTTTCGCACGGACGGCAGAGGAAAGAAAGATGGCGGCCCCCATACATAAAAAAAAGTTTGTTTTGAACCGAGGTTACACCACCTGACATGCCTGATCACGACTACACATGCAACGGAATTCAAAAGTCACATGTAAGATGTGAGCAATGCACCGATAAGCTGTCGCTACACAAAATGGCGACCGATGAAAAAAAAGCCAATGGCGCCCTCTTTTGCCATGACTCTTTACGTTTTTTATTATTTTTTTCTATTTTACTGGAAATTGGAACGTTCCAAGTTTTTACAGCCTGTAAACTGAAAAATCAGGACAATTCCAATTAAATTGGAATGGTTGGCAGGTCTGGTAAATGCATGGACTGCCAGTCCTGTGCGTATAAGCGGGATTTTGAAATGTATGGTCAAACAATGGGAGAAATGATGGATGGCAGCACGTTCAGTACGCATTACGCGAAAACGCACTTTCACTGCCTGTATTCGTTGGTATGTACTCCCAAAATACGTTCACGTTTTTGCTCTTCAGTACTGCTAGCCTAGGCCTTTTTCTTCTTTTAAATGTTGCAACCACATTCAACTTTTGTCATGATTGTTTTGAATGCCCAGGCTATGCATATGCTGTGCCTATGGGCCAGATTAAGTAAAAATAGAGGATTTTTTTACAACCAAAAAATGGCTTCACAGAATTTTATGACTGGAATTCTTCAGCAGTGTAAATTTGCCCAAGTTTTGAGTTTAGTCGGGCGCCGACGAAAAACCCCTGTAGTTTTGAATGGCCCGGGGCAGATCTAGCGGTCTACATGGTCAGTGGTACGGTATGCTGTCGCTCAATGACTTTATTTAAACATAAACTGGACAGATTTACATTGCCCTTTTCTCAAATATAAACCTCAAAAGCGGTAGACAACATTCACAGAAAAGACACTTACTCCGCAGATTCTATTTCAAGCGACATCTCAGCAAATCTACACGACACACAACATGCAAGACTCGACTAGGTACGGTGTTGGTAATCACGCGTCGGAGGCTTTTTGCGCTTGGGGCCGGGGTCTAGTTTTCGCAAACAGCGCCCTCAAGTGATGCAGGTAAATGCAGCAGAAGCACATGATTTATACCACTTTCAGGAAGAAAATTGATGAAGACAGTAAATTTATTATCGTTATTTTCATTCTTTTAAATTGTTTGATTTTCGGGGAAAGCCAATGTGACATTAAGAGAGTCCTATAATCATGCTCCAAAGGATTTGAACCCAAAGGTCCAAACAGCAGCGTGGTCTCTTAAAGTTACTGATACTTGGCGTATTCTGACGTCTCGTAACCGACCGTGTATGGTTACCATCGTAAATTAGGCGATGGAAACCAAAGATTGTTTCGTACCGCTAAACAATCTTTGATGGAAACCATCGCCGCGCGCGGCGCTATACTATCTTTGATGGAAACCTTCGAAGAGAATGCATTGCTAATTTTAGCGGGCTTAAATTGGCGTTGTTGCCAACATTCGATGTAAATTTTGATAATGGTAAGCTTTGAAACTGATTGCTATGCCGCGTCGTATGTAGTGAATAGCGTTTTTTTAACTGAATCGAGGGAGAAAACTAAGCGAGGTTTTACAGATAAGGCCAAGTGTTTCCATGGTTTTGCCTGTGGCTGTGCCACATTTTTAAATTGGATTTGTCCACTTTGTGGGCGTGGATTTGATGGGGAGGGGTTAGGGGTAGCAATACAAAATCTTTCTATGCAAGTTTTGCAATACTCCTCTGGAAGCAGAGGAATAGGAGCTTGGTTTTTTTGGGGGGTGGTCAAATATGACAACCATGTTGTATCAACAATGAAAAAAGAGGACAAATTGATAGACACATCAGACCTCAGGCCTGTTGCTAGAGTGATTTTTGATAATAGCTGTGGAAATGCTGTGAAAAATACAGGGAGACTTTCTTTGTTTTGCATTTTTTACTGACTGCTTTGTAAGTAAAAAAGCCATAACTCCAGACATGCTAGAATGATTCAACAATCATAAAGACAGCTTTTGGTCGTTGTTAATGTGAGCAAAGCTGGTTCTTGTTCAGAGGAGACATCTCTTCCTTGCTGATGTCGAAGCATGACCAAATCGTATTCCTCCCACAGTACAGCATACTGTTCAAGCAGGAGCAGGCCCACTCGGACAGCATCTGGAGCTGTGCATGGGTGAAAAGCGACAAAGATGGCACAGAGAATATCGTGACTGGCTCTGTAGATGACCTGGTCAAGGTTTGGCATTGGTAAGGACTTAACCAACCCCCCACCTGCGCCTCGAGCATCAACCTCTCTGTTACATCACTTTTGTACAAGAATTTCAAGAGCTCAGAAAATTGAGTAGACGGAACATCCAGGCATCATTTTCTAGTGAAACAGAACAGTAGGGAAGGGAAGAAAACCAAGACTGAAATTCCATGTTGTAAAACGAAAAACCAGACAAGAAGTTCTATCTTAAAGATAAACTTCAGTGGATATGTTATTTCAGGTAAATTGTGCAAAAAAATGTGCCAACGGCCTGGTCCGTTCTGTGCCACGTTAATGACAAGTCCTTTATTTCCTGTCCAGGACTAACGATGACCTGAAGCTGAAATGGACACTGGAAGGCCACCAGCTGGGCTTAGTGTCAGTTGACATCAATCCAACAGGAACAAGTATCCTTGAATGTAGACATGTGTCTGACCTAGCCATGCCACTTGTCAAGATCTCTGACACCAACGGGGCCAGTTTCACCGAGCTCCTAAGCTTGGAAATATGCTCAGCAAAATATTTGGTTTTCAAAGAAAGAGTTTACCAACCTAAACTTGATTTCTTGTGACTGGTGTGCTCTGCTAAAATTTTGCTTCACTCTGCTAATTTTGTGCTTAGTATATAAATTTGCAAAGGGCTCTGGGGCAGATTTGTGCTGTATCCCAACTTTTCCTTTCATCAGCACTTTCCTTTTATCCGTACTTATTTTTTTTATTTCAGTCTCATTGGAGAAATAAGTGCAACTTCAATGCAGCTGTCATTTTATATGCACAGTTGAAGAATATGCCTGCAGTTCTACCATATATCTTGTAAAGCTGCAGTAGCTCTCTTGGTTTGTAAATCGAGCTTCGTGAAAAGTTCCTCTCATTTCACCAGGAGGAAAGTAATTGTCAGGAATTATTAACCTCGCGGAGACTTTGATTTTCCTTGACCTTTGACCCTCGACTAGTTGCTGCTTCCAGCTCCTTGGACAGCAACATCCGTCTGTGGGACCTGGAGGTGGGTAAGCAGATGCGTAGCCTGGATGCGGGGCCGGAGGATGCCTGGACCATCATGTTCTCGCCAGACGGCCGGTTTCTGGCCACAGGGAGCCACACAGGGAAGGTCAACCTGTTTGGTGTGGAGAGCGGGAAGAAGGAAGCGTCGTTAGACACCAGGGGCAAATTCATCCTCAGTATCGCCTTTGTACGTCTGGATTTTTATGTCATCTTTTCACCAGGATTGACGTGATACCAATCACATTAGCCACCAAATGATGTTCTGGCAAGCCTTGCCCCATTTCGATCTGACACAACTAAAATTGAACCCTGTTTGCACCTCTCATTGCATGTATAACGTGGATGTGATTTCTGGAGATATTGACCTGATACATTCTGGTATTTTAGAAGTTTAAGCTGTCAAGTTTTGATACTTACATTGGCTGTTGTAACCCTTTGGGTATTTGAGAGAGAGCTGATGTTTTGTTAGCTGTTCAAAGCCCTGATAATTTACAGTATTTTATCTCAGTCATTATTACAACCTCTCTGCTGGTCGTTTTGCGGATTTCTCTTCATCTCCTGATCCTCAGTACAGTCACAGAATATTATCAGAAATTACAAAGTTCCACGTCATATTGTATATTGTTCTTTTCTAGCTCTCAGCTGATTCACTGTTCAAAACAGACAAATGTGCAACTATATACATTTATGATGACAGTTTTACCAATGCAAAATTGGATTTTTCTTTTTCTACTATACAGAGCCCAGACGGCAAGTACATAGCCAGTGGGGCCATTGACGGCATCGTCAATCTGTTTGATCTTCAGACCAGCAAACTACTGCACACATTAGAAGGCAAGTGTCGAGACTCACTTTGCCTGACACTTTGAAGCGTGCAACAAGTGTGGGGGAAAACACCATCTCGGACATCTTACGTGCCTTGTGGCTTGAGACAGTTGGAATCCTTGACATCTTACCATGGGGAATGCACATGTAGAGATCTTGAGATGAAGAAAAGTTAGCTATATCACTGGAAGGCAGTGAGCTGTTAACTGTCAGTATCGCTATGTGAAATTCTGTGGACCTCTGAATCATATTTCCAATGACAAAATGTAGCATGTTCTTTAGACACCCTGTTTTCAATCAATATCCTGTGTTTTGTTTTTGCTTGTAGGCCATGCTATGCCTATCAGATCGCTGTGCTTCTCCCCTGATTCACAGCTTCTGGCCACTGCATCGGACGACGGCCATCTTAAAGTTTATGACGTGTAAGTATTGTACATCACATGAAGGAAAGGGAGGTTATTGCTGAAATGAATTACAGTGACTGTCTGTTCTTGGACACGCGGACATTCACAATTAGCAGTTTCATTTGAAAATCAAAGGAACACAAGTAACAAAGTTCAGTGATCTTGAAATGCATTTTACGCCCCGTACTGAAACCAAGCACTTCCTCAACTGAGAAAAATGAAGGGTTTCTTTCCTGTCACAGTCTGTCAGTCTTGGAGCTATGTAATACCTTAGATTGAGAGAAAAAGAGGATCAAATCCTAGAATTCAAGTCAGCTGCCTCTAGCCTCACTGATCCATTTGTCCAATTTTCATTAGGGCAGTTATACCATTATTGTTAAAAGACCAAGTAAACAATTCTTTTGTTTTTTTCTTGTCCCACTGTCTGCCTACAGACAACATGCCAACCTAGCCGGTACACTCTCCGGTCACAGTTCCTGGGTGGTCAGCGTCCACTTCTGCCCCGACAACACGCACTTTGTTTCCAGGTAAGAAAAAGATGACAATGGAAACTGTGCCGCTCCGAGGCAACGTGGCAAATGCGTAATTGTGTGTCAAGATTTTATGTTTGTCATAATAAAATTATTCAATTAAAAAAAAGAAAAGATGCGACTATCTTGTTTTTCCCTTTGTAGCTCTTCTGACAGCACCGTGAAAGTTTGGGATGCAGGAGCAAGGCAGTGTGTAGCTACATTCTATGACCACTATGACCAGGTAAGGAATGCCACAAGGGCACCCAGTCATTCATACTAAATGCCTGGACGGAGGCTCAATACGTTTACATCTTGAAATATCCATTTCCCTTTTTCCTAGCGGTCACTTGCATTCGTGATGTGAATCAGGTCCAAACACACAAAGCAATACTCTATTTGACTGATCTTGGATGCTTAAACATCTGTTCTTTCTCGGCTGTTGCACATTTCTTGGCGACTATTTATTAATTGCCTTTGAGCAGTCTTTCATTAAAGAAGCGTATTCCAAATACCTCTGGAGAATTTGGCTTTTTCTCCACTCAAAACATTTTTTATAGGTTTTGGAATGCCTTTTCAAGACGGAATGGCAGGTTATAATAAATGATAGATAAATTATTATAAAAATGAAGACGTCACATTGTAAAAAATATGGGGGAAAAAACCTATGCTTTTATGGAATAACCTTGGGTTTTCAGTTTGATTTTGTGTGTCCCTATGCTGCTTTAAGTCACACCATAAGAGTTCAATTTGGCACTCTCTGTTGCTTTGTAGGTCTGGCAAGCCAAGTACAACGGGAATGGATCAAAAATAGTATCGGTGTCGGATGACAAAGCCATTCATATCTACGACTGCCCCTTATAGTACATGTCTGAACACTCGCTAAGAGTCACATCCTGTACGGGAACCACATCACCACACCGAAGTTCCTGGAAATTGTTTGCAGATGGTTTTTTAAGTTTTGTTTTTCACAATGAAACTGATTCTTTCAGCATTGTGCATGTTATTTTTTTACACAAACATCTGTCAGGATCACATCTTTATAATTCATCCTTTTTTACTTTAGGCGTTTGAACATTCCTGTTCCAAGTGAAGATCTGGTTTTACGGCCCTTACACGCAAAAAAAGCTATAATGAGCTCAACTTTGTTATATTGTATCATAAAGGGGCGGTACCCAGTACTTATGGGCCTAAAATCTCTGCATTTTGTTGGGAACGAATGTCCAACACACAATGCAGATGAAACAATTGAGTCTGCGGTTCATGTTTATAGGATAAAGCTGACACGAAGCAACATCTTGAAGCTTGCTTTACAGCTGAACAAAATGTAACCAAATTCAACCGCTTTTCTTAGCTGTAGTGTGCCTCGTTTTCCTTCGTAAACACCAGAGCCAGCAGGTGTAGGTCAAGAACAACAACTGTGCACATTGTCTCTAACTTAGCAGGATACTGCAAGTTGATTGGCCAGTATGTGCAGCACCTTGCCACTAGGCTGGCAAAGAGAGATGTGCCTATTCTGATGAGTTCTGTGAACACATGCCACAGGTATAGTCTATTAATCCAAGTCATAACTGCAGTGGTGCCACGCTCATGCGTGAAAACTGCACGTGTTGAATACCTCTTTGAGTGACAGGGTGTTGTGACTTACCAAAACACATGCGTCGAGTTTCAGAGCGCACTCATTGCCGTTGCAGTAATCCGTACAACCACTATGTGCAGGCACACCGTAAGGCATATACAGACCCAAACATAGTCCGTTAACAGTGTCCTGTGTATGTACAGTGACTACAAATGTTAGAGATCACAGAGTTGCACTACATGCACAATGTACTTTCTTGACACACAAAGAAAGAATCCTCGAACATTTCTCATTCAAAATTGTAACCAGACTTTTTGGTATTAAAGGGATTAAGGCCGTGTCCGAAATGGACTTCCAGAGCTATGGCTAGGTCTAATGTCTATGCATCTCTGCACATTTCCAATGGAGGGAAGACCTAGACCTAGCTCTAGACAACAGATTCGGATGGAGCCCAAGACTGTTGACATTTTGTGTTTACTCACTTCATTGTACTTTTTCTGTGTTGAAATCGTCTTTAATATGTGCTCTTTGCTTAGCCGGAGAAAGAAGTAGACATTTGGAATGTAAATAAATGACAGGTGAAACTTGTGCAAACTGGAGTGATGCTTTTCTTTTAATTCAAAATAGCTGATATATTATTTTTTCAGTCATCATGCACAATTTTCATAAGACAGATATAAATATTTCATGCAGACATAGGGAGGCAGCATGTACATATTTCACTGATCATTAAATGCATCAGGAATGTTTAAGTAATGATAAAATCTGTCCACGGAATGCAGTCGCACAGTATCAACCGTGCGGCAGAACTCCAAATGCAAAAGTTCAAGCTTATAGTTATAAAGAATTTAAAATGCTTAGAATATATTTACCTGCATGTGTACATATTTTTCTATATTTTAATAAACTTATACTTCATATATTTGGCATTTCTCTTGTCAAATAATGGCATATCGTTAGCTCTCTTGGCCTTCAAATATAACAATAATACCACATCCCTTCATTGTGCAGATGGTTAACAATGCCAGCGTCTCACACTAACCACAATGCACAATCAACAGGCTGGTGCAGAGTCAACAAAATATGACATTTACCTATGGATTAGAGAGGCCTATGTAAAGGTTTTTATTTATTTATTTCTGCCTACGTACACAAAAAGCTCAGAATCTTCATTATAACTGATATTGAAAGTGCATTCACAAATCTATCTTAACGAGCAAAGGACATCGAGACCATTTCAAGTTCCCCTGTGCAGCTGTCATCTCTGAGTGTCAACCTCTTGGGTGTCTCACTGTATTGTGACTCACCCATATTATCACACAACTGGGATGTTGAAGGTAACAGAGGAAATAGCATGCTGAGCAAGATTTCGTTCACTGAGTTTTGAATTTGTAAATGGCATGAGTAAGAAGGAAAAAAAACCCCAGTAAATAAGCTGATCCTGGAAACCAAAATGCATGCCTGTTAAATATTTAAGTTGACCACAATAATCCCAAAATGATCCAAGTCTGTACACTCTTAACCTTTAACCCCTTCGCTACGGATGACTGCTACTACAGCACCTTTGTGTGAGCATTAGTGCATACCACACATACAGTCTATTCACCATGCGGTCGTGGTCAAAATAATCCGGCAGTGAAGGGGTTAAAAGAAAAAGAAATACATATAAGTTAATAAAATGGTTCCTAACGATCAGAAAATATTTTTGGAATCAGTTTGGAACAAATGTTAGTGCTATTCCCTCAGCCTTTAATAATTCTGCATACATTCCCTGAAATTAAGAGAGAAATGTGCCTTCCATTAAAGTGCTGAGCCATCGGATTTAGTCGAGAAGCTTGAGCTAAGCTCAGGCTGTGTCTGGAAGTTGTGGCTGTGGCTGGCAGCTATGCACAAGCCTATGGGAATGGCTATAGGAACCTAGCCAATGACTTCCACTGACACACTAGCTAGCTTACCCTAGCTTTAGCCAGTGCTTCCAGACGGAGCCACAGCCGACAGTTGCTGAATTTCAGATGGAATGCTCTACGTGCCCATCACCTGGCGGGGCTGCCGCTGCTGAGTTGTTCGAGGGAAGGCAGGTCAACGTCGCCCTTCACAGACCGACGACTGCTGCTACTGGATGCCTGTCGACTCTTCTTAGGAGATCTCTGTCCAAAAAAAGGGGGAAAGAGACAAACCTTTCTAGAGTAGTAACGTTTCGCTCATTCACAGAAGGCAAGAACATACCAGAGTGCAGACTGTCTCTAAATTTTCTCTGAGATAAAAATTAGACATCCCCTGACGTTTGATGGAAGGTCTCATAAAGCAAATAACGTACCCGTTTGCTCTTGGACGATTTTCTGGTCAGCAGGTGCTTGTATATCTTCTCGCCTTCTTGTCGCTCGGAGAGAGGAATCTCCTTGTCGTCCAGCATGGTTAACTTAGGCAGCTGACTGATCACATAATGCCTACAGATTAAGGACATTATGGCTCGATCTACTTATGGCTGCAAAGGTTACTTAAGTTTACGTCCCTCATTCTGAATGACCTTATGTTGTCACTAGCGCTCAAATAGAACACAAAATGGAAACAGTTACTTTTAGAGTGATGGATTTCGCTAACAATGCCAAAAGGTTTTTCACTCGGGGGAGATAAAGACATGCATTTGTACAGTATCTTCACTGCGGCAACTGGAAGAACTCGGAGAAATGATGTCCCATGTGGGCCAACATGCCACACGCACTTGTCTCTGCGTATGTCTGTGGTACATGATACCCACGGCATTCAAATGCCAGTCCTCTCTGTCTTCATCACTAGCAAGGAGTAATTTGTGCACGGTGTCTACACACTAGCATTTGGGCCAATAGACCCCTTCCAGTTGGTATTCAGTAATGGTTCCTTTTACGTGGCAAGGAACCAATGAAAAAACATGAAGTGCAATCCGTCTATATAATCATCCCTCAAGAACTGTTACATCACCTCATACATATTCATAATCAATTTTTCAAAAGCTAATTTCTCACCCTTCTATTCACTATCATTTCCAGTCGCTGTTTTGCTATTAACAAGAATACATATGGAATTACTGGCACGAGATGTCTTGGGACCTGCATCCAATTCACGCTGATGCATATTTCACCTACAGTAGTGAACTCCATAAGGCCATGTTTCATGAGCCAACCAGAAAAAAAGACAAGCAACTGGTGTGTCATGACAGCAGCAATGCGGCACAGTGCTAACCTGTAATCTAGATACTGCTCATAGCTGCCACCGTTGAAGAAACTCGGCGCAGCGGGGTTGTTCATCATACTCAGGTAACGCAGGTCTGGGAAGGCCCTGGACACCGTCTCCACAAACACAGTCAAGTTGGAGATGCGATTCCGGTTGACCCAGAGTGTCGTGACGCTGGGCAGCGAAGGGAATTTCACATGGGATTTAATATTGTTGTTGTCTAGGATCAGAGTGTGAACCTTGCTGAAAGACTCGAGGCAACGCAGGTCGCTGTGGCATTAAAAAAAAAAGAAGAAACAAAAAAAAGGGAAAGTATCCGGTTAGTAAGTGGCTTCGTCACAAAGGCGGATGTGCAACGATTAGCAGGCTCCCATAGGATGACAGCTGAAATTGCGCATTAACTTCCAGTTCCATGGTTCCATGTAAATGGCAATCAATGCATTTAACTCTATGTGCACTGCGTGTGCAGTGGGCGTGGTTTAAACTCAAGTGACGTCACACTTACAACCTGGATAGCCTTGGCTCAATGATTCCTAAATGCACTCAATAAGAACCTGTCAAGGTCCCAATTGAATCTTGAAGGTTCCAGAACTCAATTTAGGGGCCACCAATTTTTAGGGGCCACCAAAATTGATCCAGCATTCTGGTGTGATCGTTATCTTACCACAACGAAACCGCAAGTCACGTTCCCACTCGCGCTTGATCCACCCTTTCGGACGGAAATGTCGGACCCGAAAGGTCAATGAGTTCGGTATTGTGCATGTGCTAGCTTGCTGAGCGCGCACTCTGTGGCAGTGTTGTGTGCTGGGGCGGCATGCATGTGACCCTGCGGTGTTTTGGGTGTGGAGTTCTACTGACGTGACAACCTTGAATTGGACCGAATGTTCAGACATTCTTCAGCTTGACGCGCGTGCGGATTCGGTACATCACGACACCCTACTACGTATCCGCGAGCGTTGTGCCACCGCAGTAATGGCTTTTAATTCCGGTTCTTGCCTTACACTTTAGCTACCGTACCTGATTTGATTGTGGCTCAGATCCAGGACTTCGGCTTTGGTAGCAAACTTGGAGACTGCATTTTGTGGTATCTCAGTCAAATCATGGAAGGCTAGTGATACTCTGTGTCCTTCGTCCATTGTCCATGTGCCAGACTGGAGCTAACTGAACTTCTGGAAAACCCAATGACTTGGGAAAAGAAGACAGAGGAAACATTTTTACTTGAGTTACTGATTACCTGATCACATCACAACTTTGACCACAACAAATTTTTATCACAAAAAAGTTAATGTCAACACATTTAAAAGCACAACTTTTGAAGACAGGATGAGAGAACGGATAGATGCAATTCCAGCTTACGTGGCAAATACTAACTAGGGGCCTGTTTGTTTCACATGAAACTGAATCTCGCTCAGTAATACATCGTTGGTTCACTGACACCAGAACCCGCCTAATGGACGGAGCAAACCAGTGTTAGGACCAATGATCGTGGTCCAGTTCTGGGTGAACAAACAGGTCCTAGTATTATTGATGGTTGCCTTTTGGAGGTCCCATTGTCAAGGCGCAGCTGTTATGTCCCAACTACAGCATTTATCCCAACTTTAGTTGGGTCCGTCCACAGAACAGCTGTCCAGTGTGTGCATATTCCATGGCATGTGCCAAAGTAATTTTGTTTACATCAACAACTTGTGCTTGTAGAGATGAGTTTTATAGATGAAGTGCCATATTTTAGAAAATTATGTCAGGTGTAAACTTGGAGAAGGTTGAGAAATTTTCTGTGAAGATTGGCCAACAATGGTTGGGCCAGCCCAACTGCAGCACTATAGTTAGGACTGCCCAAACTATAGCTTGGACAGACAGCGGACGCACCACGGTTTGTTGGGTCCCATTGGAGATCGCTGAAGTTGCATGTTACATGTAACCTCCTGTTCCATGGTTCCATGTAAATGGCGATCAATGCATGTAATTCTATGTGCAGTGCATGTGCAGTGGGCGTGGCTTGAACTGAAGTGACGTCACACTAACGAACCGGAAAGCTGGGTACGAGTAGCAGATCTAAGCACATGATCTTATATGCCAAAAGAGGCTCCGCATATTTCATGGAGACTGTAAACAGTAAGCATGGCAAAAGGCACAATATGATAACCTCAGAGGAAAAACTTGCTTAACTTAGTGATGCAACAATGGAAATCTCTAAGCGCACCAGTACATATTCGTGTTAAGCACAGAAATCGTGAAATGTTTGCCGTGAAATATGCTTACTTCCATTGTATGGTTAGCAAGAAAATTGCTTAACAACAAGAAATGCCATGAAATTGGGCCAAAATGTAACTATAACTATTAGGTAAACTACTTTGGGGGAGTTATTGTCAGGATTGTTTGGTCCCCAATCTAGCTTACCTTGATAACAGACATGGCCGTCAGGGAGCAACATTCTTTCCCATTTGGAAAACGAGTTCAGTCAATTTAAGATAATTTATCATAGGCTACATGTAGGTCAATGAAGGTGCGCGCGCTGTTTGCAACGATGCAAGTGGGCGGGTGGGACGAGCAACAGTGAACAACATTAACACATAACAACAGGAGTCGCATTTGTCAGATCATGTCTTAACACGAGTGAAAAGAATAGGAAGGCGGGGGACAGTCACACGAGATCACACAGCCTACAAACATTAATTATTCATTTATATCTGAAGATAAAAATGAACCAGTTTTTACACATTGAAGTGTACACAACCACCAAAAATACTACAAAAACTTTACACCCTTCACCTTTACCATAACTTGGGCCCCAACTCTGGCCAGTCTCTCGTCAGTTTGTAGTGTAGTATCTGCTATCGATATGCGATCTCCATCGCCCGTCTTTTATAGCGCCCCCAACGCTGTTCAAATACTAATACTAAATTTCACAGTGCAAAAATTATTGCGTTTCAAAATAAATATGTGACGAAGTTCAACGGCCGCACGCAAACTGAAATCAAAAGTGCATCAGAAAAATAAGGTACTTTTATGATAAAAGAATTTTATTTTTATCACCTTGAAATGCACAATGACTCGACTTCTCTGGCTGAAAAAAAATTAAATACGAGAAACAAAAATCAACCCAAGTAGTATGAAATCATATTTCCCACACCCACTTTCACAGAAACAATCTTCGTACACCGACACAAATTCAGAAAGAATCTTTCCTTTACCTTTGAACTGCGGGTCAGGACTTGGTTTATTATTACAAACTGACAACCAAACATACATGAGAACAAACACTGAAACAAAAAAATTCTACGACGACGTCTAACAATCTGTTTAACAATATTTCTATTAAATCTAGTAGATACGCTTGTCTGGTATGACCGCACCATTTTACTGATCAATATCCTAAAATGCAAGCATGTATGAAAGCTAATTTACAGTACAAACAAGACTGAGAACAAAATGAAACCAACATAATTAAAACTGACAGAAGGAAAAACCTGCTACAATTATCACAACACACCTTCAATTTAACATTTCAATGATGCAACAACATTCATTGAAGAATTTCATAGTTTCAAACCCTTTTTGGCTTTTTTCATTTTCAAAAGTGTATCTTTTGCTGAAACATTCGGTATCTATGAATACTATCTTAGTATCTGGGGGCTGAAAAAAAATCAGTGACCATCTTCACTCAAAAAAAGAAGAAAAGCAATAATTGACAGGTGTGTCACAATTCATGATTAAATATAAACTCAATTGTAGAGTCCTACAACTCCTATATGCAGAAAATGGATGACTGGGTCTTGCAGGTGCTTTTAGGTATCGTTTACTACAACTGATATTCAATGGTTGATCCGCAGTAGGCCAAAAAGTTCAAGGTTCAAAGTCTAATGCTACAAGAATTATCTGGCAGATGCATCACTGCCAGACTAAGATTCTATTTACTTCATTTTTCTTTCATACAGCTAAGACCATGAACCCACTGGAGACTACGCGAGAGACAACAGGCTGGTTCATTATTTTGTTATACAAAATGAGTTAATCTGTCAAACCATGGTCAAACCTTCAGGAGCCAGAACAAATCAGTGCTTAAGCTGTTCATCAATCTGCTCCAATAGAAAGAAAACACAGTTCAGCCTTAGCCACAATGACCAATTCACGTACGGCCTTAGCTTATCAGCTGAGTTATCTGACTTGTCTGCTTTCGAGGTTTGTAAATGCTCTGATTAATACACAGCAATGAAGCATAGCTTGAGTCCTACAATATGTACATACATTTAAAACTACCGAAAAGTTAAATTACATAACATGAAACATGCAGCGTTTAAAATACACGAGTAAATGGCCGTCAATGTGATGATTTACATGTGCACGTTATTGTGAATTCGCTGCCGATAAATACCATGCTCCCTCCAGACACAATGCTAACGAGAGGAAAAACTTGTTCATAATACCACAAAGAGACTTTGAAACGGGAACCGCTGCATTTAAATTGGGCAGGTGTCGAGCCAAGTGTTGCCTCACTGTCTAAGTGCATTCCAGTTCCACTATATCAAATGGAATGCGATAGCCATATACAGCTTTGTACTTTCTCTTTGATTGGGTCAACCCAGAAGTCATCAACAAAGAGCAATTAATGTGGTTTACCAGTTTCTCAGAATTTTTGGTGATTTCAAACAGTGGATCTTTCACACCCAACAACGTGCCCTTAGTAATCCTGAAAAGCAAGCTTTCCAAATGCTTTCAGAAATTTTGGTGATTTCAAACAGTGGATCTTTCACATCCAACAGTGCACCCTCAGTAGTCCTGAAAAGCATGCCAAATATCTTGTTTTGTGTGCATTAGGTACTTATGGGAAACAACATTATACCTATATACACATGTACACACAATTAGTTTTAGAAATGTACCACCTCCAACTTTAGTTTTGGTCAGAGACTTAATTTCATTGTTGAACACTTGTTTCAAATACAAGCCCTGATGAATTCAAACCCCAGACAAACTGGAGGTGGCATGATTATTCTGCCCAAGACCAAAGAAATTGCAGACAATGTGTCAATTATTCAAAATAAACAAATGAACAACTATGTTCCTGTTACTTAATCTTTCTCAACAGAAGTATCAAGTAATAACTTAACAAGAACTACAAAAAAGGAGATTCTCATTTCCCTTTGGCTTGAGTTTTGACGAACACTTTAAAACCCATCCCTTCAAAATGCTTCGAATCTGGGAATCATGGGTGTAACTAGCACAATGTTCAAATTTATATTTTTTTTTAATTTGGCAATACAAAAATGCTGGATTAACAGTACCTTTATGGTCATTTCCATTTTTCTTCAATCACTGTGAACCGCACTTTTTAAAGTGACGAAGGTTGATCAAGCAGTTTCTATACGCAATAGGGCCAAAAGAAGTCTAAATGGCAGGGAATGGCAGCTCGGTTCTTCCCTCAACCCGAAATATGTCTTTATTAAAAGGCCATCAAGAAACAAAATGGGCCGGTGATTTTAAAAAAAAACAAAGAAAAGAAAAAAAAAAAAAGAAAAAAAAAAAGATGGCTTCAATCCAAGTACCAATACACACGGACACTGTTGGTTCTCTAATACCTCTTGCAGAGCAAAACTCGATGGCAACAGGTGTAGATGCAAACATTCCAATCCTAATAATTTTTACATGGTAAACTTTCCATGGTCAAATTTGACCCCCCCGACAAAAAAAAACTTTACTCAGCAGAAGCCATCACATGACTTTTTAAAAGTGGAGGTGTAGCGAATGTCGTGAAGTCTGATTACTGAATGCAATATCTACATTCTGCGTGACTGGAGAAACGTCTTGAAATATCATCCTGATTCAGAGATGGTGGTGTAGTTCCGGAGGGGGCTGGGGGAGTGTTGGAAGGTTGATGCTCCATGATGTTGGGGAGGTTAAATCTCCGTGTTTCAGTGTCTCAACCAATGCCCGCCCGTTTGTGGCATGTACGCCTCTATTGTGTCATCATCCTCGAGTTCAATCTAAGGATGCAAAGAAACAAACACGAACATAATGTTAAACAGAGAAAGTGGACTGTACGACAAACTGCCTCGGCAGTGCAGTCTCGGACATACCAAACGTAAGCTCGTTTGAACATCTCTGGAGTTTTCAACTTTCAACTCAGAGCTGGTTGTTCCTTAAGTGAAGTGTTGATGTGGTGGGGGCGTGTGGCCTAGTAGTTAAAGTATGTGACTCTGAATCCAGCCTCTGGTTACATGCTATGACCGTACTACTAGGGCAAGTCACTTTATACCTTGTTACCTCTTTCCAGCCAGGGGTACAAATGGGTACCAGTGGTACTGGTGTTGAATAGCCCCTATCACACCAGAAATGGCTCCACTAAGCTGTACACTTCCCAGGGAGTGCAGATGGTTAAGAATAATTTACTAGTCCAATAAGCAGGGACAGATAATGATGTCTGCACATTGGAAATTTGTGCGAAATTTACTACAGAAGAACTGCCCATTAAATACACAGCTAGGAAGACCAAAATCATCTACAAATGAAAGGGTCAATGTGTAACAATTTATGTTTACGGTTCAGTCCATGACAAGAACCCCTTCTTGTCCAAGATATGAGATGTTTTCTTTTGACCGCGACTGCTGGGCTGTGGTATGCCCAGTCTGCAGAGCTCTGTCCAGCAGGAGGCCCCATTGAACCAGCAGCTGCGTGGTGAATAGACTGTGTGCGTGGCATGCACTAATCCTCACACAAAGGTGCAGCGTTAATTAACGACTCATCGCAAAGGAAAAAATTCTTGTAGGTATTTTCCATCTGGATACCCAACAATACGAAGAAAAAATATGGAAATCCATGAATGTCTTCAAGGGCTCCCGCTATGCATGGTTCATGCCATGCGCAATATTATATTGTGGACTTGCTCATGTTATCATTTGTTTATATGGTATAATGCAGCCTACCGAACGTGGGGTGTCATTTTGTCCGATGGCGACGCCGTCAAATCTAAACCTCATGTTGTCCAGTTGCACTCCCTGTACAGTGACAAGACAAATGAACAACTTAGATGAGCATCTACGTCAACAAGATCTTCATACCCAACTCAGGAAATGAACCACTATATAACAAACTTAACTTGGTCCCGTGCCACTTTGTATCAGTCAGGAACGCTGCATGACAAAGGAATTTGATAGTGCTGGCTTTTATTTCTTCAGGATCCAGTATAACATCGACCAGGGCACAAACTCTCTTCAGTCTGTTTGAAATGTGGGCTTCGAAGTAGTGGGATTCATGTGAGCAGCCAATCATTCATAGCCATATTAACTGCCAGTGGCAGATTATCTGTTCGAAGATGATAGGTAACAGTACTGTTGTTGTTCCAATCTTCAAAATCATCTTCTGCCAGGGAGGAGAAAAAGTATGGATGAAGAACTTCAAGAGTACTAGGACAGAGGGTCACATGGCGACCACATCACTCATTTCGGACGTGGACTTTTACAAGTTCGACATGCATCAACTGCTATTCCACCTACCTGCTTTTCGCAGTATGCACACATCAGCTTCCTGAAGGGCGTTCCCTTCTTGATTTTAAACTGTATGATAGAATTGTCCTGGAATGAACAACAGGTAGAAGTTGCTGGTATGGAGATTGGAGACATTGACTCAGTGGTTAACAACTTGTGTACGGTGAAACGTTCGGCTTACAAACACTGATAAAAATTGGATTTCATTTAACCCTGACCCCCAAGGGTTGCAGGCCCTAACCTTCCCCATTCACACAAAGCTAAAC